CTGGAGAGGCAGTTGATGGATGACATGGTGCCAAGGACATCATGTTGGATGTTTGTCGTGGATTTGCTGCTGCTGCTGCTGCTGGTTGGTGTGATGGTGGATTTGATAGTTGACCTGGCTGTCTGAGACAAATGGTGGCAACATGTTGAAGCTCGAATCTCCAAGGAAGAAGGAAGCAGACGAAGAAGTCGACGAAGGGAGAGAGGTTGCAGAGAGGGCAAGGCTGTTGTTGCTGTTGTTGGACGAGGTCATAGACGGCAGGAAGCCCAGATTATCACACGCGAGCATTGAGTAGCTTCGTTGCAGTTAGTTGCCTTGAAAGAATAAGCAAAAAAACAGTTCTCGGATTTTTCAAAGCAAGGCTTGGAAAGAAGGCGCGAGGTATTTGGTAATTTTCTGTCAATTTCAATAGAACAAAACAAGACAAGTCAGAACAAAACACGTTCAAACCAAAAGGAGCGAGGGAGGGTGAGGGTGAGGAGGAGGTGAGGAGGTGGGTGGATTTGGACGAGTTTTACGGCAATGCTCCCCACATCACACCTCGACTTGCAACGACCGGAAGCGCGAGGGAAACCAAGACGAGAGAGTTAAACAGTTAAAACAGAGATAGTGAGATAGTGAGATAGGGGAGAGGACATTGATTGAGAGACAGACGGGGGACATACGAGGCAGACGCAGCCAACGAGACAGAACAAGCCCAAAAAGCGCTTTTTTTTTTTTCAATTTTGTTGTTGTTGGCTTTTTATTTTTTTTATTTTTATTTTTTATTTTTTTGATGTTTCGGCCATTTTTGTGCAATGCTGTGGCACAAGGCATGACCAGCACGCAAAACGACTCGCATCTCAACCCGAGCCAGACCCAAAGCAAACGATTGAAGAGGCATTGTAAATAGGGGCAAAGCAGCGGGGGGGGGGAATTGGTGAATGTGGAGGACCAAAAGTGTGGATGTAATACAGTCGCATTGACGCGATGGGACGCAGCGAATTTGCGGAAATGTATGGTCGATCGCGTCTGCTTCCATCGCTCGGGGGAGGGGAGGGGGGAATTGCGACACACTTTGACAAAAGGATGAATAGGAAGGGATGAGGATAATCCGCAGCTCGTTTGTCTATCCCCTTCTACGCTTCGAAGCGTTGAGCTCCAAATCCATCGAAGCATTCTCACAATTCCCCGCGTTCTGGCAGCTCGTCCGGAGTCTCTCTCTCTCTCTCCCCATTTCCCATTTCCCATTTCCCATCGCACAACAGAAACAGTAGCAGCAGCAAATCCAACCAACCTTTGCCGAGAGGGGTTTCAGAAACAGCTCCAAGGAAGCAGCAGAGAGGTTTGGCAAAAATGAAAAAAAAAGAAAGACTGAAACGAGCACAAACTGGAAAAATCTCCACACATCGAAAAACGGCCGTCGAAATCCAAGCTGCTCCACTTTGCAAGGCTCAGGCAAGCACCGAGGGACAGCACTCCCTTCTGCATAGGACGAAGCGTTGCCTGATCCGACCGCACAGAGCCGTCGAAACAAGAAGGCGGCCGAGGAAGGGCTTGGTCGATCCGAGCAGAATGCGCTTGGGAGGGGCTGGATGTAAAAACACACAAAGGTAGTTGCAAGAGCAACAGACACAAGAGACTTAATGACCTTTCATCAATGCAGACGGCGGGCTTCTTTCCGCTGCAGATTCCCGTGGGCGGGGCGACGCCCAAATCGGGCGACCGACCAATGGCAGCGATTCTCTCCCGTCCTGCCATCGCCGCATACAGCAGTGTTGGACCGGGCACTTGGCCCGCTCTGCCCGACACCAAACGACTCGTAATACCATCCCATATCCAGATCGCCCGCTGATCCGGCGCCGATCGCCCCAACCGCCGCTGAGTCAGCTTGGTCTGTGCTGCGAGAACTTGCGCCTGATTGGCCGATTTTTTCCTGTTTTTTTTTTCTTCGAGATGATGCTATTTTTGTCCCCCTTTTGCTTTTTGCTTTGGATCGATCGCGCAGAGTGTCAATAAATGGCGCTTTGTTTTTGTTGGATGGTCGTGTGCAGGAATAATTGGTACAAACGGTCGGGGTTTTTGTGTCGTGTTTGTTTTTGTTATGGGGTGGGGTGGGGTTGTGAGTGCCGGGGCGTCTGGTTGGCTGGCTCAGGTTGTTGTTTAATCAAGGGCAACAAAAGTCACAAAGTGGGCGGGAAGGTCGGGGCGCACCCAAACCAACACAACAACGAACAAAACAGCACAAACAGGGCACAGAATACAGAATAAAAATGTGTCGACATTTCGGTCATTCAAGTTGGGCAAGCACGCGTTGGGCATGGGCGACGAGCGTTGGGTGCCCACGAACGATTGTTGCGAGGGCTGGTGTCGGCAGCTCCGACCCTGCGCCGAGGATTTCGCTGACATAGGCTGCTACACAGCAATCGAGGGCGCTCGGGCTGTGGGAAGGGAGCGATTGGGGGGGGGGGCAAAGAGGGGGACAAAACAAGCAGTGCCGACGTTAAAATAAGTCCCGTTTTGCTTGGCAACTTAGCACGTTGCGCAGGTGGCAACGCGAGCAAGAAATATTCTGGGCGATGGCAACAGTGGGGTCTCAATTTGCTCAGGGGAAAACAAAGTGGGGTGAGAGGAGGGTCAGAGGGGCAGAGGGGGCAGAGGCAATGAAAGAGGGGGTGGAACTGTCAGCATCTTTCAAAAAAAGGTGATCAAGCGAGCACACGCCGTGTCGCGGGAAGCAAGCATTTGGATTGGTGCATCTACGAGGCTGTCACCCCAAAATTAATCGACAAACGAGACACCACCCACCTACGTCCATACATTTTAAAAAACACAGTCCGAAATCTAAAACAAACACCTTTGGCGCCGATTCGACACCACCCCTCCCCGCTCTGCTTGACAACACCACCCCGGTTTCGACAATTATGGGTTTGTCACTTTGTCGATCGATGCTCTGCAGCCATGCACACAGCTTGTCGCCCTCGTCCCCCCAATTTAACCTGTCGCCAACAGCTGGTCCACTCAACAGCTCCGCTCCCCACACCACGATTGCCGACCAACACGGTCCGAGCTCACCTTGCAAAGAACCAGTCACTGTCGCCCAGTCGTGCGGAAAGCGCGTCTAGTGCGGTTGAAGCTGCAGCATAAATCTGGCCAAGTGCTGGACAGTTGAGCGCAACAAAAAAGATCAACGCAAAAACCATCAGAGCGTACAGAGAGGGCGCGAATAAACTGTACCTTCTCTGCAGACACTTGCTCAAACTTGGTCGAGAGCAAGGCGTGATAGTCGCGTTGTTGCCGCCAAGCCAAAAAGATATTCAATGGCCAAGCAAAGCGGGATGCAAAGCGGGGATGGGTCACTGCAGTGTAGTTGTCCTCTTCAAACCAGTACCAATAGATCTAGAAACGCAGCACCATACGATACGATACGGTGTTGATGAGATAATGAAGCGACAAGCGAAGGAGGCGACAAAAACACAATCGAGCGATCGATCATGCATGGTTCCAAGAACAGTTCAATACCTTGGCATACTGGAGCTCAACTTGTACGAGTGACATGAAGGCTTTGGCCGAGGCTCCTTCTTCGTCAGTCAGTGCGTTGAAAACGTCACTGGTGTCCTGCCACAGAAGGAAACAGAGAAGAGAGGGTTTGAGCTCAAGGGGCAGCTCACACGATCAAAGTCAGCCGTGCTAGCGCATACCCGATTGCGAATATATGCCAAGCACGGTCCGAATCCCGAGAACAGCTCCTCACCCGCGCAGAGCAGAGGGAGCTCGCCTGACAGCACACAACACAAATTAGTGACGGAATGAACAAACAAGAACAGAAAACCAAGCAAAACAACAATATTGGCGAGTCTTGAAGAGCCTTTGTGCGATGCCGTACCTGTGGGCGAAACAGCCGTATTACCAGCATTGTTAACAGTGAACGGCAATCTTGCGAGCTTGAGTGCGGTCTACCATGAAGGCGCTGTGAGCAAACTGCATTGCAAAACAGCTTTGCTCGCAGAACTTGCGTGTTCCTGGCAATCGCACAAAGCCTGTCATCCAATGCTCAAGAACGAGGTTACCTGTACTGCCAAACATGCGGCGTCGCGCGAAGCCAGTCCCCACCCTGCCACAAAGCCGAGCAACAGCAGACCAAACGCGAAGAGTTCAGTCAGCGCTTCTCTGCTCGTCGCAACAGCACAGCGCCAGATCAACCATCCGGGCCTTCCAGACACCAGCGCCAAACCAAACACGGTCGCAAGACACTGCTGGTCGTGCGGATGCGGGGGCGATCGCGCAGCTGAGGGCTGAATGTTCAATGCTCTGAGCAGCACGAGCAGCACGACGCCCAGACCAAATGGACAACGAGCTTACCTGGGGGGTGCTGATACAGCACAATAGGATCGTCTGCAAACCCAACCAAGAAACAGTGCGATCGGGTGGTGGTGGTGGTGAGCCAGGCGAGCAACAGAAAGACCACTACTTGGCTGCATTCGTGCGTTACCGTCTGCCATTCCCAGATGTGGGCTGCTATGGAAAAAAATAGAGTGTGACCTTGAGAAGCTACACTTTTGATTTCTCCTGTCCCTGTGCAAAGTGGCGGGAGGAGCGGACTCGTTCGGAAACTGTCATACAGTACCATTTTCAAAGAAATCGCTCACGGATCTGCAACAAACACGCTTTCATCAATGCATGTATTCATGTCGACTTAAAGTGCATGGGATTCGGGTAAAGGCAACAAAAAACAAAGGGGAAACAACAACAAAGCAAAGGACGAAAAATGAAGGCCAAACGCCAAAAAAGAAAAAAGACAACAAGCACATCGACCAGACTCCGAAAAACGCCCCGCTTGCATCTAGAAATACGTTTACATGTAATCATCGTCGTCGAGATCAACAAGATCGTCGTCGTCAAGATCGGGGTGGTCGGCGTCAAAGTCGACGCGGTACCGCAAGATACCGCCGATGCCACCAAAGCCCTTGACGAATTGCGAGCCTTCTTGGGAGCGGTCGGTGACAATTTCGAGTGTAGTACCAAAGCGCTTGTAGTTGTTTGCAAACCATTCGATGAGAGACATCTTCTCTGCAATCTCATAATCGACACCAGTCTCCTTGTCGACAAAGTGCTCGCGGTTCTTTTCTTGCTCGCGGCTGAGGAAGGTAACCTTCTCCACCTCCGAGTTTGGCAGCTTGAAAACATAGCGCGTTGTGTCGAGGTTTTCCCACACGACGAGCGTGAGCACTGCGCCCATCTCGAGTGCCTTGAGTGTGTCTTCCACGCCAAAGCAGTACTTGCCAGTGTCTTGCGAGATCTCGTCAAAGTACGCGAGAATGAGGCGCTTCTCTTGCATGAACTTGACGTTAGCGAGTGCGTCAGCAGCAAGCTCGATCGCCTACGGGAAGGAGAGCGAAAAAAAAAAAAAGGCGAGCAAATCAAGCAAACACAAAATCAGACAAAATTCAAACTTGTGGGGCCAATCAACAACAACCGAGTCGCTCAAAATGAATTCACTCACTTGGTTGAAACCGTTCTCGCCACCATAAGAAATGTCAACAATCTTAATAATCTTGTCCTTGAGACGGGGATCAAACATGTCTGTTTGGGACAGTTCGGTCTTGAAGTCGGCCGAACCAGCAAGCACGATGCCGGCCACGTTCACCTTGTCGTTCGTCAAGAAACATTGGGCAGAGACTTCAGCCACACGACGGACGTAGTTGTGACGCTTTTCAACACGCAGACGCGCGAAACGCAGAGCAGATTGACCACCACGACCTGGTGTTTTTGGGGGTATAGTATCCGAGAATCGGCCGTCGCACATCGAGAAAGTGTGAGCCCAAAGCAAGGAAACGATCTGAAAAGCAATAGCAACCATTCCACAAGAACGACGAGCAGGAGATGCCACTCACCATGCTTTTTTGGCAACTCGACAGTGAACTTTGTAATAATGTCGCGCGTGTTACCCGAAAGAGTCGCAAACAGCGCGCCGTTACCGTCCATGATGATAAAGCCGAACTTGCTATCGTCAGCGAGCAAATCATTCAATGCCTCAGTGTGGAATTTGTTGTCGCTGGCAAAAAAAGTGAAAAAAAGGTTGTAAAATGGCAATTACGGTGAGCACCGAATACGCAAAGACAGACCCACAATTCCCACAATTCCCTCAATGTATCGGTTGGTCCATGTCGATACGAGTCGCATCAAACAAAACAAAACAAAGCAAACTGAAAACACGCTGCATACCACAAGTAGAGCGAGGTGTTGATTGGCCGGAAGGGCTCGAAATCAATGTTAACCTTCTTCTCCTTGCCCTCATCCGTGACAATGGTGCCGCAATAGACAACGAGGCCGTTGTCGGGAACTGTCGATGACAAGAAGGCAAATTGCGTGTGCGATGCGAGAGTGAAGCGAGTGAGCTCAAGGCAGTTCAGCATCCAACATGAGCAGAACGACGAATCATTCCAATCGACAAAAAACACGCACCGCGGTTGAACAATTTGAGCTTGGACTGCACCGACGTGATGGCCGACAAGACCGACAGACGGTTGACACGCGACTTGATGTTCGAGGCCGTGCCGTATTCGTCTGCGAGCATCTTTGCGACGCGCGAAATCTGATCCTTGGGCGGGATGATGAGCGAAATCATGCTCGTGCCGTTACTGTCAGAAGAGTCAGAAGAGTCAAGGGGGGGGGGTGAGAGTGACGTTCGTTCTCGATTGCACAACGCTTGAGCCATCATTGAAGTTTTTGGGCTCTGATTTTTTTTTTTTTTTTTTTTTTGCTTTTTTGCTTTGGCTGACTTTGCATTGGCAAAATGCTGTTTCTGCACTATTTTGGCGTGTCTCGGGCAGCTTCCGCGCCGTCGCCTTCACTCTGCCACATGCCCCACAAGCATCGACCACGGCATCCACACCCCGGGGCCGCTCAGCCGCACGCACGCACCTCAACGCCGAGCAAACGCAGTCCAGCACATGGACTTTTTTTTTTTTTTTTTTTTTTTGGCTTTGGTTTTGGCTTTGGCTTTGGTCCAGGCCCCACCGGTGCATTCGCTTTTCAACCTCCACCCCGCCTCCAAACCACGATAAACCAACAGACGATCGCTGCCGGGGCGGACAGACGGCGAGACAGGCGCACCGCAATGGAAGGGGAAGCGAGCCGCAGCACGAATCCAACCAAAAAAGCACGCGGGAAAAAAAAAAAAAAAAGCCAGCCAAAAAAAAAAAAAAAAAAAAAATCCGTCGTGTTTCATTCATTGATGCTTTTGTCAGTCAAACTGAACAAGGGAGACACCAAATGGAGCATGAAGGGCAAGGGGAAAGCTCCATGGCGAAACGGGCTGGTTGATCTGAATTGGAGCGAGAGACAGTGCTCGCGCTTCGTTACCCCCTCTTCGCACTTTATCTCGCTGCATGTTGCACCATGAGCTAGCACTCTGTCGCTGCGATCTGCTCGGGGTTTCATTGGGTTGCTGGATTTGCTTTTGTCTGTCCGTTGTCCGTTTTGTGGTGTCTTCCATTCTTACCCGCGGGCAGTCTCAAGCGACTTGATCAGACGCTTGATCTTCCACATTTCGACGTTCTTGTCCGCTTCATCCATGATTGCTGCTTTGGATGCAAAAAAAAAAAAAAAAAGAATGAATGAATGAATTCTCAGATTGAAAGAGTCGGAATGGATACAAAAGCAAGATCAACAATGAATGGATGCAGATGTGCAGCTTTGAATGGAGGGAGGCTTGAGCGGCTCAGTCAACTTCCTGGTCGATTTTCTGCTTGGGAAGCAATGGCAGCCCCGCGCTCGTTCACGATTCGCGGGGTGGACGTCGAGTTCCCATTCAATCCGTATGACTGCCAGCTCGTGTACATGGAGCAGGTCATCCAGTGTCTGCAGGAGGTGCGTCTTGCGTGTTTTGGACAGTTTGCCATTTTCTTCTCAGAAATTGCTCAGCAGCGACGAACAAAAAAAAGAACAAAAAGCTGAATGAGCTGTGCAGTGTGCTTGTTCTCCCGGAGCATTGATGATTCACCCTGCCATGCTCTGTACAGGGAACGAACGCGCTGCTGGAAAGCCCGACGGGCACCGGCAAGACGCTGTGCTTGCTGTGCGCTGCGCTCGGGTGGCGCCAAGCCGCGGTCGCCGCCCATCAGCTCGCCAAGCTCGACAACCGGTACGGCGGCTTGACATTGCCATCTGGCGACCAACAGCAGCCGGGGGACGAGCTTGTGTCGAGCGAGGCCAAGGCGGCCGCGTTTGCCGCTGTCGGAAAGAGTTTGGCGGGCAACTTTGCAGACGACCTGAGCAAGCGGCTCGGCGAGGCCTCCTGGAGCGCCAAGCCTGGCGACAAGCCATCAGGTACGAGATCGCAGCAAGACTCGCTCATCGCCACGTCGAGCCGAGTGCGCTTCGCTCGGAGGCTTCATGATGACGATGATGCTCAAACCATGAGGTCTCACTGTGATACTTTTACGCGCCAAAAACCTTCTCTCAGCAGTGGACGGAGACTCGCCCGTACCGCGGATCATATACTCGTCACGCACGCATTCTCAGCTGGCTCAAGCGATCAAAGAATTGCAATGCACGTCCTACAAGTAAGCGGGGTTTGGCATGTCTCCAGTTTCTTGCAAAATGTGTTTTTGTGTCAAACTCTCAGAAACATCATCTCACTCGATCTCATTCGGGTGTTGGATAGGCCGATTGCCAGCATCATCGGGTCGAGAGAGCAAATGTGCATTCACCCTGAGGTGTCTCAAGTGCACATCCAGTCTGTGCAGGTGCACAACTGTCGCAAACTTGTGGGCTTGCACTCTTGCTCGTTCTACAACAATCTCGAGCGTAAGCTGTCTTGGCTGCGTTGATCGTTTGTTGATTTGACTCGAGCTCCAAAGGTTGACTTGCTTTGTCACGTGCTTTCCCCCCCCCCCCCAACAGGAAACAAAATGAGTCGCGATATCTCCAATCAAGTGCTGGATATCGAAGGACTTGTCGAGTTTGGACGCGAGGAAAAGCAAGTCGACGAATGTGGTCGAGTTGGCGACCCTTGATGCAATACTGACTGTGGGTCTTTTTCGATTACTTACAGAGTCTGCCCATACTACTTGTCCCGGCAATTGCAAAACCGCGGCGAAATCATCTTTATGCCCTACAATTACTTGCTCGATCCAACGGCGCGGAAGGCGGCAAATCTCAACCTTGCCAACTCGATCATTATTTTTGACGAAGCACACAACCTGGTATGTTTGGTTGCTGGAGTCTTCTTGTGGCAGTGCATTTTGAGTTTGCCGCCACAAAGTGCAAATTCCAACTTTTTCTTTTGCACTTTTCCAGGAAAGCATTTGCGAAGACTCTGCGTCCTTCCAGTTGACCTCACTCGATATTGCCATGGCGATCAGCGAGGCGCAATCATGCCACGATCTTGTATCAGATGCCAAGTACATTGGCAGTATCGAGCCGGACGATCTTCTCCTTTTGAAAAGTAAGAATCAAGCAATTGCGCACAACTGATTCCAGGCGCGAGCCCCTCCTCATCTGACTCAATGTCGCACGTGCAGAGGTACTCTTGCGCATTGAAAGTGCGATTGCAGAAACACCCCTGCACCCGCAAGACGGATTCACAGCCCACGGCACGTTTATTTTCGACTTGTTTCGATCGTTCAACTTGACCTTTGAGACTTTCTCCCCCGTTCTCGAATTGATCAACTCGGTCATTGAGGCTCTTGCTGAAGGTATAGAGATATGTGTGTGTGTGTGACACCATGTTTTCGCCAGTGAAAAGATGCAAAGGCTCAGTTTCTGGTTCATGTTGGCCAGCTCGCGGAACTCGAACGTCTGCATCGATATCCCTTTCCAAGTTTGCCGACGTCCTCAAAACAATGTTTACCGAAGAGAACAAAGTGAACATGGATGGTATTCGCAAGTACTACCGGGTGAGCGGGACGACTTTTGCACGACCATTTTTGAATTTGCATTTTTTGCCCTCCAAGAGTTTAACTTTTCTTGTTTCTGGGCTCCCACAGTGTCATATTGGACAAGAAGCTGCAAAACCGGTTACCAAGGCCTCGTCAGGCTGGGGAAGCACCGTCCATGTTGCACCAAGCGCCGGTACGCAGACTATTGTTGGTTTTCTTCAGCTCTCAACTTTTTGCTCCAAAAAGTCTTATCTTCGTCATCTGCATGCATTTGCTCTTTTGCCCATCCAACAGCTGGACGGACGCTCAGCTTTTGGTGCTTCTCACCCGGCTTTGCGATGCGCGACTTGACCAAGATTGGTGTTCGCTCCATCATTTTGACGAGTGGTACCCTGTCGCCATTGGCGTCGTTTGGCGCAGAAATGCAGCTGCCATTCCCAATCACTCTGGAAAATCCCCACGTCATTAGCAAGTCGCAGCTCTGGTGCGGTGTCGTTTCGACTGGGCCCAGCAATTGCAACTTGAATTCGTCCTTCAAGACTCGCAGCGACGAAAGCTACCTGACCGACCTGGGCAGTGCGATCGGTAAGTTGCCTTTGTGGAGGTGGCGGAAGAAGAGTAGTGATTTAAGTATGTGGGTCATTTGAATCTTACTCTCGGCCAAGTACTGCTTTTGCACAGTTAACTATGCGCGCATCGTTCCCGACGGCCTGCTCGTCTTCTTCCCATCTTATTCTGTGATGACGCAGTGTATCAATCACTGGCAGGTAAATGTTTAGCAGATGGTGGAATGATCTGAGCGTTCTGATAACTGAATAATGGTTCTTCTTGGAATTTAGAACCGGAGTGGAACCAGTGCAAAAAACGTCTGGGATATGCTACACCAGCACAAGCATGCCGTCATTGAGCCCCGGGAGAAAAACCTGTTCCCTTCTGTAATAGACCAATTGCATGGACCTTCTTGCTCGCTTTTTGAACATCGTTGCCGAGATCTGACACTGCTTGCATTTTGTGTTGTCTTGGAGTAGGCAATCAACGAGTTCTACGCCAAGGTTCGAGACCCCACCATTCGAGGGGCCGTTTTCTTTGCTGTGTGCCGAGGCAAAGTCAGCGAAGGCTTGGATTTTGCCGACATGAATGGCCGAGCCGTCATCATCACGGGCATCCCGTACCCAGCCCTGCACGACCCGCGAGTAAGAGTGTTGCTCGTTTAATATTGCACTCGAAGGTGGTGGTGGTGCTGAATCGAACTTGATGCCCACAGGTAAAGATAAAAAAGCAATACCTCGACGAGAACAAGGCCGAGAATCTCAAATCGGGCATCGCGGTAAGGACCAATCTGCCTTTTTCCTTCGTTCATTCTTTGTCAGGCATCTTACAAATTCTCCTCCTTGTTATTTGGGGGTTCAGGCCATCAATGGAATCGAGTGGTACAACCAAACTGCAGCTCGAGCGGTCAACCAAGCCATCGGTCGCGTCATTCGTCACCGGTCTGACTATGGCGCCATTATATTGTGTGATTCACGGTGAGTTCGCTTGTCTGTTGGGTGATTGTCATCCATTGTGCGTTTTGAGGTGCCGCAAGGCGTTGAACGAGCAAAGCTCTCATCGCTTTGCGATTTTCTAGTTTTGCTGCCCCTGGCACTATCGCGCAGCTTCCTTTGTGGGTTCGCCCCTATGTGAAGACGTGCAAGAATTTCGGTGATTCGCTTGCACAGCTGGCACAGTTCTTCAAGACGGCCAAAGCCGACGTGTCGCTTCATGTAAGCCGCCCTCCGGACAGGTTTAGCTTCCACGCAATTCCTGCTCACCGTTGACTTTTACGATACTGCAATTGTATTTCTGGAAAATTGTGCTTAGGCAAAACCGGCCGCTGGAGCGCCCATCTTGGTGCCAGAATACGACGTTGAGATTTCTTCATCTTCCGCGCCCCGCGGTGGCGTTCTGTCTGGCGCCACGACGACTGCATCGAGCCGCAGCGCTGCATCTGCATCTACTTCTACGACGGCGCTTGCATCATCAGCATCATCATCCAGCAATACCAACGTGGCTGCAAGAAATGTCAAGTCGGCTTTCGCGTTTGCCACAGCGTTGCAGTCTTCTTCTGCTGGTCCTGTCTCAGATGCAACAGCGACAAGCAGGCCTGCGGCAAATGCAGGGAGTGCCAGTTTTGTGCTGGGTCAACTCACCGACCGCACCAAGCCGCGCTCTCTCCGTGATTCGTTGAACTACGTTGCGGCGCCCGCCATTCCAGCTCCTGCGACGACCGTGTCTGCGACACGACGCTTTGGTAGCGTTGCTGGAACGTCCACCAGCGCAGCAGCACCTGGTCTTGGCACAGGGTCGCGTCTATCGCTCGCAGATCGGTTGATGGCCATCGATCCTTCTCCTGTTATTGTCGAGCCGTCGCCATCCCCCAACGCCACCCTGAGCAACAGTGAGGACAGCGTCGTTTCCGTTTCAAGCACCACGGTTGCGAGACCCAAGCGTCCACATTCGCCAACCGACGACGCTCCATCGCTTGAAATTGTCGAGTCCGAAGCACGTCCTCCGCCACAGCCACAGACGGAGCAGCGACCTCTGCGGCCAGCCGCTTCGAATCCCGCTCCGCTCAGCCGGGCGAGCTCCATTCTCGCGATGCCGTCCACCTCGACTTCATCGTCATCATCGACAACAGCACCCGCGCAGCCAACCGCCCAAACCTTCCTTGCAAAGGTACTGGCCGTGCTACAGCCCGCTGAGCGCCGCGAATTCTCCGCACTCCTCTCGACTTACAAGACTGGGGGCGATGTGACGCAGCTGGCGGTCGGAGCGAAGCGTATCTTTGCTGGCGCTTCGGGAACGATTGAGTATGCGCGCCAAAAGCTGCTGCACGAGCTTCGGTCGTTTGTGAAACCAAACCAACGGCTGGAATTTGATGCGATCGTTGGATCTGCGCCGTCCGCCGCACAGCGGGACATTGTGACGGGTCTTCCTGCGCAGCGAATGCCGAAAAAGCGTCGACTTCAGTCGTTTGGCGACGGCTTGCTCGACGTTTCTGCCCCTCCCATCACGGATCCAGTCCAAATGGATGTTGCCAATGATGGCCAACACACAGCAGCTGCACCGACCGACCTGCACGAAACCGGCATTCAGGCGCAGGCGCCTAGCGGTGGACCGGCCAATCCTTCGACCATTGTGAGCGTTTTGAGCGCGGCCACCCCTTCAACCAATGTTGCTGTGCATGATGACTCCAACGATGAAGAAGAACCCGTTGAAAGTGCCGTGGATGGGCTTGCTTCGACCGTTCACGCTGGTAAGACGACAGACGATGATTGCTTTTGATTTGTTGTTCTGGTTTTCTCCTCCGTTGACCAATCTCGCCATGCCCTTTGCTTTGACTTTGGTCGAACAGCAACAGCAACCAATCCCACCTGTCCCGTTTGCTTGGCGCCGCCCAAACATCCATTTACCGCTCGATGCGGTCATATTTGCTGCCACGGCTGCTGGATGGAAGTCCTCAAGAAGGCACTGGAGTGTCCCGTCTGCCGCCAGCGTACGCGTGTCAAGCAGCTCACCAAGTTGTACTTTTAGTTCTATGTTTTCTTCTGTGTGCTGTTGGATGGAAGGGGAGATTTTTGTTGCAGTTCTGTTGAAGCCTTGTTTACGAGATTGTACCATAGACGTTTATTGTACTGTATTCTTGCCATGACCATGATCCATTGTTGTATTTCTCTTGGATGACACCAGAACCTCTGTGAGTGATTGCAAGAGCTGAGAGTCGCTTTGTGAAGCTTTCAAAATCCAATCCTCGTTGCCTTCTCTGCGCTGCTGCATTGATCTCGCTCATCTCAATTCCTTTGTTGACAAGGACCAGGACCACCGCCTTCGACAAGTCCGCTCTGAGCCTTTGAGTTTGTTCGTGTTTGTTACCTTTTTCAGTCTATTTTATTTTCGCTTCGTTGTCTTTTGCTGCCGTTTTTCGATGAGGTGCGAATTTTTTTTTTTTTTTTTTTTTTTGCATTGGCGTTTTGCTGGAAAAACAACAAACAAAAACTGATTTTTTTTTTTTTTTGGCGCAACCAGCGAACAGAAGATTTACACAACAACCGGCCATGTCTTCCATCTGGATCCCGTGAGCAAGACGGACTGGGTTGGCGTGGCTGCCGACGCCCTGACCATCTCGCTCTACCGCGACGAATCGCGGCGGACGTGTCGCATTGTCTCCATGTTCCAGAGCAAGGTAAAGGCAAAGCAAAAAAAAAAAAAAAAAAAAAAAAAAAAAAATCAAAGAAGCTTGTTGTTTGTTTTTGTTTTTTGGAGGGCGTTGTTGTTCGCGACCTTGCAGCCCGAGGCGAACGCTGCGGCCCTGTCGCCTTCGTGCCACACATGCACACACAGTGCGCTCGTCGCGGCTTTTGTGCTGGGGGGGGGAGCGATGGGCAATCTGCTCCTCTTTCTGCGACCACAAACGAAGCTCAAACCGCTTTTTTTTTATTTTTTTATTTTTTTTATTTTCGCAATTCTTTTTTATTTTTTATTTTTATTTTATTATCTCGATCGCTGCCCATCCATCGTCGTCCACACCCCCCTCCCTTTTCGATCGTCCCCCTCCCCCAAGCAACCACCTGCTCCGGTTTGCTTGTGGCATTGTCTCCTCGCAGCCTCGCTTTCACACGTGGCTGAATCGGATTGAAAAACAAAAAACAAAAACCCCAAAAAAACGATTATTATTCAAACGAATCCGCAAACACACCGCTGCTCACTAAAACGCACGCCTTCAACCTACCAAAACCTAACCTGGAGTAGCTGTTACTCTCCATGATGATTGATCGAACCGCCTTTTCCTTTTACTTGTCTCGCGCTCTCTTCCGCCGAGCGAGACCGGAGACCCTACATGGTCGTTGTGTTATCGGTCGCATCTTGCAACGAGCGAGCAGTGGACGGCTGCACGGGTCTTGCTGCCAAAGCTCAACCCCCCGAATTAAAAAAAAAAAAAAACAAAAAAAAAAACAAAAAAAAAACTCTTTGAAAACAAATCGAATTGAAGAGCTTTTTGAGCCATGAGCAAGAAGCCAATTGGAGCAGGAGTCAGCGGAAATGACTCACTCAACGATAACGACAAGCTACAAGAGAAAGAAGAAGACGAAGAAAAAAAATTGAAGACAAGGCAGAAAGAAAACACCGCCAATCACGACCGAATTTCTCATGCGTGAATACCAATTGTTGGTTTGAACCTTATGGCGAATTGATGTTGTGCTGACCTGACCATCTGGCAACCTTCTTCCTTGTTTGAAACACCAGGCCGTCATCAACTGCTTCATCACACCGGGAATGACACTGGTCAAGTCGTCGTCCAAGTTCGGACAGTGGGAGGACGTGCGCGCCAACGTTCTGTACGGTGTCGGCTTCAATTCTGAGGGCGAGCTCGACACTTTTGCCTCGCAGTTTGAGAATGCCGCGGCCACCACAGTGCAGCTCCCGATGCCTGGAGCTGCCGGAGCCGCTGCCAGCGCTGCAGCGAGCGCAACAGGAGCTGCAGCTGCAGCACAGACAGCCCAACCGGCCGTTCAGGTGCAGCAACAGCCTCAGCAAGCACAGGCGCAACCCGCGCAGCCCGCTCAGGCCCAGCAGCCGCAACAGGCAGCCCCACAGACCCAGCAGCAACCGGCCGCTGCCGCGAAGGCAGCCACCAACGGCACCCACGCACCCGCCTCCGCTGCTGGCTCAAACGGCGCCGACGCGAACGCAGAGGATGACTCTAATGCTGTTGCCTTGTACGACTTTGCCGGCAAGGACGAAACTCAGCTTGGATTCAAGGCCAAGCAAAAGCTGTATGATGGTATGTGACCAAAAAAAAAAAAAACAAAAAGAAAAAAAAAAAGAAAAAACGATCTAGGATTTTTTTGTTTTGTTTTGTTTTTGCTGGCTGTTTTGTTTTGCTCACCGAGCTCTCTGAAACCTGATTCGTTGTCATCATTGCAGTGACTTCGACAACGCGCGAGGGGTGGTCGTATGGCTCTATTCTGAACGAGGATGGAGTGACAAAGTCGTCTGGACTCTTCCCAACCTCCTACATTCAAATCACAAAGGCTGCCAGTGCCAACGCCAGTAACTCGGCAATCTCAAGCGCGTTGGCCAAGCGCGCGCAAGAAGCACAGGAGCAGCAACTCAAGCAACAGCAGGCGGAAAAGCTCCAGCAGGAAAAGCTGCAGCAGCAACAGCTATTACTACAACAGCAACAACAGGAAAAGCTCCAACAAGAGCGTCTTTTGCAGCAGCAGCAGCAGCAGCAACAACAGCAACAGCAACTACTACTACAACAACAGCAGCAGCAACAACTCCAACAGCAGCAATTGCAACAGCAGCAGCTCCAACAGCAGCAACAGCTGCAACAGCAAAGGGTTGCCACAGGCTCTGCTGCGCAATTCCCTCCTGTCAATCCTCGAGGTGGCGGCTCTGAGGTATGTAGCAAAGCCTTGATGCCAGCGTGCATCCTTGGTTGTATTGGGGTTGTGAACCAAAACCTGATTTTTTTTTTGTGTGTGTGTGTGTGTGTGTTCAATTTGTCCTCTGTCAACACAGCAACTCGATTCTGAAAAGGATGTCATCATCAAGCACCTGCGCGAGCGAGTGGAAAACTCGGAAAGGGCCAAGGCTGCTGCCGACGCCTCCAACCGTGAGATAATCGAGACTCTCCAGGGCGACATTGCTTCATTCAAGAATGAGAACGACCGCTTGCTGGCTGCCCTCAAGGAGAGTAACCTGAGCGGACAGCAATGGGAGACAGAGCTCAAGACAGTCAAGACTAACAATGCGCGCCTGTTGACTGCTCTCCAAGAATCGTACGCAAACGTCGAGACTTGGCGGACACAGCTGCTGGCCATCGAGGAACACAACGCCAAGCTTCAAAAGAAGTTTAACGACGTTGAGCAACTGCTCAACCGCGGCGTGAGTCTGCTTCGCGAGTAATTGCGCCTCTCGGGGTTTTTCTTTTGAAAAGAGCGATACTTGCGTCCAGCAGCGCTTTTCTCCACCCCACCCCCCTCAAAATTGTATTTGCTTGACTGCTCCCATTGATGATCGCGTTTAGGCGAGGCTTCCTTTGTCCCATCGATTGTTGTTGTTTTGCTTCACTGCCAGTTGTTTTTTGCTATTCTCGCTCGATTTTTTTGTGGCCGATGATTGTGGCGTTTTGATTTTATGGCACCTCTCTCCCCCCCCCCACCTTGTCTGGTTTCCTTCCTTGTCGTTGCATGTCGTGTGATGTTGATGTTTGATGATTGATGCTGGTGTGTATGTTGTTTGTTTGTTTGGTTGTTTGACCGTGCTGGGTTTCGAGTCATTTTGTTTTAACAAAGAACAAGAACAAAAACCTCCTCTCTTCTACCCGTTGTTCGGCTCGCATTTCGTCTGTCGAGCTTGAGCGTCTCTCCCACCGAGTCTCTCTTCTTGACCACGCTTGCCTTTTGCCACCCTTCTTTGCACAGCGATGGTTTGGGTCAGTCCAATTTGCAATGGTAATTTTTCCCCAGTTCACTGAGGCCACTGTGCACCACCGCCCGCCGCCCTGACCCCATCAGTAGTCGCTGCACAAAGTCGTCTTCGATCGTTTTCGCGCAACATGAGCCTGTGTGCAACTGAGGTGAGGGAGCTTTGAGAGCTGGCGGCGATGAGTTTTCGCGTCTCTGTTCTTCTCTGCCTCGCCATTTGCGCACACACTCGGACTTGCAGCTCGGAGCTGGGCGTGCGGTGGTTTGGACAGTGCAGTTGCTATGAAGCGGTGTCACGTATTGACTTCAGCGCACGGCATTGCATTGGCAAACTCGTTCCAAACCAAGCTGAATACTAACGCATGGAAACTTGCTCCTCTGTCAGGGTGCCGCTTACGCGAGCTGCATTTCGTCACAACTCGATAACATTAAGCAAGACATGTGCGTAGAGCAATTTCGATTGTTGCAGGCATGTTTCAAGGCTTCAATGGCTGCCGCTGGCGTAAGGTGTTATCTTTCATGTATGGCTCAGTGTCTACTGTATGTCAAACTCACCTCAAACCCAACATTGTCACTTTTTGACACAGCACCGACCATGAGCACTCTCTCCTCAAGATGTTGACACTGAATGCTGCACAGTGGCACCAAAAATGCTGTATGATAATACAAAAAAATAGTTGCACAACGCTCAAAAAATCCCAAAACGACCGACCAAACTACTTTTTAAGCTTGTTGCTGGCCCTCAAACTTGGGGAACTTGGCAAGCACGTCAGCCCAGGTCAGAGTGTTGTTGGCCAGGCGCTTGACAGTCTCGGCAGCCTCGGTCATGCTCAGACGGACTTGGCCCTTGGAGTCGCGCTCGCGAAGGGTCACAGAGCTGTTCTTGACAGTGTCAAAGTCAATGGTCACGCCGAACGGAACACCAATCTCGTCGGTGCGGGCGTAACGGCGACCAATGGACGCGCTCGAATCGTCGACCTTGTACGAGACGTCCATAGCGTTGAACGCATCGGCTGCCAGAAAACAAAGTGATTTTGTCAATGAAGGTCGAGTCCCAGAAACCCCCCCCCCCAAAAAAAAACAAGCTCACTCCCCTCTCGGAAACCATAAAAACAAAAAAAAAACCCCACTCAAACATCCTTACCAGCAGTCTTGGCCAGCTTGACCAAGTCGGGGTTGTTGCTCAAAGGAAGAATCACGCACTTGTAGGGTGCAATGCATGCAGGGAGCGAGAGAATCTGATCAAGTCACACAACACCGTGATGAAGAAAAACAAAAGTCAGACGAAACCGTCTTCTCCACCGCCCCCACAAAAACCCCAAACAACTTACGCAGTCCTTGTCATCGTCGTCAGCAGGAGCCTTGCCCTTGGCGGCAGGGGCCTTCTCCTTTTGAGGCTTGCCATCATCAGGGGTCGAGAAGTTGTGCTCGAGAAGCGAGTAGATGATGCGACCAATGCCGAACGAGGGCTCAATGACGTTCGGGGTGTAATCCTTAACTGTGGTGTGGCGTAAACGAAGAAGAGTGAGAAATAAAAGAGTTTGAAGAGAAAATCCACTGAAACAAGCAGAGACAGCACGAGAAGCGATACACAAGCCAATCCTTACCGAAAACTTCACGCTTGGAGGGCTTGAGTTGCAGGAGGTTGGCAGGGATCTCAAACTGCTTCGAGCCGGGGCCGTCGCCAGAAACGGCCTTCTCAATCTTACCCTTGTCGTTGAACTCGAGAATGAGCGAGAGGTTGATCTTCCTGTAAATGCGAGTTTTGGTCGAGTGAGTAACCACGCCAGGGAGTTGTTGTTTGTTGAGGATGTAAATCCACAGTCAGTCACTCAACTTGTCTGCCTCAAGCTTCTTGGACAGCTCCTCCAGCTGGCAGGGGTTGTTGACTTGGAGATCGCGCAGGTACTTGAGAATACCCTCGGCATCCTTGCGGAAGAGCTTGCCAAAGGCAGATGCGTCGGGAAGGACGTCAATGTACTCCTCAATGACGGGGGTGTCAAGAGTCAGCTGAGCGTTCAGAGTGGTGCCCGACGCCTCAGAGTGTTGCGAAAGATCGTAGGCAGAGCGGTCAGCGCAGCCAATGCATTCAACCCAGCCCTGAAGGAGAAGAGAGTGTCCAATCACGCAACCAATCATGTCAGCCAAATAAACCAACACATGCAAAACAAACAACAGCAGCAAAAGCAAACAAAAAACGTCATGCATACGAAAGAGGTCTTGCACTCGGCGTCCCAGCAGTCGCTGGCGTAGTGCGCCATCTCGTTGGGCATGTGTTGACGGAATCGCAGCTTGGCGTCCTTGATGCCAATCTTGGTCATGAACAGGTAGATACGGCCAATAAAGTAGCCGAGCGTCTGGTTGTCGATCGTGCCGTTCTTGATGGCGTCGCCGAGCTTGACGCGCGACGGGTTGCGACCAGAGAGCTGGTCCTCGCGCGAGTAGAGCAGGACGCCAAGGTCGGCCACAGAGGCGAACTTGGGGTGGTCCTTCTTCTCGGGATGCACAAAGTGCTCAATCTCGGCCATGGTGAACTCGCGAACGCGCAAAAGACCAGCGCGCGGGGAAATCTCGTTACGGAACGACGAACCGATCTGGGCGGCGGCGAAGGGCAGCTTGTTGTTGTTAAAGTCAAGCAACTTGCGGAAGTTGACAAAGATGCCCTGAGCTGTTTCGGGGCGGAGGTAACTGAGAGAGAGCGAGAGACAGAGAGGGAACAAACGCCCAAATAACATTTGAGTGAAAAAGGCTCGGTGCCGCGAGCCACAATCAAGCTGCACGGCAGTGTTACTCACCCCTTGATCAAGCTGTTGGGGCCGATGGAGGTCGGAAACATGAGGTTGAACTCGACGGGGTCGGTCAGCTCGTGGCCGGTTTCGGGCGCGCGAACGCCGTACTTTCGCATGTAGCCACCAATCTCCTCCTTGCTGAAGTTGTCCAACTGGTAACACATGTGAAAAGTGAGGACGAGGAACGGCGTGGCAAGGAAGAGGAGGGAGCCAAAACAAGAATTTCAATTTTTGCAAATCATCCGTACCTCAGTCAACACCTTCTGGTACTCGGGAAGGAGCGAAGGGTCTTGGTTGGCGGCAATGAGCTTCTCGAGATGAGCCTCGAGCAAGTGATCGGCGCGGAAGCATTGAGTCGAGTCCTGGACGTCCGACACGAGCAAATCGGTAAAGCGCGCGACGTGGCCGGAAGCTCTGTGGAGTGAAACGAGGAGCACACTCACGTCAAAATCGTGTCGTCGAGGGCAAAACAACACACACACGCCTCTTTCTTTGGAGCAAGTGGAAAAGAAAGCACGCGGATGGGGCAAACGTACTTCAAAACGGGCTCGATGGTGAGCATGGAGCAATCAACCTCAAGCATTTGCTCTTCAAAGACAAAGTGGCTGCGCCAGAGGCTCAGCAGGTTGGCCTTGATGGCACAGCCGGTCGGACCGTAGTCGTACAGACCCGCAACACCTACAAAAGGACAACGATGACATCGACGTAACCACCAAACCAAAAGTGAGCGTTTGGGTCTTCGAGTCGTTCCCCCCATTCCCATTCCCACTCAACAGCTCGCACAAAGCTAGCAAGCGACGAAATAGCCTCGGCTACCCCATCTTTTTGCCCCTTCCCCCCCCCCCAATCGGCGGGTTTCGAGTCGTGTGCCATGACCTCATTGCAGCCATACCATTGTAAATCTGGAACGAAGGCGTCCAGAAGAAGCGGCGCTTCATGACCTTGTCGAACGCAGTGCGGTTGAAGACGGGCTCTGGCGGCGACAACAGTGCCTCCTATGTGTGTCCAAGTCAGCGTCCAGAGGTCCAGAGGTCCCAGAGGTCAGTCGAGCCATGACGCAAGCCGCAAACACGCAGTGAGGTATCGGAAGCGAAAAAAAAAAAGAAAAAAAAAAAAGAGAATTCCGTGCTTGCACGAGTTCCACCAGAACGCCACGCTCTCCCGCCGCCGTCGACGACTCGCACGAACGCCGCTCGACAAGTAGTCATGCTTGGCGGTTGGTCAAACAGCTCGCGTCGGACAGCCAGTCCCACACACACACGCCGCTTCAAACAAAACCATATGGAGATCCCTTTTTTTTTTTTTTTTTTTTTTTTTTCGGTTTCTCATGGTATTGGGTTCGTTGCCAACAACACCATCTCAATCAGAGGCAGCCGGATGTTGCTTGGGATGTGACTCACCTTCTCATCGAGAGCGGCCTTGCGCAGCTTGAGCTCGGCGACGGCCTTGGCAAGCTCTTGCTTCGTGGCGCCCTGTATTGCATTGCAGAAGATTGAGACCAATCGATCGCCTTCAACGTCCTCTCACAGACATGCGGCAAGAACAAGCTACAAAGCAACATCGGCTAGAACTAAAATCATGGTAAAAAGCCACACACGCACCTTGCTCTTCATGTCGCGGACGAGGTCGCCCTGCTGGACGACAAGTTTGCGCAGAGCTTCGATCTCAGCTTCGGCAGTCGATGCCATATTTGTGCGTGTTGAACAAAAAAATGAAGAATGGATCAAAAATTCTCAGATTCAGTTGAAGCACAGTTGGAAAGTAGCGTGCGATTTTCAACTGATGTTCATTCGAGCTTCAGGCCTGTGCAGGTATCGGGGTTAGCGCGCGTTGTTCACTCTTCACCACACTTTTCTCGCTGTACAGTGCCCTCCCTCCCTGTACATGCAGTTGAAAGAGTCTCGAGTGCTTAAAACAGCCCGCCCAAAACACACAGCCCTACATCATTGGAGCGGGGCTGAAGAACGGGGAAAACAACACAAACGAAAATTGTACAGATCATATTGATCAAACAAAACAGCCAAAACAAGCATCGCATAGAATGAATGGAAACAACATGACAGAAAGCAAATATAAACGTTATCAGAACAACAGCCATCAAAGTGCTGCTGAAGAGTGTGAAAACCCCGCACCCAACATCTCACTCGGTCAGATTCAAACCACCGCGACTCTGCCACCACAGAATACACCGGCGAAGGGCGCGATCGAGATCCACCTTATGACAGGGCTTGCTGAGATAGCCTTGCATGCCTGCGGCGACACAGCGCTGCCGATCGGCCACGAGGACATTGGCCGTCATCGCGACAATGTAGGGCTTGCGGTGTTGCGCAATGGCAGGGTCTTCCATGATGCGAGCTGATGCACTGACACCATCAAGCTCTGGCATATTAATGTCCATCAACACACAGTGGAAGGGCCGCGCTTTCACCGCCGCAACGGCCTCCAACCCGTTGTTGGCAAGCTCCACGTTGCGGTAACCAAGGACGTAGAGCAGTTTTGTGGTCACGCGCTGGTTGACAGGATTGTCCTCCGCCAGAAGAATCCTCAAGTCTTGAGGTTGGGCCTGACGGTCGCCCAGGGCGGTCGAAAGGTCGCCATGGTTGGCTGCGTTGGAAAGGAATAGTTGCTCCCCACCGCTCAAGCCGCCACCCGCCAAAGCCAGAGAGTACGCGTTGCTCGGAGAGAGCTCGCTCACGTCCAGGTTGTTCTCATGCAGCGCCTGTGAAAGCGGCGCCGAGACCATCGTCGCATTCGACAGAACTGCGGCAGAGACGGCTGCCGCAGTGGCCGCTGCAGCTGTGGCAGCAGCAACAGCTGCGTAGGCAGCTCGGCCACTTGCGCTGGCGTCTCCGAGATCGCTGGGGATGCTTCCATTGCCCACGTTCAAGTCCTCTCGGCTGCCGCCACTCGCGCGGAGCGATCGAACGCCCGCCTCGTTCAGCAAAGCGCTTTGTGAGATCCGGCCGCCAATGCGCGGTTCGGTTGTCAGGCCGAGCGCCTTGAGCAGACTCTTGGCGAGCTGCAAGCGATGCACGGGTTTGCTAATGACGATGGATGGACAGCCGACCTCCGACTGCAGAGAATCGGGCCGAAGAAGTCGCGGGGGACCAACCAGGACGATGGGTGCAATATGTTGGGCAACGAGGGCCAGGAGCTTGACCTCACCCATCTCTTGGGCAGTCTGCAAATCAACAACGACGACATCCACTTTTGTTGCAACAGGGCCGTCGACAGACCGCAGCGCAGAATGTGAGTTTTCACCCAGGCGGAAGGTCGCAGACGCCACGCCGACGTCGACTCGAAGCTGCCGCGAGTGTGGAGGTTCCACAGTGACGAAAGCAGGTTTGTGACCATTCTCCGCTGCCAATCGAGACGAAACGGAAGTGCCATCCAGTTGCGACTGTGGCGGCGGTGACAGGATGGATGCTGGCGAGACCATGGAGTCGCGTGTTGTGGGCTGTGGTAGCGTGTCCGCAGAGCGTCGAAGCACAGCGGAAGGCAAAGACGGGCCAATGCCAGGGCTGGAGGGCGATGTCGACGGGGAAAGCTGCAGCAGCTGCACAGGATGCAACTGGTGCGCCTGGAGAAGCGCGCTGACCGAGGCGAACGGGACGGACACGGCTCGAGTCGCAGCCACATACAGCTGCAAGCCCGCGAGTTCGATGGCATGCGACGACACGACGGCCACGACCTTGTTTGCCAGCGAATTGTTCTGCAGCAGGTGCGACATGCTCGAGAAGCTGCTGGCAAAGTTGTTGTCCGTCATGATGGGTGACGTGGTCGGCACCGTCTCCGTAAAGTGGGAGGAAGGCAGCCCCAAACCGCGTGGGTCTGGACTGCGCGTCTGTGCCGCAGCAAAGTGTTGGGTGAGGGCCAGTGTTTCGGGGCTGGATTTGGTCGCGTGCACTGCATGCACGGAGGGCGACGCTGACATGACGGGTCCCACCCAGGTTTGCAGCGTTTCGACCGGCAGGGTAAAATGGAAGCTGGAACCACGGTGGAGCTCGCTGTCGACCCAGATATGGCCGCCAAGCAGACTGACGAGCTTGTGACAGATGGCAAGTCCAAGGCCAGTGCCGCCAAACTTGCGTGTCACGGACGAGTCGACCTGGAAGAACTTGTTGAACAAGACGTGGATTCGGTCGGCAGGAATGCCAATGCCTGTATCGGCCACGGTAAAGTGCAAAACTTGACGAACGCCAGTCATGCTCGTAGAGCTGGCCGATCGGAGACTTGGGCGGCCGGCGCGGAGTCCCAACGGATGTGCCTGTTGACCTGCCGTGATGGCTGGAACAGGAGCAGCCGATTCTTTCGATTCCACACGAGCCTTGGCAATGTTTTGCTCGGCCATCTCAACGACAGCGGGCGACGCCATGCGCACCATGACCACCGCCTCGCCTTCACGTGTAAACTTGACAGCATTGCTGAGCAGATTGACAATGATTTGTCGCAAGCGGGTGACATCGCCCACCACAACTTCGGGGACGAGCGAGTCGACCAAACAGGCCAGCCGAATGCCGCGCTCTTGCGCTTTGCCGCTGACAATATCCAGCGCCTCTTCCATGCACGAGAGCAGCTCGAAAGGCAAGCGCTCCAGCTGCACCATGCCGCTCTCATACTTGGAAAAGTCCAAAATGTCGTTGATGATGCGCAGCAACACTTCACCAGAGCTGCGCATGCCGTCGACGAGCTCTCGTTGCTCGACATTCAGGCTCGTTTCGCCCAGTAGCTCACCAAGGCCCATGACGGCATACATTGGTGTCCTGTGCGAGTGTGGCGATTACAACATGCAAACATGCAAGCAGAAACACAAAGCACAAAAAGATAAGCGTCACGAGTTTGTTCACCAACAAGCCGGAGCCGGCCGTTTGCCCGTAGTTTCAGCAACAATGCAACTCACCTCAGCTCATGACTCATCATGGCAAGGAACTCGCCCTGCATGTGCGATGCCAGCTCGGCTTTTTGCTTGGCACGATCCTTTTGCAGCATCACCTCGACATTCTTCCGTTCGACCATCAATTGACGCGCACGATCGAGAGCAAAGCTGATTTGGTCGCAAACTTCTTCGACAAGTCGGGTTTCATGCTGAGCCCACTCGTGTGGAGCATCGAGTTGGAGGAGAATCACAGCGTACTGGCGTTGAGTCGTGAGGTCGCTGCCGGCAGAGTCAGAATCAGCATCAAAATCATCACCAGCATAGTCTTCTTCGCCGTCGTCTTGCAGGTCGGCCGCATCCATGTCAAGAGCGACGGAATCAGAGTCTACATGAGAGGACACGGGACGAGATGCACTCTGGCTGCTCTCTGTGATCGAAGTAGGCAATGGCACGCGGACTGCCAGTAATGCTTTTGGTGGCAAGCGTGCCGTCCCATTGTGCTGAGGGTGTGAGAATGGCTCAAGCAGCTCAATCAGGCGAGGCTGAGCCATCACGTCGACAGCGCCCACACTCGAGCTGACAAGCTTGATCAAGGCAGCCTTGGAGTTGAGCACTGTGGGTGGCGACTGTATTGAAAAGCCAGAGGTTTGGGAGTCGCACTGCACGTCAGTGACGGCGACCATTGGGGAGGTGAGCAGCTCCTGAGAGGTGCGTGCTCGGGACCGGGTCATGCTGGCTTTGCTGCCGCTGGTTGGGAGCGGCGCTGGTCGCCCACTACTGGTGGGTGAGTCCGAGTTGTAATTGGGACCATCGAGTTGCTCGCGAACATCAGCCTCCGACAAGGTGGTGGTCAAACGGCGCCGAATCGGAAATCGACGACTTTTAGGGTCGTACAAATTGGACGAGTGCGCTGCTGTCGACAGTTGTGCGGTCGTCGTCTCGACGCCGAGCAGTGGCGCTGTCGACGAACTGAGTTCGATACCCTCCTCGTTGTCGTCGACCGGCTCGCACACCGATTTGAGCAGGCGCGCGGCCTTCCCAGCAGCTGGAGATGCTGATCGTGGGGAGGTGGGAAAAGACGACACGCCTCTTGGGGAAGAAGCGCCTTTTGGGGAGGCTACGCTGCTGCGAGGCGAGGTCACATGTGAGAGCAGATTTCGAGTGGACGTTGCCGCGCTCGAATGGGTCGAGTGGAACGACGACGCGCCTTCTTCCGTTGAGGCAGATTGCAGGAGAGTGACGGCTGCAAGAGCGTGCTGTGGCGGCAAGTAGATGGTACAGCGGTCGAGATTGAGCGCATTGGCCAGACTTTCTGCAGCTGCGGCCAAGATGGAGGGTTCGTCGCGCGCCGTTCGCATCGCTCGCATGAGTGTGCGCACCATCCGGTGCTGTCTGCGCTGGTTGAGCTTGTTGGCTGCTTCATCCTGCTTGAACTGTCCCAACTCTTGCTCGAGCGCAAGCGCGTGCGATTGCAGTCCCAAAGCCATCGGAATGACCTTGATCAAGTAGATGGCAGTGGCAACCGAGATGAGGGCGCATGCAATCTTTGCCGCCAGCATGACAGTCATCAAGTCAAAGTGGAACATGAACACATGAACGAGATGGGTGATTCCGCACTGTGATGAGAAAACAACGACAACACAAAACGTTGATAAGGTTTGAGTTTGACAAACAAAACAAAACAACACAACAACGTCCAGCGCAAAAGAGACAAACGAGATGGTGGAGCCGAGTCACACTACGAGATGAGTCATTCATGATGTGTGCAAAGTGTTTTGGATGGTGATGTACGTGCTGGAACCTAACCAAGCACAAGCATGACAACGAGACAAAGCCGTGCCGTTGCCCCCCAAAAAGGGGTGCAGCCAGGCAACGAAACACATCGAACTTGCCACTTTCGTCAGGTGGTGTTGTTTTGGGTAGAAACACCAAAGATGGCGCAATTGTGCGGCAGACCGGTCGCATGAGATGCGTCATCCGATTCGAAAAAAGAACATGTTTTGGTCAAAACAAGAAGCCAGCTGGAGCGCTGCTGAGGCTATCTGCACACTTCTTAAAGAAGCATAATGGGGGGTTCTTATTCGCCAAGGTGGCAACAAAGGTGCGAACCCGACTCATCACGCGTTGCCAAAAGAAAAACAAAAAAAAAAAAAACAAACTCCAACGCAATTCCTAGTGGCGCGTGCTCACGAAGAACGAAACCGAAAAACCTCAAACATACTACGTAGGTTGGTAGTTCGTTTGTTTGCTGGGATGTGGAGGAAAACACACAGGGCTCAGCAAAAAGAGGAATCGGCGCTCCAGCGTTGGGTTGTTTGTTTCGGAGTTTGCCAATTGACGCTCGTGGCGACCAACACACGCCGCCCAGACGCAAGCGCTCGCTCACTGGCTCACGAATTGCGCCCCCACATGCCCCCACACATGCACAAAGCGCGACATGCACATGAGAGGAGTCCAAAGCCATGGGCCAAAGTGGGATGATTGTCGGCGAATGCAGCGTTGGTTTTTCGCTCAGCTATTCCTCCTCCCCAATTCCTTCCTCACATGGCCCAGCTGACACCCCCGCGAAACCCAAACTCAACTCCGCGCATGTTGGCTTTGTTGTCCAACAGGTCCACATTGGAAGTATTCAAAACTCAGTGAGTTCGTTGCGAATAGAGCAAAGCCAAATAAATACGTCGGAATGCGAAAAAAAGTAGGTGTCGGTGAAAAAAAAAAAATCAAATAAAAAAAAAATGAAAATAAAGAAAAGCCGAGAGAAGACCACACGGCAGAGAAGCGCCTGGCATGGAGACGCAAGGCAAAGCAACGAGACGGAAGCAGGAGCAGGAGATGGAGAGAACGAGCGAAGGAAGGGGGAGAGGGAGAGCGGCAGAGGGAGAGAGAGAGAGAGTAGAGGGCAAGCAAAGCAGCAACCCCCAACTCGTCTCAGTTGGCGACTCTCACGCGTCGGCTGGTCCGCTCCCGGATCAAACCAGCATCCCATGCCAATACGCAAGTACAGCGCCTGATGAATGATGCAAGGCGCGAGGCGAAAAGACGAAACGGAGAGAGACGAAGCGAGACGCCAAAAAAAAAAAAAATAAACAAAAATTAAAAAAAAAAGGTCCGTCAAAGTTTCTCATTCAGGTTGGTGCTAATCGTGTTGGAGCGTGAGCGAAAAAGTTGTGCTGCTACTTACAGCGAGGATGAACGACTCGAAGAGCACGAGGACGACGCTGTTCGGCAGGTTTGGAAGGCGCTTCTTGAAGATGTGAATCTCAATGGGAACGGCAAAGTACGCCAGCGCAATGAGCAAGTCGGCGAGCATGGTCAGCGCCACTACCGGCTCAGCCACGTCGTTGTACATGGACAGCATGGCGCCCGCTTCACTCTCTGGGTCGGCGTGTCTGCCTTGGCTGGCGGGCTGCCTGGATGGGCGGGGCTGTCGAAGGTGGGTGCTCACACGAGGCCGGTTTGCAAAAAAAAAAAAAAAAAAAAAAAATGGAGGGAGGGTTTTCCTGCGCGAGCGAGCGATCGCTGTGCTGGAGGAAGCCGAGGGCAGGCCCTTGTCGCGCTGTTGTCGAGAGTTGCTCCTTTGCCTCAGAACAAAGCGGGGAAACGAAGCAGAAAAGAGAGAAAAATGCGCGATGAAGGAGAGCGGGAGAGTGGCAGAAAACAAAAAAGGAAAATTAGCAAAAAAAAAAAAAAAAACTGGACTGGGACCAAGATCAGAGTCCCGGTTGCTTTTGTTTTTTGGGGGGTCTCGAGCATTGAGAAGAGCGAGGGCAAGTCGGATTCGAACTGGCCAAGCATTCTACATTACGTTTGCAAGGGGGGAAAAGCTGTGGGTTGGGGCCTTCTTGTGTTTTGCGTAATGGGTTGATGATGAGAGTGATGATAGGGAAACAAGAGACTTCACTTATACAAAGCGACGAGTGAACACACTCCAAATACAGATACACATCAATCCATAACACTCCGCCTTTCTTTCCCCCCCTTTCGAGACATTCCCAAAGCACTAGCGCTTCTTGCGTTTGGCACTTTCCCGAGTAGGCTTGTTCGGGTTAGCCTTATGAAATGCCTCCGTCATTCGATGGTGTTCTCCAAACACCTCCCACGGCTCAACAGTCGGTTCCTCCACGCCTGTCCACTTGACCTTGTACCAGAGCGTTCCTTTGTCAATAAAAGAATCAACAATCTTTTCCGCTTGATAATACTTTTCGCCTTTCATGTGAATGGGACGAGGCTCGGACACTGGCCGGCCAGGTATGCCATCCGCCCCCACGGCCTTGACCCGTGAAACATGGAAGCGAGGATGATGCTTCATGAACTTTGGCAGGCGAAGCAGCACGGTGTGCTTGTCCGCCTCGAGCACTTCGAACGGACCAATGTACGTCGTTCTTGACACCGTTCTTGTCTCGATTCGGCTTTTGGACGTGCCTGGGAGCTTGACTACTGGTGCTGGTCTCCGCTCGTACCTTGCTCGGCATGCTTTCGACCAACTCGTTCAATGCATCAATCCACGTCATCTCGGTGGTGTCCTTGCACAGCTCCTTCGCCACATCGCGCACGCCTTTGTCTTCCGCTTGCAGCACAATGAAGCGCCTCACCAAATCATCCGTAAGTTCCGCTTTGGGCACATTCAACAGCATGACCTTCTTGAAGTGCCTCGCAGAAATCTTTGGATCCGCCACCGCTTGGATGATTTCCCTGAGTGCGTTATTCTTGCTGTTCTTGACGCCATACACATTCATAATGTACTCCAGCAGAGCTTCCGCAGTCTCGAACTTGACATGGCTACAGTAACGCCTCGCTGCGACACCCAGATGACCAAGCACAAAGTCGACCTTGTCCTTCTCGGGTGCCGTCACTGACTCAAGCTTGCGTCGGATGTCCGTGACAAAACGTTCCAGATCCAACAGCGTCCCATCGAAGGGTGTCACCTGCATGCCATGTCTCCACAGTTCAGTGCTGGTGGTGGGGCTTGCCGTGGTGGTGGAGGCCGCATGGCTTGATACAGCGATCTCAGCGGTTCCCTTGCGCATCGCCTCCTTGACGACCTCCTGCATTGAGGAAACCATCGCTTGAGTCATCATTCGCATCATCTCTTGCGCGCTCATTGGTTCAGCTGGTGCGCTTGTTGCGCTCGACGTGCCCGCAGTGGGCGCCGTCGTATCGACGCCCTGCTCGTTATTGGGCATTGCTTGATTCTGATTCAATTTCCTGGTTCCTACTCTAGTCGTCACCTTAGACATCAATTACTCGACCCTCGAGACTCGTCGCAGTGTTATGATCAGAGATCCTTCCACGAAGATACGAGTAATGGGTTGATGATGAGAGTGATGATAGGGAAACAAGAGACTTCACTTATACAAAGCGACGAGTGAACACACTCCAAATACAGATACACATCAATCCATAACAGGAAAAGCTGTGGGTTGGGGCCTTCTTGTGTTTTGCGTAGTCCAAGCTTGCCGTTGATTGTTCGTCAACCTGCTCATCGGCCACACATGTGCCATGTGCGTGAATCAATAAACAAGCAAACAGCAGAACGCTGCATGTCAAGGTTTGAGCGTGTCGTTGTTGGCTTTTGCGCGTTCATGTCCGCAACCAAGCGGCAATCTGTTCCCAAACGCTCGGCCTCTTTCACAAGCCCGGGATGCTCATACTCTCACTGAGCGGCAAAGTGCCCGTCATCCGACAACATCGACTCTATTGGTACTGCATCTGGCGTGCGATGGGTGGTGCATACAAGCAGAGTTTCGGACAGATTCGCACCGCGTTCTTCTCATTCACCATCGTTGAACTGCTTGAACTGCTTGCTGACCAGGTTGCCTCTCTCGACGGTGCGCGAGGTGACATAGCTCAAGCACCTTCTTTGCTTTTTAAAACGCGCCAAGAATCAACGCACCGGAGCCCGGTCAGTGCGATGTTCTGGATACCAGCATGACTTTCGCGCCCTCTGGTTGCTTTTCCTCCTTCAGCTGTGCCTTGTTGGCATCGCACTTTGTGCCAACTACGAGCCTTAGGTCTGAGCACTACTGTAGACAGAGCTGCGAGGGTTAACGAGCGCCACCGTCCTCTTGAACCTGGAGCATGTTTACGACCGTACAGTACTCGGAACATGCGAGGAGGAAGGCCGAACGCAGTGTTATTGTATCCGAGCCTGGTCCTTCTCTTCAAGAAGCTGCTCGTGCCATACGCCTTGCGCGTCAGGCCGAGAGTGGACCGATTCAGACCACGTTCAGTGTTTGCGCGCGTTCTCCAAAACCTGCGCTGCTCACCTCTGGAGAAACGAGCAACACCGGTGATGCTCCAGCGTCAAGTCTTGGCTCGAACCACTTGTCTCGCACTGGTCGACAAACTAACTCAAGGGGGTGTGCGAGTTTTCTCCTCCTTGGCAATTCTAATGATTGTTTGTGAGACTTGTTTTCCCGCCACATTTTCATTTCGTCCGTTCTTCCATCCCATCCCATCCCATTCCCATCCTCGGCAGCTCAGACAAATTCCCCCCAATTCCCAATCCATACAAACGCATTCAGTCTTCCTTTTTTTCCATTGTATTTTTTATTCCTTGTGTAAGATTGCCGTTTAATCGCCATTTTCAATTGTGTGTCTCGTGTTCTTTTGGCCAGCTGATCTCCCGCCACTCGCTTTCGCTTCCTCTGATTTTTCTCTCTCTTCCTTCTTTTTTTTTTTTCCTCCGTCCCTCTTTCCCGCCTTCTTTCCCCTCCGCTCCTCGTTCTTGTCCTCCTCTTTGCTTTTCTACTTGTTCCGCCCTTCTCTCTTCGTTGCTCCATTTTTTTTTCTATCTACTACTTTTGCCTTTTCGTTCGCACTTCATCGAACCTTTTTTTTTTTTTTTTTTTTTTTTTTTTGATTGCAAAACCCCACGAGTGCGACCTCTCTTTTCTGTTCGTTCAAGTTCTCACTCTCAACACCACCAAACAACGTCGTTCCATTCCATTCAATAACTCAGACATACAGACACACACACAATGGCGGACTACTCTGGCGGCGATGGCTCGACTGCTGCGGATTTGAGCGCGCAGACGTGGACGGTGGTCGGCGCTGGGCCCGCGGGCGTCCTGATGGTCGGCCAGCTGCTGCGCGCAGGCGTCGCGCCAGACCACCTGTACTGGGTCGATCTCGCATTCAAGGGCGGCGCGATGGGCGAGCACTACCGCGGCGTCCCGTCCAACTCAAAGACCATCATCTACCGGTGGGTTTTGGAGCGCATGGGGCACAGCGCGTGCGCCGACTGCAAGGCCATGCTCGACGCCGCCGAGGTCTTCCCCCCGCTCGCACTTGTCGGAAACTTCCTTGCATGCATGACCAAGGAGTACGAGGCGCGCGGCGTCCGGTGCATCCGCGATCAGGTCGCCAGCACGTCGCGCTCGGCCGTCACCTCTGCCTCCAACGCGAATGCTGCACAGGAACAGCTCCTCGCCAAGAAGCAACTGGCGCAATCCCAACAGTCACAAACCCCCGGCTCGTTGCCGCCGTCGCCCGACCCGAACGCGTCGGCCATCACGATGCCCATCGCTGTTGCCTCGGCGGCCGGCGGAAGCGTGCCCACCAGTCGCGCAACGTCGCCGACACACCGTGATGTGAACGAGATTGTCTCACTCGCAGTCAACGCCTCTGGCGAGCTCGTCGTCTCCAGCTCTACTCCGCGCAGCGCACATTCGCGCACCACGTTCAGCTGGAACGTGTCCACCGCCTCTGGTCAGCAGTGGCATTCGGACGTGGTCGTCGTGGCGACTGGCGCGACTCCCCGATCGCGCTGGATTGCGGTTGGTGGCAAGACCGTCGAAGTCCCCTCGGACAAGCTCGTCTCGCTCATCGAGTGCCTGAACAAGGAGTCGCTCGCAGCCCTGCTCGCACCGCTCTCGGGCACCGCCGAGGCCCCCCGCAAGCCCACGATCGGCATTGTCGGCAACTCGCACACGGCCTACCTCGTCGCCATGTTCCTGGTCGAGCTCGGGGCCGCCGTGCGCATCTACGCCCGCGAGCCAGGTTCGGTCTATGTCACTCCGCTGCAGGGCCTGACTGATCTCGAGTACTACATGAGCGATGGCCTCAAGGGCCCCGTTGCTCACTTTGTGCTCAACGGCAACCGCATTCCCGGCGTCGCGTGCGACAGCCCTTCGCAAGTCGAGGTGTTCACCGGCGAGGACGGCATTGCCTCGTTGCTCGAGTGCGATCGCGTGCTCCTCGCCATCGGCTTTGAGCAGCGTCCTCCACAGGGTCCACCTTCTCGGCTTTGTCGACGCCAATCAGCCGTCTGTCGGCCTGTGGTCGTACCTGAGCGACGCTGCAGGCATTGTCACCGAGTCACCGAGCACATGCAATAACAAGTCCGGGCGACTTTTGTAGTTAATTTGGCGGTGTTTGTGTGTTTTTCTCTATTGATTTATACTCTGTGTTGTGGTTTGACTTTTTTTTTTTTTTGTTTGTTTGTTTGTTTGTTTGTTTGTTTGTTTCTGTAGTTACTGTCGTTAATGCACTATTATTTTTTTCTTCTTGTCGTTTCGCGCGCACTCTTTTTTTCGCATAGTATCAACTGGATGGAGTGCTTCACGGCGTTTCATGATACAATGTGTATTGGCGTTTCTGCAAAGTCACCCTGCATCACGATCGCGTCAACAACAGCTTGATAACTATAAGCTTCCTCACTTGCGGGGCCAGGCACTGGGCGCAGAGGGGCCGCCCGAGGGTCGCTGGAAACCGCCTCGGCCGACAGCCGAGGTCATGGAGCGCTCGCCCATCTTGGAGCGCACGCCGCCTCGAGGACTCTTGCCAAACTTGGGCTCTTCGACCTTGATGGTCTCGGACGGTGCGGGAGGCCGCGCAGATGCCGGAGCGCGGTTGCTCACAGCGTTCAGCGCGGTAGTCGCTGTCTTGCTATTTGCGGCCTCAACAAAGACATCCGACATCGACTTGGTCTTGTAGTCGAACGCCTTGAAGGTGCCGGCAGACACGGCCTTGGCCGCAGGATCGTCAGCCAGCGCGGCGGCGGGTGTTTTTTGCGACTGGGGCTTCTTGTTCTTTTTGCTCTTGGTCTTGTCGGTTGTTGCTGGTGCGAGCTCCTGAGTCTGCATACTGGACGATGTGTCTTCCTCGTTCTTCGAGGCGGCAGTGGTCGCTGCAGATTCCTTGACATCCTCGTCCTCCTCATCGTCTGCTTCAACACGAGCCTTTTTGCGAGGCTCGTCTTCTCCGCGAGCTTCGGCAGGGACGATCGCCACTTCTGCTCCGGCTGCGGCAGGCGCTTCCGACTCCTCCATCTCTGACGCAGACCGTTTGGTCGAGAACAAGTTGCCCATCTCAGACCAGATTTGACGACGACGCTCCTCGCGCTCTTCACCAGCAGAGTCCACTTCCATCGCCACTGCGCCAGCGGGCGAAGCGTGCACGCCTCCCGCACGCGGCAGCTGGGACACAACCGAGCCGGTCAGAGCTTGCGCCAGCTTGGATGTTGCCTGCAGCGATGTGGCCTTCTTGCTAGAGGTCGCGGCAGAAGCAATGGCCGAGGCTGCCAGAGCGGTTGCGATTGCAGCAGGCACAACAGGCATAGATGCCGCTTCTGCCCCCGAGTTGCTGTTTGAGGCATGCGCTTTATCCAACAGTGCACGTATCCGTGTTGCGGGGGACCCTGCCGCGGCGGCTGTTGGCGCGGGCTCTGCAACACCAGCAGCCGTCGCTTGTTTGCTTCCTGTAGCAGCAGCAGCATCCGAGCTGGTCGCCGCCAGAGCCTCTTCGCGCGCGCGCTTGATGAGCTGAACCAGGTCTGTCACATGCAGACGGACGAGCGGGGGCACCGGGATGCAGCATGCCAGAATACCCGCCGACTCGGTCGGGAGCGCCTCGGCAATGTGGAACAGCATGTGGTTTGGCAGCACGTAGCCCGTGCTCTCGTCTTCCTCGCGGCCCATGCGATCGCGCCATGCAAACAATGCCTTGAAGACCTGCATTTGCTGCGGGCCAAACGTCCGCGAGTGTTTCAGGAAGAGCTGCATGTGCGAGTTTTCGGGATCAAACAGCGGCTTCTCGTACGTCTTCAAGCACACGTCCCGGCTCTTGGCGTAGGCGACACGCAGCAGGTTGCTAGACTCGTTGCTGCGGCTGACGAGCTCGTTTCGCAAGCGATCGTAAATGTACAGGAGGTAATGCGTGTCTTCGCGTGCATACTGCAGCATTTCGGCCGGGATGGGGCGGATGCGCCAGTCGGCCAGCTGGTACTTTTTGTCGGCGGTCACGTTGCAAAAGTAGCGCAGCAGGTGGGCGAGCGAGTACGAGCCGAGCTCGAGGACGCGTGCCGCTTGGCCAGTGTCGAACATGTTGATGGTGTAAATGCCAAAGTCGTGCTGCAACCACACCACATCCATGTCTGCACCATGGAAGACCTTCAGAATGTTCGGGTTGGCAAACACCTCGCGCAAGTGGTGCATGCTGCTGCGAACGGCGAGCGTGTCAATGACAACGTCTTCCGTGCGTGTGGACACTTGCATCAGGCAAACAAAGCCTTGCAGCGATCGGTACGAGTGGTGTTCCAAATCGATGGCAAACTCGGACACGCTCGACAATCGCCGCGCAAAGTCAATCAGCTCTTCCTCCGAGTCAATCCAGGTGAATGGGGTCTCTTCGTCGGTACGGTAGAGCTGCTCAGCCACCGCCGTGAGTTGTGTCTCTGCAGGCTCGAACGCCAACAGCTCGCGCTCGTACGGATGCGGGAAGGAGCCAAGGTCGTGGGCAAAGGGGACCTTTGGGTTGAAGGTGTTTTGCAGGACGCCGAGGGGGCGGGCTTCCTTCCGCTGCTGCTCCGCGTAGGCCATGTATTCTCGCTGCAGCGGGGTGAGTTGGGCGAGCGTCGCGGGCGCCAGGGGCACAAGCGGCACAAATGGCACGTTCGAGTTATCGACGCGGTCTGCAAATGTCAGCTGCGGCCTGGCAATGCCCTTGGCATGGAGCACGACAAACTCGCCGCCTTTCCGCCCCTTGCCTGGCGCGGGCTGCTTGCCGTTCGGCTTGGGCGATCCGCTCGGGCTGCCAATAGGACTCTCATCGGAGAGTCCACGCCGTGTCATGGGCGATGCGCTCCCCGTCGACGTCATGAGCGCCTTGTCCGCTGCAGACGCATGTGTTCGTCCGTCGGCGCCAGACTGAGCCGCGCGTGCCGCCACGCTTGCCGCCGCCGCCGCCGCCGTCGAGCTGCGACCACTCGTGGCATCGAGTGTGTTGTCAACGCGCTCCAGCGTCGTGTCCAGCTGCTCGACCACGGCGTCAAACAGCGCGTCGTCGTCATAGAAGGATCGCGTCGAGCCAGCGCGATCGTGGTTGACCAGCCTTGTAATCTACGCCAACACGCAATGCGACCAGCGTCGAATGAGCATCATCATCATCATCGTCATCAGGTTTTCCAATAAGTGTCAGTATGTGAAGCAAGCTTGGCTGTTGCATGGTGCTGGATGACGACCCTTTTCAGCTTGAGCCACATGGACCTTTTCTCATTCATCTCAATGCATTACCATGGTTTGAAGGCGGCCGCGGAGGCCGTTCATGCGCTCCCGGAAGCCAGGGTAGCTCATGTAAAACTCAAAGTCATTGCCGGCAGCAGGGATGGCATTCGATGCGCGGGTGGCGGCAACGAGCGACTGGAGCAGCTGGGTCGTCGTCTCGTCCATTGTTGCTGAAACAGAAGAAGAAGAAAAAAAAAAAGTGAATGGACGGCCATACAAAAACAGCAAAGGAGACAAAAAGGGATGCCGAGTAAAATAAAAGAAGAAGAAGCTGAAGAAGAAGGGGGAAAATGATTATTAGCGAGCATACAGTACAATTCAAGAAACAAAACAAAAACCAAAGAAACAAACCAAACAACAGACAAAACGGAAAACAACGAAAATCATTCATGTCAGAGCAAAAAAAAAACGAAAAAAGCACAATGCAGGAGAATGAACACACACACACTCGTGGTGACACAAGACCCCGCATTGAGACACGACAGTGAAAATGGAGGCGAGCGATCAAAAAAAAAAAAAAAAGCCATCGTCAAAAACCAAATCAAAACACTCCATTCATTCAGAACTTGTCCAAAATCGTCGGAGGCCATCCAAAGTCAAACCGCCATTCCATTCCAACCTCGCAGACAGTGCTGTTTTACTTGGCACGGACGTTGGACAACTGCGGGCGCTGGTTGGTCGTGTCCCAGTCGCTCGGCTCGTCCATTTGGCGCTGAAGCCACTGCTTGGCGTTGGTGCGGAGATTGGGCACGCAGGCAATGACGCATGGCTGGGCAGCTGTCGTAGGCATGGCCGTTGGGACAGTGGGCGACGTGGCTTCGATGGCGGACGCCGGAGAAGCAATCGAGGACCGCTTGGAAGGCACGGCCAGCGGAGTTGATGTGGCGTTTGGAGAAGCGGTGCGATTGATGATACCGTTCGAGCCGGCGACTCGGGACGGCGAGGGAGACAGCAGGGTGGTGGCCGAGCTGGCATCGGGAGTCTTCGAGTCAGGGACGGTGGCGACGTGCGGGTCTGGAGACGTGCTGCGAGACCGAACGATAGGGTCGGTGGTTGTGGTGGAAGTGGAGGACGCGGATGGGACGAGCGAGACCGGTGCTGGCTCTTGTTGGCGCACAACGAGCGGGACGCGTTTTTGTGACTTGCGAAAGTGCAGCGTGTTGTAAATGCCAGAAAGGTCGCCGAAGGGTGCGTCCTTGAGCATGACGTGCACAGTGTTGGCATCAAACCCGAGCCGCTCCATGCGTTCCAAGAGGTAGTTGTGGTCTGGCGGGCGGTAGATGACGGTTGTTGTGGCCGCAAGCGACGGCATGGCAACCGACGACGCTGCTGCCAGATTAATGTTTGAGCCAGAGTGGGCATTGGCCAAGGCTGTCAAGCTACCCGCAGACAGGTTTGTTGGCAGCGGCGTCGCTTGTTGTTGGGAATCTGCGACATTTGGCGAGGGGGCATCCGAGCCCGCCCCAGCCGTGGGGTTGGCGTTGGTTGAGCCAGAAACGGCAGTCGTGCCGTCAGGATTCAGCTCGCGCAACCATCGGTGGGAGAGAATTTGAGTGAGATTCGGGCGCTCGGCGGCATTGAGCGCCAGCAGCTTGTTCAGCAACCGTTTTAGAGCTGTGGTAGCCAAGAACAGAGCGCAACAAAAGTGAGGAGCAGTTCGTTTTCAAGTTGTTGTTGTTGTTGTTGCCACAGCTCTCTGACTTGGAACCCCCCCCCCCTTTCTTCATCCTTACAGCTAGACATGCCCTTGGGGAACTCCAACTGGCGACTCAACACAAGGCGCATCAAATCGTCATATGTTGCGGTTCGGAAGGGTCGAAGGCCCGTGACCATTTCGTACAAAACAACACCTGCGCAACAACAGAAACAGTGAGACGCATGCATGCAACTCGTCGCGCAACAAATTTCCATCTGAAAAAGTGCTGCCTTACCAAGCGCCCAGATATCCACAGCCATCGGCTTGTACGCTTCCCGTCGGAACAGCTCGGGAGCCATATAGTACGGAGTACCAACCCAGATGTTGTCGATCGTTTGGTCGGGCCAACATTGAACAGAGAGACCAAAGTCGGTGAGCTTGACGTTATTGTCCGCGTCGAGGAGAACATTGCACGACTTCATGTCACGGTGGAAAATGTTGAGCGAGTGGCAGTACTCGACGGCCGAGGCAAGCTGCATAAAGAGACGGCGGCACTCGCGCTCGCGAAGCGGGATGTCGTCGCCAAGCGCCTTCAAGTAGTAGTCCACACGGCCCGCCGTGCAGAGCTCCATGAAAATGTACATGTACACTGGCGTGTTTACGACCTCAAAGAGACGCGTAATGTGCGGGTGCGCCGTTGCCGGGTGGCTCAATCGCTGCATAATGTGCACTTCGTGCAAGAGCCGATTCAAGTGCTCGAGATTGAGCTTGGTCTTGTTGACAATTTTCACCGCGACCTGTGTTTGGCATTGAAATCAAACAAGGCGATGAGTTTGGGTTTTTTTTTTGTTGTTTTGGTTTTTGGTTGAACAAAAAAATAACAAAGGACTTCTTTTGCTCAGAAACCAGAGCGAAGTGAAGTTTTCTTAGCAAAACAAACAAACAAGAAAAAAAAACCTAAAAAGTTTGATTCGCTCGCTTTTTTTTTTTTTTTTTTTTTTTTTTTTTTTTTTTTTGCTTGTTTGCTTGTTTGCCTTACCAAGGTGTTTGTGAGAGTGTGCTTGGCGATCTTGACAATGCCCGATGCGCCCTTGCCAATGGTGCGACCCAATGCATAGAAGGACACCTGGTCGGGAATCTTTGGCTCTGGCGGTGGCTGGTGGTAGACCGCTTGACCGCCGTGCTGTTGCTGTTGCTGCTGTTGAAGCAAGAGCTGCTGTTGGTGCAAGAGCTGCTGCTGCTGCTGCTGCTGTGTTAAGTGTTGTTGTGAGTAGTGCTGTTGTTGTTGCTGTTGCTGTGGTCGGTTGTACTGCTGCTGCTGGAGCTGTGCGGCGATGGCTGCGGACGAGTAGTGCTGCGGTCCGCCTCGTTGCTGCTGTTGCTGTGCTTGTGCATTGGGGTGGTAGGCATTGTAGAACTGCTGCTGCTGCTGCTGCTGCGGCTGGCCGTTGGGTCGTTGTGCCATCATGACCTCCTTCTGCGTGTCTGCGTCTGTGTCGTGCTTCTGTGTGAAGAGCGTTCAAAAAAGATTGTGGGGGTGAGCGAACAAGGAACCAAAAAAAAAAAAAAAAACTCAATGGAAACTCATACAAATAAAAAACAAAATAATAAAATAATAAAAAAATCCATGGTTTTAATTTTTTTAATTTTTTAATTTTTTGTTCCCACCGAGTTCTTTTTTGACAAGCTCGCTTTTTGGCTTGGATCAGCCACTGTGAATGGACTTGAAACAGCAAGAAAACGACCGGGCAGCGAAAACGAAGCTGGAAACAAGAAAGGAAGGGCGACCAAAACCTAAAAGCGCAAAACACGGCAAAATGCCAGGTTTCTGAAAATGCGTCGGGTTTTTCGCACGAGGGAAGCGTTGCATCAGCCAGCCCAGCCAGCCAGCCACGCAGGGCAAAAGCACAGTGGCGTACGACTGAAGCCGATTCCAATTGCAACGGACTGCTCATCGCCGGCGGGTTGGGGGAGGTGGATGTGCGGTTTCTGGTGGGAGAAGTGCGGTTCGGACGATGGCTGGGGCAGAACCACGAGCGAGCGTGGTTTCGCTTTACCTCTGTTGTTTGACAAGGATGAAACTCAAGTGAATGTCAACGATAGAAAAATAAAACTGAAAAAAAAAACAAGGACTGAGTGAAACTAACGTTGAAGCAGAACGTGAGAAATGAGCAATAAGGAAGAAAGTAGGGAATTGAAATGGGAAACAAAATACAAAAAAACCCACACCTTCACAGACACACAACAAAAAAAGCCACATTAGCCGCACTCTGGCTGAGAGTAAGAAAATTCCTAGGCTGAGAAAGTCGAAATGCAGCAAAAAACGAATACCAAACATGGTTGGTGGAGTTGTGGAGTTGGGAGTAGTAGCAATGAATGGAAGAACAGAACAGCTGTCGCACTTTTGTTCGCATTTTGGCAACGACGTAGGGAATGATCGACTCAAACTAAAGGGGGTGTCTCGTCAGAAGAGCGACGTATCAACACAGCAAAGCATGGCGAGACGCGATGGATCGTCGAGAGTTCGGAGATCAAGTGGGGGAACGAAAACTCACGTCGGGATCCAAATGCAACGACGCAAATGTCCTGAATGTTTGGGTTTTGATAATGCTGGCTTCGCGCTCAAGTCGCTGAACTTTGCACCCATACAGAGAGACACAATAAGCCACATCATGGGAACTCGGAACATGTGATCTCATTGGGAGGAATCGCTCATTGGCGAGCGTGAATAGCAAAAAAGTAGGAAGTGTCAAAAATACTGCACCCGATGGGATCAGTCATACATGGAATCTGTTTCTTGTTAGTCTACAGAGCCAAAGTACAAGTACAACAAACCTGCGGCTATTAAAGTACAAAAAGGAAAGGGGGGGGGGAAATAGGGGAAGAGAGGCGAATGGCCGTCCTTTGCTGTTGTGAAGTTCTCCTATCACGACGAAAGCAGCGGACGCGTGTCTGACTGACGCCGACCGTCCTCCTGTTTGAGCGGCCAGTAAGCAAGTGCGAAAAGCACAGCGCTGAGCAAGTAGGTGCCGGGGAAGAGCACCAGCAATGCGTCCTGCAGGCCGAGACCTGCGTTGTACTGCAGCGGATCGACGAGAACGGTTGCATTGCCGCCAATGTTCTGAATGATGAAAAAGTACAATGCGACCGCAAACGAGCGCATGCGGATGGGGAAGAGATCGACAACGAGGGCCATGGTGACACCCATCCACATCTCGCTAAAAATGTTTGCTGGCAGCTGAACGACAAAGCACCACGGATAGTCCAGCCACAGAGCGCCGGCTGCGAGCGGGGTAGCAAGCACTTGGCTGGCAACGAGGAGCCAGACGCGGGATCGCCCGCCGTACCGCAACCCAAACCAGTCGGCCAGAGCGCCGCCGAGCATTGTTCCGATCGAGCCACTGACCAGCGGCGTCCAGCTCATCCACGCGGCTATTTGGTCTGGAGACAAGTGTCGTACGTTCTTGTAGAAGAGATTGGTGTTGAACGACCAGACATAGCCGGCCGAGTTGCGCACCGCGCCGGCAGCGCACAGCACGAGGGCGGGCTTGGAAGTGCAAAAGCGAATCAAGGACTCGCGCACAGTGTAGACGCCAGTATCTTGACCGCGATTGAGCTGTTGGGGAACGGGCGGGTTGTCGGATAAAGTTTGGTAACCATAATCATTTCCCAAAAGCGCGGATTCTTCTTGATCCTTCTCTGATGAGGCGGCACGATGAAGCCGGGGCTGTGCTGCAGGAGCGCGTTCTGCCTCGCCGCGCACAGGTTCGTGGATGGTCCAGGCAATCAGCGCTGCGAGTATCAAGCCAGGCGATCCAGCCACAACAAAGGACCACCGCCAGCCGATTGGCTCGGATAGCAAGTTGCCTACTGCGTAAGAAGCGCTGTAGCCAAAGTAGATACCTAGATCGCGGCAAGCGAGAGAATAAAAGCATGAGTGCTGATTGCAGTGGCACGGCGATGGGGAGAGAGAGAGAGAGAGAGAGGGAGAGAGAGCAAAGAGCTTTTCTTTCGTTTCTTACCCCAGTAGAATACGCTCATGGCGGCAGATCGATTCTACCGATATCCAAGAGTTTCACCAATCCAATCAGACTGCATTTCTCACGACTGACAAACAACCTGTTCTTGTATCCAACCGAAACGTACCTGCACAAAGCGATCGGCGAGGATACTTGCTGCAAACGGAGCACATGCGGCCATTCTATGTCCAATCCGTCGCATCGTGCACATTTTGTTAGCCTTTTTGTTTTTCCCCTCCATCACACGCCCAAATCTGAGCCTTTTCAAGCACGTGCGACTCTGTTGCTGTGCTTTACGCGATCGCAACTCCGACACGGCAGAGAACCAGCTGCCAGTACGCTTGACAGGCGGCCGACGCCATGGTAATGGCACTCCATGAGGCGACTGCGACTGCCAGCATGCGTCTGCGGTCGTAGCGGTCGCCCAGAATGCCCATCGGGATGCCCGCAATGGTAAAGATGACCACAAAGACCGATCCAGCCAGGACGTAGTACTCGACGCCGCCGCCCTGTCCGTCGCCAAAGTGGAGATCCTGCTCGAGCACCTGACTGACCTGCGGCACAACGTACATGCACAGGTTGGACACGCTGAACGCCATGAACATCAGAAAGAGCGTGTACAGCGATCCCGCCGAGCTCTCGTGGAAGAGCGCCGTGAGCTGCTTGACGACCACCAGGAGCTGTCCACACGCACTCTGAGGCTGTGGTGGTGGTGGTGGTGGTGGTGGTGGCAGTGCTCGTTGTGACGCATCCACCTGCACGTCCACGCTGTCGCACGTCGGCGTTTCGGTCATTGCTGCATCCACATTGGCAAGACTGAGCTTCTTATTCCCAGCTCTCTCTCCTTCGTCTCTGCTCGCAATTTCTTGTGTCAATGTATTCTTGCTTCAAGTTTGAGACATGTTCCGCTTTTTCATGTTCGACCAGTCGTGTAAAGCTATTCTACTTTTGCTGTTTTCTTGTTTCAATGCCGAACAGCAGCAATCCGCCAGCGACCAATCCCGAACCGTCGCCTCCACAGCCGGCGATGAATGCTGCTGTGAACACTAGCAACAGCAACAATGCTGCTGCCTCTGCTGGTGCTGCTGCTGGTGCTGCTGCTACTGCTGCGGGGCAAGGCGAAGGAGCATCAGAAGAGCAGAGAAACGCCGCTATGCAATTCCTGCAGCAGCAGGTACCAGAACCAACACCAGCACCAACACCAACACCAGCACCAGCAGACTGCAGACTCCAGCGTCGCTCCGGCCGCGGTGGCGGTGACAGCGGAGAGTCCGGCTGCTGCGAATCCGCCAGCGCCAGCGCCCCCGCACCAGCACCTGCACCAGCGGCAACAACCCCCTACTACAACTACTATGGCGAAGAGAACGACAATGGGAACAGCTACGAAGACGAGGAGAATGCGCGGCGGCAGCGGAGACAGGAGGTGCTCGACTCTGGCGACGATGCCAAGCAAGATCACTTCCAGCAGCTCATCTTTGACTCGGTCGACGCACTCCTCGTCCTGTCCGACTATGCAGACACGTACGACGCGATGGACGACCTCGCATTCTATGCAGAGAACAGCGGTGAGTCATTGTTTGCCTATGGCTACTTGGAAATCTCCACTGAGAATGATGTCAGCCTCGTTCAATTCAACTCAACGCCAACAACTTATATGTCACACAATGTACTCACTCTGGTTGTCGGAACAACAACAAAAAACAAACTCACTCGCTCAATGATGTGTTTTGTTTTGGCTGCAGATGAGGATTGGTGCGAAATCGTGCGCCAGATGGTGCTTTCGCTGGACCTTTCGCTGCCCTTGTCGGATAGCGTCATTGCGACATTGATCGACTCCTTCCCGAGTCCAGGACCAAGCACTGTCAAGCGTGTATCCACCATGCTCTGCGAGACAGCAGATGAGTGCTGCGGTATGGAATGAATTGGTTTCGAATGTTGCGTTTACTCTACTTCCATCTACAAGAAGCTCTCACCGTCAGTGTCGTATCGGGCCTTTGTCTCCCGCTGTGGATGCCCTCGAACAGATCAGGACAATGTGCTTCGAAATGTCGCGATTGCTTTTGGAGTGCTTGCCGAAAAGTTTGCAGGTGGGGTTTGTTTTTCGTCTTGTTTGTTCGCCTCGCGCGCTTCCACTTGTCTTTTTCTCACTGTGCGCCGTTTTGTTCGCTCATCTCACATCACTTGCAGGACAAGCTACAGTTCTTCTCCTCAGCGATAGTGCGTTGTCCACCCTAGAATGCCTGCTCGACAAGTCTGAGCCTGCTATGCTCTACGCGATTGTCGCATTGGACAAGTTTTGCCAAACAGGTACCACACGAAATCCTTTCGACAAGATTGGTACAAGGAGTATGCTGTTCCATGGTTGGTGCTGTTCTCACCGCATCGCTGCGTTTCGTCCATCTCAGCAAAAGCCAAAGCTGCTATCATGGAGAGCCCGCTGCCCAACAAGCTGCGCCAGTTGGAGACAATAATGCTTGACACTCCACCTACCGACGCGCTTCGACTTCAGATCTGGCATTGTCTCGTCTGGATCCTTGATAACACGGGTAGGTCGCTATGTGGTTGTCGTCGTTGTTCCTCCGAAACGCATTCAACGTACTGATCGCTGCTCTTGTTGTGCTGGTCTTATGTGTTGTGTCTTTTCATGCTCTAGTTCTCCTGCCTGTAAGTATTGCCGTTTGGAAGGCAAAAAAAGGAACCGACTTGTTGAAGCACTTACATTTTTGAGTTGTCCCTTTGTTTTCTCGCTTCAGGATCGAGAACCCTCCATCTCTAGAATCAAGAATCTCGATAGCATCAATGTCATGCTCGACAAGCGAAATACGATGAGCTTTGTCAAGGTTTCCGCCGATGGTCTCGAGGTAGGAGGATTTGCATAGATTGTTAGTGGCTGATCTGCTCGCGCAAACTGACACTGCTGTTTAAATCACAGGCTCGCAATGATGCATGCACTTTTGAAACTGTGCGCTCGTCTTTTGGAGTCCTGCACGGCAAGTTTGAAGGTTTTGAAACTGCGCTTTCGGCTTGTTGTGTCGGCTCACCACAAGACGCTGGTTTTGCTTGGGCTACGTGCTCCCATACAGGCAAGTGGTATCTCGAAGTGACACTGCTTTCGGGCGGTATCATGCAGATTGGCTGGACTGGGCGCGACTGCGAATTTGATGTTGAGGTACGCTTCCATTTGGTTGATGTTCGCTGTTGATGAAGGCTGCGGTCCTCAAGCTTGTTTGCTGTGATGACTCACTTTTCTCACTCGTTCGATTGATTTGACCTTGGGCAACCGGCGGTACAGGAGAGTGGTGTGGGAGACAACCCTCAATCCTTTGCGTTCGACGGGTGCCGCAGGGTGACTTGGCATCGCGGCGAGTTTATCAATTGCCCCGAGACCATGCCTACTTGGAAACCCAACGATGTGGTCGGTCTCATGCTTGATGGAGACGAGCGCCAAGTGATATTTTGGCTGAATGAGCTGGAGGTCGGCCGCTACACGCTGCCGCCAGACTTTGATATGCTTCTGTACCCTGCCGCAAGCTTTATGAGTTGCCAACAGACGAGGTTCAACTTTGGCGCTACCCCTTACAAGTAGGTTGCCACGATGAGTGCGCGGGTTGTCCCAGCTTGCGCAATCCCAATCGTCTCTGACACTGACTCGCGTTTGTTGCTCAGATTCCCTCGTGCAGGCTATGCGTCCCTCAACGACCATGGAACGCTTCCTCATGTCGAAAAGATTGTACCGCCTAAGGCAGTGCTCCTTCGAGACATGCGCACGCAGCTGTCCCACGTTTCTGACGGCGAAGGGGAATTGCGGTGCATTCTCTGCGTCGACGAGCCTCGATCGATTCGCCTGCTGCCTTGCAACCATGAAGGGTTTTGCCCCGACTGCGCCCAGCAATGTGATTTATGTCCACTGTGCCGCGTCAAGGTGGTTGCACGGCAAAGTAGCGACGAGCCTGCCGTGACGGCACCTGTCGTTGCCGATGCCTCTGCTGTCGCATCTGGTGTCGTGGCAGACGCAAATACCGCGCCGGTTGCTTCAACGGAAGCAAATGCAGCGCCAGCTGCCGTTGACGCCGGGGCAGGGAACTTGTAGATGTAGCATTGGTTTTGTTATGGTTTCGTGTTAGATACATTGGTTTCACTATCGAGGCTGGAGGCGTTGAAATAAAGTTACGTCCCATCCCCAAATTGTGCTTCTGTGCGCACTCCCGTCAAGCGCAGAGGCTTGAGCTAAGCAGCGCATTCACCGAGCAAATTCGCCCAATGGTTGAGCATCAGTGCGCACCTCTCCGTCGCACTTTCTTCCTTGTTCTCGTCATTTTTGTTACTTTTGGTAATTTAGAATTTTGCGTCACCAGTCTCAGAAAATTCCCACTCTTTTTTTTTTTTTTTTTTTTTTCGTTATTTAATTTTTCGCACAAAATGTTACAACTGTGCGCAAGCCGACAATGCTCGTCCTACTTGAGCCTCGCTGCTGCTGCGCCTGTTGTGACTGCTTGCGCCGTGTCTGTGCGCAGCATGAGCAGCAGCATCCTCAGCAATCGACACAGCAACAGTGACGCGCGATTAGGCGCCGTCCAGCAGCCACATTATCAACGCAGCGGCAGCAGTGTGCGCTCGTTCACTTTGCCCGCCGCCACTGCGACCGACGCTGCTTCGGCACCTTCCTCCGCTGCTGGTGCTGCTGCGGGTGGTGCTGCCACTGCTGCCGCGCCACTCTACTCGCCATTGTCTGTCACAGGCTCCGTCACGCCAACACCGGCCACCGCAGACGCCCTCTCGCGCTGGGCGCAGTACAAGCAGACGCCCATCTCCATTGCGCGTTTCGCAGAGTTTGGTGCGTGACTCAAAAAAAAAAAAAAAAAACTGTCATGCTTTTTTGTTGTTCTTCAAGTGGAAGGGATGAGCTCTCTCTCTTGTCGCTCTCTCTGTCATTGGTCGTTGATCTGTGAGCTTGCCCTTTGAGCTGTGCCAGAGTGAAGACAAGGAAACCAAAAAAAAAAAAAAAAAAAAAAAAAAGCTGCGGCGTTGATTTTGAAAATCATTCAAATACGAAATGATTTGTCGCTGAGTGTCGTTTGTTGTGTGAATGGCATTGTGCGGATTGTGCCGTTTGCTGCTGATTACTTGACAGCGAAACGTGATGACCATATGGACTGTGACACACGCACACACACACTACGACTGAGAGTGAGTGACTGAGGGAGAGGGAGCAGCAGGCTTGTTGGAACTGACTGAATGCACGTGAAAAGCAAACCTGTGTTGTCCGGGTGATCACGAACACGTCCTCACCAATGTGGCACGCCTCCCCTCCCCTCCCTTCCCCTTCCCCTTGCCTGCGTCGATGCGTGCAAAAGCGCAACAGTGGCTCTGCTGCTCAATTTCCCCCTCATGAGCACGAGAGCCAAAGCGAGCCCGCATAAAAACGCTTTTTAAAAAAAAGTCATCAAAATTTTATTATTTTTTTACGCTTTTTTTTTTTATGATGGGCACAGTTTCAAACCCTCTCTCTTTCTCTCTCTCTCTCTCTCGCTGTGGGTTGGCTCTGTCGCTCCACCCCCACCCATCAGCATTAGCACAGAAGAGTCGCATACAAACTGTTACGTGGTTTTACTACGACTGACTTTATTCTGCGCATCTTCATCTTCGCACTTACGCTTTGCAACAGGCCGACAGCGAGACGTCGAAACCGCAGTCCGGTCGGTCGCCTTCCTGCGCAACGAGCTGCCAGTTCGCCTCGCACACATGACCAAGGAGATTGAGTCACTGCCGGAAAAGCTGCTGGGCCAGCAGTCGGTGGGCAGGGTGCACGGATGGTACATCAAGTCGTTTGAAGACTTGCTCAACTTCCCCATTGAAGAGTCGATTGCGACGGCCTCGAACAAGGCGGACGCAGAGCACTATGTCAAGTCGTTCACCGAAGTCATCCGCAACATTCACCGCAGACACGCACCCGTCGTCACAACGATGGCCCAAGGCATCCTCGCACTCAAGGAGGCCTACGGCTCGGATGCGTACGATCGCAACATTCAGTACTTCCTCGACCGCTTTTACATGAGCCGTATTGGCATTCGTATGCTGATTGCCCAGCACTGCGAGGTGTTTGGCGACGACCCCGCCCTCAACCCGCCGCGCAAGGGCTGGGTTGGCGTGATTGACGAAAAGTGCAACGTGCGCCAAATTGCAGACGATGCTGCGCAGAATGCGCGCTTCCTCTGCGACCAGCACTACTTTGCATCGCCCGAGGTCGAGGTCATCAACCCGCGCGCCTCGCGCGCCAGCTCGGCTGCGGGCGGACCCGTTTCCGTCGCCGAAGACGTCTGCTTCCCCTACGTGCCCTCGCATCTGTACCACATGCTCTTTGAGCTGCTCAAGAACTCGATGCGTGCTGTGGTAGAACACCACGGACCCGACGCCACCACGCTGCCCAAGGTGCGCGTTCGCATCATGAAAGGCGAGGAGGACCTCACCATCAAAATTTCCGACGAGGGCGGCGGCATCCCGCGCTCGGGCATGCCCCACCTCTTTACCTACTTTTACACGACTGCTTCGCCGCCAGAGCTTGAGGCGAACAGCTCGGCCGATATGAACCACGCGCCCCTGGCTGGCTTTGGCTACGGTCTGCCCTTGTCGCGACTGTATGCACGCTACTTTGGCGGTGACCTGCACCTGATTTCGATGGAAGGCCATGGCACGGATGCCTACATTTACCTCAAGGTTGCCGCGCACGAGGCGGGCGAGGTGCTGCCCTCGTACTCTGGTCAGCCCATGCGCCACAAGCCGCGTCCCTCTGGCACCTCGCCATCGTCTTCGCACGTGGCGGCTGCCATGAACGCCCCCGGCTCTTCGTTTGGCAATCCGGACTGGATGCAGTCGCAAATCATGCGCTCGCTCTACACGTCTGCCAAAAACCGCGGCCATGCTCCCAAGATGCCCTGGATGTACATGGATCATATTTACGGCGGCGGCGCCAGCACTGGGCGATAGTTTCAACGCATGCTATTGCTCATCTTTAAGGGTGTTTATTGTTTTTCGAGAAAGTTTTGTTTGCATGGACTGCAGTTTTTTTGCTTTGTATTTTCTTGCTGTTGTTGGTTTTTTCAACTTGTATATGCTCGATTCTTTGTTTGTTTCCCCCCCCCCTCCCCTTTGTTAATGATTAAACCCGTCGTTTAATTGCTCAATGTCGATGATCTGCCTGACTGAATCGAGTTCAAAGTAGGACGACTTTCATTCTTCCCTTTCGAGTTTGAGTTTCCCCAAATGCGACCTGCGTTGGCCATCATTGCGTGCGTTGCTGCGCTGTCTGCCACGACGGTTTCAGCCCTGAACAATGGTGAGGGTTTTGTTTTTGTTGTGCTTCCAACCCAGCCAAGCAAGGGATGGACAACCGGCGACGCACGCAGCAGCGTTGGGTTTGAGATTGGATGACGTCCCTCCCCAAAAATTTGGCGCGGCTTCTTCTTCCCAGCTCCTCGCCATTGAGTTGCGTTGAAGTTCGCAATGTCTGTACAGTGTGTGTATGAGAGAGGAGTGTCTGTGTGGGTCGGTATCCGAGAACCTGAGCGAGTGAGTGAGTGAGAGTGTGCGGAAGTGGGATTGAACGGCGTCGAATCAGAATTTTCAATCTTAATCTGTCTGCTTCCACAGCGTCCAAACCCGAACAACTTTGTTGACGCGCGATTCTACTTGCTTTTTTGTTTGTTTGTTTGCTTGTTTGTCTGCGAACACAGGACTGGCAAAGACACCTCCGATGGGATGGTCGTCGTGGAACACGTTCGAGTGCGACATTAGCGAGACACTCATCCACCAGATTGCAGACACGATGGTCTCGTCGGGACTGGCCAAGGCGGGGTTTCAGTACATCAATCTGGACGACTGCTGGATGTCTGGTCGCGATCCGACGACTGGCCGCTTGGTGCCAGATGCAACCAAGTTTCCCAGCGGCATGTCTGCACTGAGCGAGTACATTCACAGCAAAGGCTTGAAATTTGGCATGTATGTGAGCGCCGGTGACATTACTTGCATGGGCTTTGCTGGCACCAAGGGCCACGAGCAGATTGATGCAGAGACGCTCGCCGAGTGGAATGTCGACTACCTCAAGATGGATTGCTGCAACCAGACCGATCTCGTGGAGGCGCACGGCGTCTATGTGGCAATGAGCGACGCGCTGCTCTCCACCCGCCACGATATTCTGTTCAGCTGCGATACGGATGAGCTCTTGATGCGCATGAACAACCACGAGGCGCCGTGGGACTGGGCGCCAGGGCGCTGCAACGTTGCGCGCATTTGGCTGGACATCAAGGACAACTGGCCAAACCTGATGGACATTGTCGATCACGCATCCAACGTCATGTACGCCTCGGGCCCCGGCTATTGGAACGACCTCGATATTCTCACCGTTGGCATGGGCGGGCAGACGGATGCGCAGTACCGCTCGCACTTTTCGCTGTGGTGTCTGCTCGGTTCGCCGCTGTTGCTTGGAAACGACATTCGCAACATGACTCTGGCCACACTGAACATTCTTACGGCGACTGAAGTCATTGCGGTGAGCCAAGACCCGCTTGCCATCGCTGGTGAGCGCATTCGGACGTCGATCGACGGCACCATGCAGGTGTTTGCCCGTCCCGTGGAGGGTCCCCCTGGCACGGCTGCAGTTGTGTTGTTCAACCGCGCTGCGGTTGCTCAGAACGTGACGTTTGACTTTTACAACGACCTGTACCAGAACAACTTTTGCTGCCCGCCGCGCACTCCAGCCATCACTGTCGCCGTTCGTGATCTCTGGCAGCGTCAAGATCTTGGCACGGCAGTCAACACCACCTCGTTTGTCATTCCTGCACACGATGTGGTCATGGTGAAATTGACGCCGATTGCATGAGTTGGCTGGTGAATGTGGATGCGGGTTTGTGCCTGTTCTCCTGTGCTCTCGGCAATGTTGTGAATGTTAAACTGCGTCTCTGCTTGGACGCGTGTCCATGAGTTTGAGTCACTCAAGTTTGCGCTGAGTAGGAGGAACAAGCTGCAAGTGCACGCAGTTCGAGCCTCAGGCTGGATGTTGGTGGGAATGTGAGAAAATTGCCATTTATTCAAGATCTAGTACAAGCGGGAAAGGATATACGGCTTGTAGACGAGTGGAAGCAGGGAGCAAGAAAGGGGTATTGCGGTGAAACCTGGTTTGGTCTGCCGGGGTTATTGCATCAAGAGCCTCAACGTCTGACCATTGGGATTGCGGTTATACTCGTACTGCCCGTGAAACGTTCCGATGGTCATTCCAGTTGACGAGCCGATCTTCGCGATTAATTCAGGGGGGTGATGCGACGAATCTGAAAGCTGGCAGAAACGGGACCACGTATCTCGTTCTGCATCTCGTTCCGGTAGTCAGTGAGGCCTACGCCCGGTCTGAACTCGATCGCATCTCGCAGACGCACGCCGTCGTACGATTCCTCGCCAAGCCGCTCGAAAAAGTCGCTTTCTGTCATTTCACTGTAGACGGCAAGCTTGGACTCGCCGCCGAGCGCCATGACCAAAGCAGTCGGTGCAATGAGCTGGCGGATTACCAAAGTGACCTCCTTGAGCGGGAAGCCTGTCTTTGGATGTACCAAACGCCGCGGAGACCCCGGGGCAGGAGGGGGCCTGTAAGGAGCAAGGGCTGCACGCAGCGCCGACCAGTTGCTGAGAGGACCGTCGTTGCCATCATCAGTCGCCTCGAGCCGCTTGATCAACTCGTCCATGAACGAGGTTATTTCCACGCGTTGACTGACACGAATGCGCAGTGTACTCTTGACCATGCCTGGGTTTTGAAGGATGTCCGGCATGTTTGACCCGGAAGTTGCCGACACGCCCTGTAAACCACCGTGCGTATCCTGACCGAGATATACGGCGGCGACATGTTGGGCAACTGTGGCATGACTGATTCGACCCACTCGTCGCGAAGCTGTCTGAAACGCTTTGCGAGGTCGGCTCGCTCGTCGACCGCTGACATCATATTTCGGACTGGCGCCGTCCTGTCCATCCATGCATTGCAGCAGTCGCTTCGATGATGAGATTGAGTAACACTTATTCCTTGTGCCACCAGAAAAACAAGAGCTAAACGACAAGCAAGAGAAGATCTACCAAACGAAAAGCACTTCCAAGGTTCTCGCCAATTTTACATTGCTTTGAACGCGATCATCCTCATCAAAGGGTTTTTCGTTCGCTGAAGTACTCACAAAATCTCGCCATTCATTGCTCTGCATAAACGTCGCTTCAGTTCTTGTTTTTGGTTTCCTGTCTCTTCTTGAACGACCCCCTTCGTTGCGGCTCAAAACGCGATCATGTCGTTTCAACAGGTTTGTTTGATTCGCATTGCCAATCGCTTTGATACCCGCGCGGTCTTCCCGCCCTCGATTCGCTCGTGTTTGTTGTGACTGACACGCGTGATCTGGTTTGAACTTGACCTTGAACTTGGCGCCGTTTGGCAGGTCGCTGGCCTGCTCGGGAACGCGTCGCAGGAAGCGAACGCAGAGACACGCGTCGAGCTGCTGCGGCAAGTGCAGGACCTGATTCTTCACAAGGTGAGGCTGATTGCACCATGGAGTACTGTGCCGTGTCATTGGATGCCCCATGGCGGGAGGTGCGGGGTTGGAGCTGGAGGGCGTTACAAAAAGCCAGAAATGAAATTGGCTGGACCAAGATTGAGAGATCTCGCATTGCGACGATCGAGCTCAACCATTCGGCAGGAAAGGCCTCGAAACTGCGCGGCAGTGACAACAACGACACGCCAAATCTCATGGCAAACGATTTACAGAATTTTCGCAATGGCTTGGCAAACTTTTGCGCACAAAATTCGCTCACTTTGAACCTTCTTTAGAACCTGACTCTGCTCGAGAACTTTATCGAGGAGGTTCTTAATTACATCCACGATCCTCAAGCTGTAGTCAAGAAGTTTGTTCTTGAATTTATCGAAGCTGCTAGGTTTGTGCTTTGCTTTTCGACTTTGTTCGTTTCTAGTTGGAAAACTTCTTGTTGATCTCACTCTTTGTTGGTCGCACTCTTGTTGCTCTTCACAAACGGTAGCAAAACACTCCCAAGCATCCTCCCTCGCTTGATTGATCACGTGCATTTTGCCTTCTTTTCGTGCGTGGCCGCGGATGCAGCTGCCAACAAAGTGTCGACAGAGGGTGTCTCGCTGGAGCAAATCGGCATTCTCCGGCGCCTCATCCAAACCATGCCAAATTTATATCGCGCTGCATTTTATTTGACATGCTGTCGGCCTCCAGCGCAGGGCGCAGCGCCTGTTGGGACCCAAGCTGCCGTGCTCGTTTCGCCCGAAGTGGAACGTGCTTGGACACGCGTCAATGCGCTCAAATCGTCCATTCTTTCGCTCGTCTACGACAAGAACGAGGGTGTTCAAATGCTCGTGCTGAAATTTGCAGAGATGGTTGTCCACGTTCTTTCGCATCACACGCGGGAATCGGAACGCCGCAACCAGACGGTCAACTACCAGCCCCCACCACTGCCGTCCATCAATGTCCCCATGCCCGCCATTGATGACGAAGTTTGCCTGGATTTTGTGCCGCCACACCATCCATTGCTCCGTCTGGAAGCCCTTCGTGAAGAGGGGCAGCGCCTGTTCAACCTGCTCGTCTCCATCACCCAGTCTCAAACCGTCTCCTCAACCAATCTGACCGTCGTGGTTCTTTCGCTCTCTGTTGTGGCACGGCAACGGCCCATGTTCATGCCCCACGTCATTGCTACGTTGTTGCCGCTTGCGACACGCGAGGGATTGCCCAAGGCGTTTGCGACCGCCATGGTCGCCAGCGTGCACAAGCTTCTCCGCAACCAATTATTTAACTTGTTAAAGCATCCAGCGTCAACCGAATACCATGTGGACATTGCTGACGCTCTTTATACTCTTGGCGCCAAGCGCATCGAATACGAAGCGTACCTGCGCAAACAGTCCGGCAGCTCGTCCGGCAAACGGCCACTTCCTCCCTCCATGGCTCCGCTAAGCATGTACTCGGATGCCGCTGCGGCGACGCATGCTGCCAAGCGTGCGCGGTTTGATCCCACCTGGCCGTCCCAGCTGAGCTCTCTCTTTGGTGCCTTCAATGCCGAGAACCTGCAGCAGTTCCCGCTTCGTCTCGTGATTGATCTCGTTTTTCAAACCATGCAAACACTTCCCGACTCGCTTGCCGAACTAGAGGCGCCAACACCTTTCGCCGCTGCACCTTTCGCCGCTGCCACAACAGCTGCTGCCTCTGCCGGTTTGCCATCTTTGGGAGCCGAAAGTGTCAAGGTGAGGGATTAATATTTGAATGGTGAATGTTGCTCACTGTGTGATAATACTTTCTTTGACTTGGTTTGGTTGTTGCCTCCTCCTCCTCCTCCTCCTCCTCCTCCTCCTCACGCATCAATTTTTAGGCGGAACCGACAGCCGTGCTGGACCCGGTGCTCATCCGTCAGCCCGCTCTCAAGCCACGTCGAGTTGCTCCATTTGCGCTAAAGCCATCCGACCCCACGCCGGAGCAGGTGCAGGGCCTGACGAAAGCCATCTTTGCACGAACTTTGGCGATTGAGGCGTCCGCCGCTTCTGGTGGAGCTGCATCGCTCCGAAGCTCGCTGCTCGCCAGATTGCTCAGCCAACCCGGCAACCTCGCGTCGCTTTTGCAACTCATCTCTCCCTCCGACCCGACCTCTGCTGAAGCGCAGGAGGTGCTGCCGCTGGAGCAACAGCTCATCGACGCCATGGTCGAGTACATTGTTGAAAATGTTCGTGCTCGCATGGAGCTCGCCTTTGGCTGGCTCTGTCACGAGTACCTTGGTGGAGGTGGTCCTCTCGCTGCGAGACTTCGCGGTCGGCTGCCTGGTCGAGGACTCAAACGTCCAGCGGTCGACGACAACTCTAGCGACGCTGAGGGCATCACGCTAACTCGTGCAGTACCGCTTCCTCGTCGTTACACCCGGTGTCTCATGGCCCTTTTACATGCGCTTCGCGAGAAGCTAGATGTTCGAGATCGGTGAGTCTAGTTTTTATTTTTCCTTTGTCTTTCATGATTTTTTGTTGGTTTGGCTGGCTGTGAACTCTCGTTCATCTTCTGACTTGTGATGGATCTCTTTGTTGGGTACTTTTTTTTTCAGCTTGTTCACACGCATTGTGATTGAAGCGCCGGCATTCACCCCGGAGGTGTTGGACTTGGTGCTCGAGTACTGCACTGACAGTGAGCGGTCCATGCTGGGCTTGAGTACGCTTCACGACCTCGTTCTGTATCGCCCTCCTTTGCGGAAGGTTTGCCTCCAAAAACTGCTCGAGTTCTCGCGCAGCGACCAGCTGGATTTGCGTCGGGCCTCCATCCAACATCTTGTAAAGCTGTATGCGTCCAGCACCTTTGCGCCTGTCGTCGAAGCCTTTGCTCTCGAATCCGTTGCCGGCTTGGTGAAGCTTGAGCCTCGAGCGGTTGCAATGGCGACTGATCAGGACGATGGCGCGGACACGGCGCAAGCTCCCCGCGAAATCTCCGAGGAAGATGTGATGACTTGCACAGCATTGCTGTTTGCCCTGTGTGCCAAGTCCCACTCCTTGTTGTTAGAGTGCGTTAATGGTGCTTGTATATTTTGTTGGGGGCGGGTTTGCTTGGCTCTTCATTGTTCTAACTTGTCGAGCTTCCTCTGAATGTCAGGTTTGCCAAAATCTACGCTGAAACATCAGCTCAAGTTAAGAGACCTGTGCTCCGTCAAATCGAGCCATTGTTTAAGCAAATTGGAATGGCGTCGCCCGTGGTGCTGCAGCTGCTTCAGTCCATCCCGAAAGGCGCAGACACTCTTGTTCACCGTCTGCTCCATGTTCTTGCTGACACTGGTAAGTTGTTCGTTTCCTTTTTGAAGTGCGAGTTGGTGCGTGGCATCACGCAGAGATTCAGAGCAAAGCGTTGACCATGTTCTTGGATTTTTTTTTTTTCGAATGCGCGTGCCTTATTCAGCACCCCCAAGTCGCGCCATCGTGGCAGCCGTGAAGGAAAAGTACAACACTCAAGAACTGGATGCCAAGTTCCTCATTCCCATTCTGGGTGGCCTGGACAAGGTATGTGGAAACTTGCCGCACGATCAATCTCTCCTTTCGTCGTGTTTTCTCACTTGTTTGTTTTTTGCCTGTTGAATTTAGACTGAAATTCTGGCAGTGTTGCCAAGTCTGGTCGCGCTACCCCCTGCTCTCTCCAAAGATGCACTGGGTCGACTTGTGGCGTCGCGGCATTATACCGAGACCGGTTTGTTGGTTTTGGGCTCCAAGGTGATCTCGCCGTCGGACGTGATGCTTGCGCTTCATTTGGTGGATCCTCAGCGCGATAATGTCACGCTTCCAGCCATCGTGCAAGGTAGAGTGTGCTGTTGAGGCGCTGGTCTTGCGTGCAGCGTCCACTGACCTTCGAATGCTCTTGCTTTTCGCTTCTCCTCGCTTCATCTGGTTCTTTTCCATCTTGCGAAAAAAAAAACACACAGCGACCAACTTCTTGTTCACCTTTGGCAATATTTACACGCAAGAAGTGCTTGCGAGTGTGCTGCAACAGCTGGTGGATATGCGACCCATTCCACTGCTAACAATGCGCACCATGCTCAAAGCGTATGATCTCTGCCCTGGGTTGCTCTCGTTTATGGTGACACTGCTGCTGCGTCTCGTAGTTTTCAAGATCTGGGAAGATAAGCATCCTCGGCAACTTTGGGATGGCTTTGTGCTGTGCTGCGAGGTACGCGTTGTTTTCGGATTTGGCGATGCTGTGCACACTCTCTCTCTCACCTACACACACACACTGACGCGCTTTTTCTTGTTGATTCGTGTTGGTCCTACTGTGCTGTGCTGATTGTCGCAGCGTCTGAAACCACTGTCGTTCCAAGCGCTGGTGTCGCTACCCCCGGCGCAGCTGGAGACGGCGCTGACAGACAAGCCCTCCCTTCGAGAACCACTCACCCAGCAGGTGCAGTCGCTGCCACCACAACAGAAAATCCGCATCTCGACACCCGTGTTGGCTGTCTTGGGTTTGGCACCTACCCAAGCACCTCCAGCAGCGCATGCCCCGACGCCCGGAGTGCTGATCGCATCGAGCGAAGTGGCTGACGCATCGTCCGAACCCAGTGATCCACCTCCGACTTCGCCGCAGCCCATGGCGATGGCCACCTAGGGGACGTTTCATCTCGCTCAGTTTTTGTTCCGATTGTTTTTGTTGTAATGTTTTTGTACAATAAACCCATGCAACCCTCGAGAATGAAAAAGACAAGTGACGATAGGTCTCGATGGTGATCTGCATACACACACTGACACGAACGACTATTGTGGCAATGAGGCGGCAGCGGTTTGACTTGCTGGTGGTCGGTGGACCTCGTCCTTGTGCTCGAGCAAGAAGTGGCCGAGGAACTCCACTGGGTTTTCAGGTCTGTGAGGGAATTGGTGCGTTTCAAGTGAGGAGTGAGCAGGGGAAGAGGGTCCACGGGATGAGAGCAGCCGCCAAACAAAAAAAAAAAATGGCGGGAAGAAACGAAACGAAACGAAACGGGCTGGCTCGGTTACCGCTCCATCGAGACACGCGTCAACCCTTGCAGAAGGATGGAGACAAGACCTTGATCAAAGTAGTTGCGCAGTGGCAGAGTGGACAGTGGTGGCCGCTGCTGCTGATGCTGTTGATACTGGTCGTCGACTTGCATTGGTGAATGAAGGACTGGAGGCACTCGGTCTGAGTTTTTTTGCACTAATGCAGTTAGAGTGCTTGGTGTCAGCGAAAGGTGTCTACTGTCGAAAGGAGGGAGGAAAGCAAGGGCAAGCAATGCGACATTGCAACAATGAACGCCAATAACTTTGCTGCGCTTCTTCGTCTTTGCCGCTTTGGAAACCAACATTGTTGCCAAACTCTAGCGCAACATACAGTGATCGAGCGATCCTTCAGTAAAGCTGTCTTCAGCTCGCTTAAGGCTTTGAAAATGAATCGGAGACAAAGGGCTCAAAATCACAATCAATCAATCACAATGGTTTTTCAATGGCTTTTTCGGTGCATCACTCCATGTTGTGCTCGACAAACGCTCGTAAAAAAAAAAACATAGGCCGGATCGCTTTCAAATTTAATCGCAAACTGGATCGAAATTTCGCTTCGCTCATTTCTGGGAATCAAAAACTGCACTTTCTCCTATGTTTTTTTTTTCTCGTCTGACTACAACCATACATCCAAGCGCTCTGAGATTCTCTGCATCGCGTCTGATCTGGCCTCTGATTGGTGCGCAATCTGCGCAACAGCATTGCGCACAGTGCGCACCAATCACCGTGTCCGTTTTCACTGCGCAGACTGCGCACCAATCAGCGTCGTTTTTTTGTTTTTTTTTTTTGCTATTTTGCTATTTTGCTTTTCATTCTTGTCATTCTTTCACTGCCCGCCTCTCACCCGTCGCTCGCCCTCCTTCTCTCTCGCGGCTTCCTTGTCGATCACTGCAGTGGGGGCTTCATCCTCACCCCCGCCCCGACTGGCCCGCGCCGGCGGACGGAGAGAGGGAGAGAAAGTCTGCTCACTTCCCAACCGACTATTTTTTGAATTTGTTTGTTGTATTTTATACAAATCCAGATTTGGAACGTCGAATTCAGTCACTTTTTTATATATTTAAAGTTTCACAATGGCTGACCAACTTACCGAGGAGCAGATTGCCGAGTTCAAGGAGGCGTTCTCCCTGTTCGACAAGGATGGCGATGGCACCATCACCACCAAGGAGCTCGGCACCGTCATGCGCTCGCTCGGCCAGAACCCCACTGAGGCTGAGCTCCGCGACATGATCAACGAGGTTGACACTGACGGCAACGGCACCATCGACTTCCCCGAGTTCCTCACCGTACGTCGTTCATTCTTGTTGTTGTCATCCATCCCCCTCTTTCCTTGCTCTTTGACGCGTCGTCGTTGCAAACCCCAGCACGGCAACTACGTCGATAGATCTGAAAGCGAAAAGGCGAAAAACAATTTTTTTTTTTTTTTTTTTTATTGTTTGACCTTCCTTTTTCTATTGTTGTGGACGTTTTTTTTTTTTGCGGTTTTTTTTTCGAATTTTTTTGCGTTTTTTGAAACTAACCCATTTTTCACGTTGACTTTTCACAGATGATGGCTCGCAAGATGAAGGACACTGACTCTGAGGAGGAGATCCGCGAGGCCTTCCGCGTCTTCGACAAGGACGGCAACGGCTTCATTTCTGCTGCTGAGCTCCGTCACGTCATGACCAACCTCGGCGAGAAGCTCACCGACGAGGAGGTCGATGAGATGATCCGTGAGGCTGACACTGACAACGATGGCCAGATCAACTACGACGAGTTCGTCAAGATGATGACCTCCAAGTAAAAAGGGACGGGCGATCTTATCAGTTTGTGCCAACCAAACAAAAAAAAGTAGAAAATATTAAAAATTTCAAAACACGAGCTCTGTTTCCAAGCGTTGTATTGTATGTGTGTGTGTGTGAGTCACTATCTGGTGGGAGTGGGACTCGAACTGGTTCAGTTCTGATTTTCATTGCAGCCTGTTGTTCTGTTTTGTATGCCGCCGCCATTGCGAGTGGAGCCACTCCGCAGCAGTACTAGTAGCAGTAGCAGCATTCATGTATCACTCGGACCCAGCACTAGCAATAGCAACAGCAGTAATGGCCTGAACGCACCGCAGCTCAGCAATCGATGGCGAGGCACACTTGCCTGTGGACACTTGCTCGCGGGCATCGATCTCCAGCCATCCCCAACATCACTTGGTACATGACGTTCTCTCTTTCTCTCAGTTTGTCTCCATCTCTTACATTATATCTGGGCTTGCAATGGGATCGTCTCTGGCCGTTTCGCTCTGTCTCACCCTCTGTACTCTCTCTCTCTTTCTCCATCTTCGTCCTTGGCTGACTCGTTGTTATATGTGTGTGTGCTTGTGTTGCGATCTAGTGAACGAGACAAGTGCGACCGGACCCGCGTTCCCGGCGTCCTTGCTCTCGATCGCTGGCTTTGTCCGCGAGCGTGAAGTCCCGAGTCCCGCCGTGCTCTCCCGCCACCTGGTGCTGCCTGTGGTCGAGCCACCGCCGGTAGGGATGGCTGCTGCTGTTGCCGCTGCCGCCGCTGCTGCTACGGCTGCCACCACGCCCACAGTCGCGCAGACACTGGCAGCCGGGTCAGCGTCCACCTCAACGCTTGTCGCCAGTAGTGCCAACGGCAGCAATGGGTCGCAACCTCAACAAGCGCCTACTCAGTCGGTGCGTCTTGCCATTTGGCTGTCGAGGGTCTGCGCATCGCTCAAACTTGTGCTAACTTGACCCCCCGATTGCTGCCCAGGTCTTTGCTCGCCTGTTTCATGGACTCACTGGCGCGTACCTCCTCAACACAAGCAAGGAAACGCCGATCGGCGGTTCCGGGGTTGGTTATGTGGCCGTTGTGCTGTTAGCGCAAAAGCCGGTACCGTGGTATGGATTGCTATCCGTGGTGCGCGACGGTGAGTTAGCCTCTGTGTTGTGTTGTGTCTCCTACAACAGCATTTCCCCCTTCATCGAACAAAGGTACTGACTGACGCTCGAACGACATCCATCGATCAGACTTGATGCTGATGGTCCTCAAGCCAAATGCCGACATTCCATGGCTCGGCAAAGTGGACAACTTGATTCCGTTCCATTCTCTCACACCCGTCCAGCAGCAAAGGTACATTTCGCTCGCATCAAGCGCCAGCGTGGCAAGACGAGCCGGTTTGGGTGAGGAATTTCGCGAAACGCACCTGTACATTCCTCCAGCATCCGAGGTCGAGCCACCAAGCTACGCTTCCTTCTCGACGTCCAGCTCGACCTTCACCAATCCAGTGAGCTACCTCAGCAGCACTAGCGATTCTATCCGAGTAAGCTGGAATCGTCGTGCAGAGTTTCACCTTCAGCATTCAACAGACGCGCGTTTGGGAACAAACAAAAAAAAACTGACTTTCTCGTTCCGTGTCATATCGTGTCATATTGTGCCGCAGGTCGAGTACAGCAAAATAGCAACCTTTATTCGCAGCATTGGCCGCAAGCAATGCGACTTCTTGCCCGAGTAAGTTTGGCGCCATTCCACAACGCGAGTCTCTCGCCTTCATTCTAACTGGTCTGGTGTTTACTTTTCCAGGCTACAAAACTGGCATAACTTGGCGGTTGCGCTGGCTTGTCCATCTCTCGTTGAGGTTGTCATTACTCTGCTCGCCAATCGCAAAAAGTGAGCCGTGCAGTGATGATGATGTTCAACAAACTTGCAGTGCATGTTTGACTCAAATTTTCCCCGGCCTCCCGTCATCCTCTGCTCCATCCTCTGCTGAACAGACAAATCATCGAGCAAGAAGATGGCGGGACAGATCCCAATGCCATGAAATTGATAGCAACGGCTGTAGAATCCTGCCAAGCCATCTTGGCGCGAATCCCTGAAACGTCCAGTCTCGCTCCCCTCCCGTTGGCTGTGGGGAATGATGCCAACGAGTCTCTGTCACGAAAGGCGCTGCCCCGTTCAAAGCGCACCATGGAGGACGACGAAGAGGACTATGACGAACGAACCGAGCGCGATAAACTGCGCATCAAACGCATTCGAGTGCAGTCATCCGCCCCTTCATCCTCCATGAGCACGCCTGCACTAGCCGTGCCACCGCATTCTGTTCTGTTTCCAGTGTCCAGCCTGGGTGTACCTGTTGCAAGCGACATACCTGTTGCAAGCGACATGACTGGTCTTCCGCCAGCGCCGCAGCCGCAGCAACAACAGCAGCCAGATTCGCAAGTGCCTCCACCGCAACTCCCGCCCCAACCGCTGCTGCAGCAGATGCCGCCGCCGCAACTCATCCAGCAGCTCCCACTCCAACCTCTTCAGCTCCCTTCACAACTACCACCAGCACAATTTCAAACCGAGGGTGGGTACTTTGTGGCCAGTGTCTTGCCGATGAATCTCGGTGTTCCAGCAGCGAGTGCGCCGCCCATGATGCCCATGGGGCCAATGGCGTATGGGCCCATCCCGATGGGACATCCCGGCATGATGTACCCGATGATGCAGTACGGTATGCCAGCGTATGGCATTCCTCCAATGGCCCATCCACAAACGATGGTGCCGTACGAGCAAATGCAAACAATCAACCCGCAGATGCAACCACCGATGCAACAGCAGCAGCTGCAGCCGATGGATCCCATGCAAGCAATGTACAACCCTGGTCCATCACCGCACAGCTCGTCCTAGTCGGGCTGTCGCCCTTGTAGCAGTTGAATTCTACTGCATTTGTAACAATGAAAATTTCACCATCTCTTTCGCGCCACTCTCATTTTTTTCTTCCACATCGCGAAGAGGCAGTAGTAGATTCTTGATTATAGACGCGAAGCGCTGGGACTATTGCTGGTGTTGCTGTTGAAATAATGCGTTCGTCCGAGCAACCGCGGCAAGTGCAAGAAGCTCTCGTCGCTGAGCAGCCGCATCTGCATTACTTGGCCCACCATGTGCGTGTGCGTGACTATGGCTGTGGCTGTGACTATGACTATGGCTGTGCTGATTCTCTTGTGCTAATCGACGGCCTTCACCTGCAAGATTCAACCCACAAACGCCGAAAACTCGTCAGAGAAACGAAACCAAACAAAAGGACCGGTCACCCGCGCCCACTTTCAAATACACAAAAAAGCAAGCGTACCCGAGAAAGCTACTAGTGTAGGCTGTGTCGACACGCCATTATTGGCTTGCGGGCCCTGACTCTGCGCGGTCGGCGGCTCAATCAGCTCCTTTGGTAGCAAGCACGGAACCCACGAAGCTGTTCGCGCAAGCGGGGAAAAGTCGGGAAGATATGTGTCATCCAATAGCAGCGACGACACAATAATCACAAATGCATCATCGTGAGCGCGTCGGACAAGTCAAAGCCAAAAGCCTCACAAAGCCACAAAGCTGTCAAACCAGCTGCCTCACTCAGCCCGACGCTTCAACAGCCTCCGTGTGGCGCTTACTCAGATACGCGAGCCGGTTGATCCAGCCTGGGATGGGCTTTCCAACGAGCGCCATGCAGAGGTCGGACGCAAAGTGGTTGCAGTTGCGCGCGAGGATGTTGTAGGAGACGCCAGTGTAGTCTCGTGCGAGCCGGTCGATGACGCGCGAGACCTCGTCTTCACTCAGCCCCGTCCGGCCAAACGCAATGCTCTCGCGGAAGATCATGTTCTCAGCAAGTGCCTGCCGTGGCGCGGTGCGGAAGACGCCCGTGAACTCGTACGGATGACCGCCGAACGCGTACTCTTTGCCATAGATGACCACGCCTGTGTGGAAGGCGCCAACCCCGAGCCAGGCAGTGTATGCATTGGTGCTGAACAAGTCGTAGACATTGAGTGTAATGTTGCTCATTTGCGTGTCCGGGTCGCGCTCTGCAAAAACCACAGTATGAATCTAAGATTGAAAAGCTGACTGCACAAAAGTTACAAAATGGGAGCGATTGTGTATTCTAACCAGAGTTTGACTACGATGAGTGTGTGTGTGGGGGGTGGGGATGTGTGGATGGGTATGTATGTGAAAGGGAAGAGAGATCGCAAACAGCTCAAAAAATCGAAAAACATTCAAACAAAAAGAGAAAAAATCTGAGATAAAACAAACAAACGAACAAAGCTCTGATCATGCTAGGGCGTCTTCACCGCCGCTCGAGCTATCGCGCGAGAACGAATGGCGCCGGAGGCGGGGATATTCATTGTCGTTCGTGGCGGTCGAGCCAAGCGATGGCGTTCCACCGAGCATGGGTGGCAACTGCGGCATGGCCGTAAGACTTGGAAACCGTTGTGGGGCGGCAGAAGGAACAAAGGCTGGCCGAGTTTCAAAGTCGTCTGACATGTCAGACGGAAAGCGGGTGTGGTGCACTGGTGGCTGCGACACTGCAGGTTGGTGTGGCTGTGTTGCGGAATGCGGCTGTGCTGCTCCAGTGTGGGGTTGTTGTGGCAGCGTGAAGGACAGCGGGGAGGCCTGCATGAAGGTTGGCTCTGAAAGGGGCGGAGACGTTCCCAACAATGAAATCAGCCCGTGGGGAGGAGAGGACGGGATGAAGGCGGCAGCGCCAGAGATTGGAACTGGCGCACTGACGGTTGGCATGGACGGAGAGCTGGGTGGGGCGAGAGACTTGGTTGCAATGCAGACAACAGGGAAGGTCTTGATGGAAGAGGGCCAAGACGGGCTCACTGAAAAGAATCGCACGTTCGAAAACTTGGTCCCGTCAATGTGGATGACTGTCGTCGTCAACAAAGGCAGTGGGAGGCTGAAGGTGAGACGACAAAACGAAAGTGGCAATACAACGCAGCATGAAAACAAAGTACTAACCCATGAACACTCACCTCCAATGTCATCACTGTGCTTGTCCTTGTCTTTCAACTCCTTGTTGGCATTGGCGTCCTTTTTGCGCTCCTTGTCGTCGTCCTTGTCCTTGTCTTTGCTTTCCTTGCCGTCCTTGGTGTCCTTGTCCTTGTCCTTGCTGCGCTTTTCCTCATCCTTGTCCTTGTCCGTGTAGAGGCAAATCAACCGCTCGATCAGCGTCTCGACGACAGTGTACTTTGCATTCTTGTTCTCGTAGTTGGACGGGCGGCGACCCAGCTGGCGGATCTTCTGGATGAGTTTCTTGTCGCGCGTCACAGCGTGCATCAAAAAGACGCTGGGGGCGAGCATTGAGCAGGAGGAGCCACCAACAGCGTTCGGAGCGGGCACTGCGAGCGAGGGCGGCGTCTTGTCGCTCCCTGCTCCTGCCGAAGCCGCTCCTGGGGCAAGGGTACCAGTTATTTCCTTGTTGAACGAGTGGGCAAAGTGCGTTGATGGAGAGCTGGGAACGGAAGAGCCCGGAGATGCATGGTTTAGGCCGTCTCCTCGGCTGTATCGCGAAACAATGAGCACTTTAAAGTGGGCCTTGAGAGAAAGCTGCCAAGCGAGAAAAAAGAAGATGAAGATCAAGCAGCTTGCGGTTAGAAGGGTACACGAGGACACAAACCCGCAATTTGGTGGGGTTTTTTTTTTTCGTGTTTCAAAACGAGAGCAGCTCGACTCTACCTTGTTGTGGTCTTTGTCCTTATCCTTGTGCTTCTTGTCTTTGGCCCAGTAGTCAATGCTGAGAGACGCTCCTTCGCTCGTGTCGACCAAGGGAATTCCGCCAGTGGGTGAGAGTGGAGGCCCTGCAGGAACGTCCACATACCAGGATGAAGTGGTCTCGTCGTATTCCCCTCGACGAGCTGAAACAGTCGATGACTCGTCCAGCGGGCCGACCCGTACCTCCTTTGATTGTCACCAAACAAAAGGCAAAGAGGAAACAAGGTTCAAAGTGTGGGCATTGCGGTCGAGTTGAGTTGAAAAAGCGCACGCACATGTCAAAATAAGCCAGCGCGCTTACACTCAGGAACGGGATGGATTTCTGGCGCGCGTCGTTTCCTCCAGCGGCTTTGGCGGCAGTCCCAACAGGTGCATCACAAGTCACGAGCGCTTCACAAATGTCCAGAGGCAGCACGTGTGAACACGAGAGGTAACGATAAACTCGTTGGGCGGCTTCGGGTAGTGCAACATTTCGCTCGGCAAGGCCGCACCAAGCCTCGTCAAAGAATAGTGACTTGTACGTCGCGTCTCCTGAGGCGATATGAAGCGCCACTCTGTCTCGCTCCGCGGAGCCTGTTTGAGGAAGGTGGGCATGTTGAAGCATGAGAATTTGAGGTCACTGGACACGGCCAAAAGCAACCGCCAAAACGAACGAGATCGCAAGTACGCTTTACCAGTTGGAATAGGGTAGAATCGCCAAGCGCCAACCCAATCCGCGGGCTTGTTTGTCATGTGCTCCACGTAAACTCGAAGCGCGTCGTGAATATTTGCATCGTTACCAACGATGCCCATCTTGATCAACCCAATATCGCTCTTAGAGTCCGATCTGCACGGAAATCAAAAGTGCACAAGTCCACCAAAGAACACAACAGTGAGTGGTGGTCACCTCCGTAGGTCCAATTGCTTCCCTTCCGTCTTCTCCGCCTATCTAGGGTTGATACCACTTACAAGTGCTTGATATTCAGGATTAAGGTTGCCACCAGCGTGGAAAAGTCATGCAACCCAGTCACGACCACGAGATGCCGAGCGATGGATGCATTCTCAGATGTGCCTTCCGGATCGACGCCCCCGCCAAGCAACGACGGCTTTAGCTGAGCGGCAATGCGTCGCGCACGACTGGATGTGGCAAAAACCACGACAAGGAAAGGTGGCAACAAGCCAGGGACGGCGAATAGCTCAGCCAGCTGGGCAGTGAGCAAAGGCAGCTTGACTTGCAGACCAGAGCTGATTGGAGCGTTCGGAACGACAATGGACAAAGCGCCATGCGAGGGTGCGGCAGAATTGGTACCCGCGATAGGGACAAGCGGTTGAGCAGAGCCTTGGTCACCCGGAATGGATGCTGGTTGAATTTGCTGCTGCTGCTGCTGCTGCTGCTCGGACGATGGTTGATGCTGGGGTTGCTGTTGTTGCTGGGGCTGAGCAGGCTGCGATGGTTGCTGCTGATGCGCTTGTTGTGGTGGCTGCTGCTGCTGTTGCACCTCATGGGCAACAACCGATGATGGCAACGAATCAGCTGGGCCAGCAAAGTTAATCCGCGTCCCGAGCTCTGTTGTCACGGCAATCGCATCCGTGGCCCACGCCGATGAAATTGACTGCATGCTTCCTGCCGCACCGAGCCGCGTGGCGTCTCCCTCCTCATCCGTCTGCGTCGACCCGTCATCCGATCCAGAGTCGAGCGGATGCACCTGCAAGTTATGCGGCAGGATGCGCTCTTCCCGTTGCTTTCGTCGACGGTGTGTGCGTTGGTGTGGTGCCTGCTGCTGCTGCACGGTTTGGGAAACTACGTGCTCTGGCGCTTCGAGGAAGGCGAGCCGCTCGGTGGCGCTCATGCGACGGCCCAAGTAGAACGGAACAAGTGTCGGACGCTGAGCATCAAGTGACTCCTGCAGGGTGGGTTTGGGCATTCCACGTCGCGCTCCATGTAGCACAGGCGGAGCATCGTCGTAGACGTCATCGTGCATGCCGTCGTCGTCAAAGTCAGAACTGCTGCTCTCACTCGTGCTGTACGTGCTGGAATCCACGGCAAGTTCGTCAATCATGGCTATATCCTCGTCAGACATGATGGCAAATTCGTCATCCGTCTCGGCGCCGTCCGAGAGAATGGCAGTGGTCGACGCGAGCGTTGCTCCGGGGTGCATATAGTCGACCGAGCGGCCAAACTGGTCTTGCTGGTAAGACTTGTGGTGTTGTTGTTGTTGTTGCTGTTGCTGTTGTTGTTGTTGTAACAGAAGTAGTTGCTGTTGCTGAAGCAACAATGGCTCTTGTTGCTGCTGTAGAGATTGCGGCAGTTGCTGGGTGGACTGGGTCTGTGATCCTTGCCCTGAAGCGTGGCCCTGTGCCTCAGCAGCCTGCTGCAGCTTTTGTTGCTGTTCAGATAGCTTTTGCTCCTTGCGCTTGCGATGAAGAGAAGAGTTCATCATCCTATTGAAGGGGTTGGTCAGCTTCCGGCCGGCAGAATCTTTGCCGCCACCGGCCTGAGCGCCGTGGGCGAGCTCTGTCGCCTCATAGGCCAACGCTTCATCGCTCAGTTGGCGAGCCACCGGTTCATTCGAGCGCCCACTGTGTGGCTTGAGCAAGGACGAGAAGCGCTTGGCGAGTGCCGTGTCGAGGAACTTGACACGATTGCTGCCACGAGTGTGGCCTTTTTTTGCTCGCTTCCCCATGCTTCCCCGCTTGTCATGCGTATCAGCGCCGACGTTGAGAGAGTCGACAGCCAGAGATTCAGCGATCGGAACGTGGGTGCCGTGAACAACCGCTTGCTCGACATCCGACATATCGTCAGAATCCGAGGTGTCGCTGCCTTCTGAGGTGGTGCTGGTATCGTCTGGTTGCTCCTTGGGGGTGGTGGGAATGGACGACGACAAGTGCTTGTTGTGGCGGCGAGCTGCAGACATGACGGCCGAAATTTTCTCGCCAAAGCTCGTCGTCCGGGCCTTCGCGTTGCGAAACTTGCGCGCTTCCGGGACTGAGCCGGCTCCGTCGGAGTCTTCTGCGGCTGCTGCTTGGGCCTCAACGGTGGAGCTCGCGCGAGGAACGCTTCGGAGGCGAACCATCATGCGCGCGGCCGGCGTGCTGGCCGAATAGGCATGTGGAACCTTGGGTGGATGCAAGTCAAGGAACTCGTTGACAGGCAGCTGCACCACCTGGGACATTGAGACAAACCCTGCTGCCAACGTTTTAAAGCTGCGAATGTTGGTGTTCTTGTACTTGCGGCGCGACTGCAGAGTAATGCATAGGTTGTTGAGATGGCTTTTGAGTTGGTGAGTGTACTGCAGCGTAAACTCAATGTCGACAGGAAGCTCCCAGTACTGCCCAACAATACGAGGATAGGCGGTAAAAGGAATTGGCAAGATGGTGCCGCTGTCGATCATGGGCTGTGATGTCGCTGCAAGGGCGGCAGCAGCACCCGCAGGTGCGACTGTTGCTGCTAATGCATTGCCGCTCGAATGTCGCGGTTGAGCAGAGAGCGGGACCGACCAAGTGGCAGACCCAGCAGGGAGCGATTGAGCTTGAGGAGTTGGCTGCGTCTGCTGCGTCTGCTGCAACGTTTGTGACTGTGCAAATCCACCTTGCTGACCTTGAGCTTGTGCCTGTGGTTGGGCTTGCGGATGCGTGGACGCTCCATGTCCACCTTCGTCCAGAACAGGAAGCACGGTGTTTGCATTCGCATTGGCCTGGCCATTCGAATTGGCGTTGCTTCCAGACACGGCACCCGTCGATGTCGGCGCTTGGGGCGGACTAGCAGCTGGCACTCCTGCGGCCTTATTCACAGCGGTAGCAGCAGCAGCAGCAGCACTTGTCGCAGTGCCACTGGCAGTACTCGCACTTGTTGTCGTCGTCGTCGTCGTCGTTGGCTGCTGCAGCAGCAGATTGAGGTTGATTGGGAATTCGTGCGAGCGGAGCACCCGTCGCGAGTCCTCCATCGCCAGCGCAATGACGAGGCTGTTGTCTGCGGGCCACTCGATGCCTCTGTGCAAGCGGATGGACGCAATGGAGACGGTGCACAGCCGCGGCACGCTGTGGTACGCAGCGCTCTCCACTTCCCAGGTCGCAAACAGCCGCATCGGCGATGCTGGCTTTGGCTGCGCTGCGCCATGGCTCAATGCTGCTGATGATGATGAAGACAGTCCCGATGCCGATGCTGGCGGGATGGTCAGAGTGAGGCTGCCCGCGATTGAGTGATCCATAGGATTCGCAGTCGGAATACCGCTCGTTCCGGTCGTCGTCGTCGTCGTCGTCGTTGTCGTTGTCGGACTCCGCAGCGCCCCTCCGCCGCTGGGTCCGATCGGGCCTGACATGCTGCCCGTGAGCGCTGGCGTTGGTGGCGATGGCGGACTCGCGCTCGGCTCGGCTGTCATCGCTGTTGCGGTCACTGGCTGTTGCAGCTGCTGCTGCTGCTGTTGTTGCTGAGCCAATGCAGCTGCGGCGGCTGGTCCTCCGAAGGGCGACTGTGTGTGGCCATGGCCGTGGTGCGTTCCTGATGGTCCAACGGGCGGCAGTGACGACGCAGACGACGACGACATTGGCGGGCTCGGCTCAGCCACTGCTATTGCAACGCCACTCATTCCAGTAGGCAGTTCAGAGCAAACAACACCTCGGGGGCGATGGTCTCGTTTCGGGCTGTCGTTCAGTGGGGAAAGTGTCAACGGTCAACGTCAAAACAAGTGCAAAAGGGATATTGTCAACGGAGGAAGGAAAGGTTGGAAATCGAAAAACAAGGATGAAAAAACAAAACGGAGACTGGAGCAGTATGTCTGTGTCAAGATAGACACCGGTCAAAGTCTAGTGTCAAGAGAGACGGAGGAAAAGTTTCAGACCTTCGTCTCAATGAAAAAAAGAAGCGGAACGCTGGCTTGGTTTTCGGAAAACGGAACCCGGAAACGAAAATACAATGTTTTATTGGCGGCAGTTCAATCAACGTCAACCGAGAAGGAGAGGTCCCTGGTTCATTTTCGTCGTTGACCCTAGCATCCATGTACCACATCGGTGTCCATGCCAATGGTTTGAGAGGTTGGGTGAGCGTTCAATGTTGGACACCCCAAAAATCCACGCAAAACAATGTTGTACCTTGGTAGTGCTAGTATTTGCCTTGATGGAGACCTTTTGAGCACCGGTTGACAATGTCTGTAGCATCCGCAGGTTTTCAGCAGCGTAATTGACTGGTCCTTCTGCGCCTGCGTTCTTGAGAGGGTTGCCTGGACACAGATCAGAAAGCCAAAAACACCACAGTCAGTACGAAACCTGGGGGCGGTGATTGCAATGGCAATCATGTCAGGCACTGCCTGCTTTTGTGACCCAAACCATGCTCAGGCAACCAATCCATTTGAACTTCTCAGAAATGCTCAGAAGCCAAACCCCTCACAGTTCCCCCCAGGTCGCTCGAATCCGAGTGTGCATATTCGCTTACTCTGCGCCGCCTTCCGACGTGCGGCATCTTGGCGCTGCTTGCGCAGTGTCTGTGCCTGTCGTTCCTTGGCCTTGCGGACACCCGCCTTGGTCGTGTGAGCGTGGAGTGCGGTCTCGGACTCGTCCTCGTGGCGCACCGCAGCAGAGTGCTCGGTCGTCGATCCGCTGCCACTGCTGCGCTGCTGCCCATGTCGGCGCTTGGTCTGGATGCTGTTGCTTGATCCACTGGCGCCGGCTGCGGAAGACGCGACGGGCGACTTGGCGGCCAGGTTGGCCAGGAGCGAGTTGAGCGACTGCTTGGCCAATGCTTTGGACATTGTGTTCTCAGACCTTTTGAATGAGGAAACAAACAACGAGTGAGCTCAGCTCGGATGGATGGCAAAAGGAAGCGCAGGATGTTGTTGCACTCGAAAACCAACGAGGGGATTTTTGACTTGAATCGAGGCTCAACCAGGCAGGCTTTGCTCCAAATCTCAGAGATGGCGCAAAAATGGGCATGTTCAAGCAAACGTGTTATATTAACGACAAAGGGGGAGGGAGTGTGGAAAAGGTATACAAGGATGAAAAGATGTGGCGGAAAATGCCTGTTCACGCAAAAAGAAAAATTCAAGCAACCCAGACCGAGTTGGTTCAAAAAAAAAATTCAACCAAAATACAATCAAGTAGAAAGCATAAGGAAAAAGGATCAAAGGTGAAAGGTTTGGTGGGGGGCGATGAGCGCAGTCAACAATAAGAGATCTAAGAATCAATAACTGGAAAGAGAAAAAAATTAAGAAAAGGTTTGGGAAGGGACGGGGGACCCAGAAAAGGGACTGCTAGCCAAACTACCCAGTTACACGACAGTGATCGTGTAGCTCCTGCCCGGTATGAGACCATCAGGAATCATGGTAAAAGCGCCAGAGGCGTCTTGCACTTTGAAGCGCGTGTCATCACTCAGGTCAAACGTCTCGCGAATGAAAACCTTAAAATCGCTGGACGAAATGCCAAGCGAATTGGCGCGGGAAGGAAGTCCAATCGGCATCGTCCTAGCACCAAGGGTCATGAAGACTTGCTCGGAAGTACCCACCGAGGACGACGCCTGCGACAGACTCATCGGATCCAATTCAAAAAGGTCCAAGTCCTGAGATCGCTGTCGCGCGTGCTGCGGCAGTTGTTGATGTTGTTGATGTTGATGCTGCTGCTGATGCTGCTGCGGCTGCGGCTGGAACTGAAGCGTCGGCACGAGTGGGAGCGGGTGCTGGACTGTGGGCCAAGAGGGAAACGGACCGAACGCGCTGTCGCTGTTTGCAACGGATGGGGGCGAAATACGGAGGCGCGAGACCTCAGCGCTTCGTTCGTCTGCATCGTCGTCATTGCCAAATGCAGTCGAGTGGGACCGCCGAATGGCGCGCGGTGAGCTGCTATTGGATGCAGCCGACAGATCAGAGAATGGCGTGTCAACAGACCGCCGTGGCGAAATCAAGACGTTCGCAACGCCCTGCACCCACTGCCTTCGAGAGTGCTCTGTTTCCCAGAAAATCTGGCAGTGCTCGTTGGAAGCGAGCAAGTTGCCAGGAAGGTCGGGTGCAGGCGCAGCGGCACTCCTGCAGCGCTCACGGACCACTTCAACAATCTCCTGACCGAAAGCATGATGAAGTCTGGGAAGCGAGTAACCAGATTTCTTGAACATGTTGCCGATGAAGCTGCCGTTTTGATTGGGTGGGCGACCATCCGTACGGCATCGTTCGAAAATCGCAACCATCTCCTGCAGGTTGAGCGGCGCATCCAGCACATAAAGAGCTGCAATGTTGGTGTAAAAGGCGTTGCAGTCGTACTTGTCGGGAGTGGTCGCATCGACAGACCCCACCGACGGGGACGGGGTGGCGAGAGAACGACTCGAAGATTGCACTGCGGGCTGCGACGAAAATTGCTGTGGCGAAGACGAAGACGAGGACAGTACAGAATGGAAGGAACTCATGGCGACAAGTGCGGCGCCCGGAGTTCCACGCACGGGCATCGGGTACTGTAGGCTCCGGTTGGGCGTGCTGCTTCCACCGGTCGAGGCAAAACTATCCGAGCTCGTGTCGCCGCTGAGGAGCGCGTCCGCACTCGCAGAGAACGATGACACGTTGGTCTCCGTTAGGAGGGCAGGAAGGGAGGACGCAGTCGGCGACGTCGAGGACTTTCGCCCGCGTTTCCCGTTCTTGCGTTCTGGCAAGTGTAGGATGATGCGTGCTTCACCCAGCGCGCGGGCTCGAGGTGCGCCTGTAAGCTCGGCCACTGCGACGATTCCACCCTGCATTTTGATGTGGAAAAAAAAGTGAAAAAAGTGAAAAAAAACAAAAAAAGTCAGTGCACCAGCAGCATCGAAAGTCGCGCATCAATGTAAACGCATAAAACAATCCACAGCAAAAACGCGAAAAACAAGACAAACAAGACAAACAAGAAAAACACAGGAAAACAAAGAAAAACAAAGAAAAACAAGATGAAAACACGGGGGGAAAAAAATTCCACCACAAGAAAGGATCGGCTGAAAATCTTGGGAGGGTTTGTTCGCTTCCCAAAAAAAAACAAAAACAAAAAAAAACCCCAGACAGACAGACAAACCCACCCACTCCAAAAGGCGCAATTTCCTGCCACCCCCTCCCCCGTTGTGCGCTGCGCCTGCGATTCCCACTTTGACGAACAATCATCAGCACTGCTTTTTGAACGTTTTGCGCGACTTTTCTGATTTGCTGGTCTATTTTTGTTTGTTGATTTGTTATTTTGTTTTGTTTTTCTGTTTGTTTGGATTTTTTTTTCTTTGTTTTTTTTTGTTTTTGTTGGATTTTTTTTTTTTTTTTTTTTTTTTTTTTGCTGCTTTCTCTTTCGATCGCCATGCGATTTGCAAAAAAAGATGACGCTACCGATAAAACATGAGTGCCCTCCGAACATGAGGGTCTGCACGCTGGGCGCAGCTTCCAGCCGGCTCTTCTTTGGCATCAAAATAACCCCAAGGAGTTGCTCGATATAACTGCGCCCCGACAAGGCAGAACGGCGCACGGCAAGCCGGTGAAAAACGCGTCGCCAGCGGGACCAGGTGGGAAAAAAATGGAGGGAAAAAAAAAAACGAGGCCTGCACATTGCAGAGCACCACGACTCTCGCACAGGGTCCACCGCTCCGCCCATGAGGGGAAATGGTGGCCGGGGAGTGTCTCTATCGCATGGCGTGAGGGGCAGAGCGGACGACCGAGCGGAACGTTCGATATCAGTCACCAAAGTTGATGCGAATAAAGAAAGAAAAAAAACGAAGATCTGATTTTTTTTTTTTTTTTTTTTTTTTGGGATTCATCGCTTCACTTTTCGACCTTCGTTTTTGCTGCTCGCAATCAACTCGATTCGTATAAATTCAAGTTTTCCAGCATTCAAAAACGAAAAAAGAAATTCAAAAAGCACAAAGCATGCGTGCTGGCAAAAAAACCGTGCTTGTGTGCTGCCAATAAAGAAGCACGAGAGACAGAGAGCGCGACTTGCCTTTGGTTGGTAGCATAGGGCAAGCTGGAGGGGGGTCATTTTGCCAATGTTGCCCTTCTGGGCAGAGCAGAACACGTAGTGGCCGTTGTGTTCATCCGGGTTTTGCACGAGAAACTCCAGCCACGAGCTGTCGGTGAAGCACCCAGTAAAGACTGTGCAGTCCATGGTTGACATGCGCAGGCAGGAGGGTGGTGGTCAAAGAGGCGCGGAAGGTCAAGGCGGTGGAGCAGCGACAAAGAACGAAAAAAATAAAAATCGAGTCAGAGAAAATGATCGGCCCAGACGCACGATGGCCGGTTGCTCACAAAGGAGCGAACACGGAGCGAGCTGGTGAAGGAAGCAAAGAAAGATGACGAGAAAGACCACACACAACGAAGGAGCCAAAAAAAAAACACAGAGCAGAGAGAGATGAGACAAAAAGGGGGGAAAAAAAAAACGAAGCGAAAATAAAAATTAAAAAGAAAGAAAAAAAAAAAGAGAGAAGAATGATTTTGCCGCCGGACTTTGAGGCGGAGCTCCATTTGGGCAACGCTCGATTTGGGATGTGCGTTGGGTCGGATGCATCCAAGGACGTATGGCAGAATGCAAGCACACACTTTGCAAGGGTGTGCAAAGGCGCTGGTTACAGCAGGAAGAACACAAAGCGGCAGCCTTGGGGGTTTTTTTAACTTCAGGACAACTTGTCAGATTAATCACAGCTGTCGCAAGTGCCTTGATTAAAGGCTGGAGTGAAGGGCGTGAATTGCAAAACCCACTCTGTCTCTCCCCCTCTTCCTTGTCGGAGCCCAGAACGCGCCGCGGATGGACTGATGAGCGCGTTGAAAACAGCTATGCCACACCCGCGGTTTCTACCGTAAACAATCCCGGACTTAAATTGCGGTTTGTTTTGAGATCAGAACGGTTGGCGCGCCCATCAAAAGACATGTTTCCGCTCTTCGTTCTCCACCCGTCCAAGTAGCGGACCGATACTAGAGTGTACGTGTCTGCTCGATCGTCTTCGACCCAAGTTGGACGAAGCAGGCGTGCGCCAGTCTTATTTTTGTCATTTGCGGGTTTGTTCATTTCCATTTTTAACGCTCTCGAGTTTTGATTCAGCCATGCCTCGCGTCGTTCTCATTACACTCGTTCGACAGTAAGGATTTCATGTTGTGCCGTCTCTTAAATGTTCATTGAGAGCAGAAGCGGTCGGTGACCCCGTTGCCTGCTTGGCTGGCCTTGACGACGTGGCGACGATGTTGCAATACTGACGTGCGGTTGTGCTTTGCCCCGCCCCCCCTTCGTACTCAGTGGTCAAACAGAGGCAAACAAGTCAAGCATCATCCAAGGTAAGCAGATCTGCCCTTTTTGTGTTTTTCTGTATGAGCACTTTTGCATGAGCTCATTGCAGCTCACCATCCCTGACCTCGACTGCCTCCTCGTTTGCGTAGGCCAGACGGACATCCCGCTCAACGATCATGGCCGAAGACAGGCAGAGCATGCTGCCCAGTCTCTCGCTGCGACCAAGGTGGACGCCATGTACACGAGCGACTTGAGTCGAGCGCACGAGGTAGAGACTCACGCAAATGCTCAAGCGATCTGAGCCCATCGTTGCTCACGTGCTATTGGTGAATGCATTCTTGGTACGTTGTGCAGACCGCATCCATCATTCATCGGCGCTTGAAACAGCCGTGCGAGCTCATTGTCGACCGAAGGCTGCGTGAACGAGTACGCAATACAAATCTGTTTTGTTGGTTTGGTTCTGTCCGACTGCTCACATTTCTGATGCTTTGCTCTGCGTAGTCGTGTGGCGTTTTTGAGGGCAAGCCATGGGGCAGCGCGCGCAAGCATGCCGAGGCTTTGGGAATCCCTCACTACGAGTTCCGACCGGAAGGCGGAGAGAATTCGGCGGACGTCCGCGCTCGAGTTGCCACCATGCTTCACGATATTGTGCAAAACCAGGCCAAAGTCGTGCACGAGTCGTTGACGCATGAGACGGCGTCGCTGCATCACGTTGTAGTGGTCAGCCACGGCGGTCTTATTTCCGACTTGCTGCACTACTGCCGGGACCACGCATTGTTAGACCTGAATGGCCATACCGTGACCATCCCACTGAATACCTCGCTCACCACCTTGGTGGTACAAGTACCCGAGACGGCTGACTCCAGCACGCGCGATTTCCAAGAGCTTGATGGTGCAGCCATCGTGCAGCACCACAACCACGACCACCACCAGCAGCAGCATCCGCATGCGCTTCCGGTGCATCATCACACCCATCATGAGCATCGTCACTGGTCTGTTAAAATCCACCGGTTTAACGACGTGGAGCATTTGCGGGAGCTGGAGCAGATTGTCGCCCCTCACAACATTTCCGATTCAATCTAGCGCAGTGAAAGTCGACCTGAAAAATCGCGACGACTTGCGCGTTTTGTCATCTGTACCATTATATTTTGTTCCATTTTTTACGTGTGCAATAGTGGAGATTGAACTCCTAAACAAGCCATCTATCTCAGTGCTCTTTCACCACAACCCAATTTCCACTGCCACGAAAAGAAGACCCTCCACCCAACAAACCAATTTCATTGCATACCATTTCTACCCACTTGAGCACACCCATGCATCGCATGCATCGACGTGTGCTCGCCGTGTGCTGCGTCGTCATCGCACTGGCGGGATTCGCTGCGGGAGCAGACCGCGCCAAGCCGTCGTCTGCCCCAGCCGACGTTGTCCACGAACGCGACACGCCGCTGACACGAGTGGCGTTCGGATCGTGCAGCCGCCCCACGTTGCCGCAGCGTCTGTGGAAGCCCCTGGGCGAGCTCGAGCCGGAGGTGTTCGCGTGGCTTGGTGACGTGGTCTATGCGGACTCGCGTGAGCAGACGTTCGTCTGGCGCCCGTCGCCGCTGGAGCACGTCAGGGACATCTACGCAATGCAGAAAGCGCTGCCAGAGTACAAGGCGTTTGTGGACGGACCGAGCAAGCCGCTCGTCCTCGGCGTGTGGGACGACCACGATTTCAACCTGAACAATGGCGGCGATCGCAACCAACTCCGCGACAGTGTGCAGGAAATCTTTCTCGATTTCCTCGACGAGCCTGCAGAGTCGCTCCGGCGGCAGCGAGAGGGCCTGTACGTGTCCCATGCGTGGTCTGGGCCCGACCGCAAGGGCAGGATTCGACGTGTCAAGCTGATCCTGCTCGATGTTCGCTACTTTCGGCAGGACTTTGATAGCGATACGGACAGCAAGTGGGCAATGTGGATTTCCAGCTTGACCGCGGGGCAGCCGGTCAATGTCAACTTCCCGGGCGTCGGCGACGAGCAAGTCGTGCGCCACGAAGAGCTGCGACACAAGCAGCATCGCGATCACTCCCGCGGAGACATGCTGGGCGATGCTCAGTGGACGTGGCTTGAAGCCCAGCTGCGCGACAGTGCCGAGCAGCAGTTTGATCTCACTCTGATTGGGTCTGGAGTCCAAGTCCTCAGCGACACGCCCATTATCGAAAAGTGGGGTCTGTTTGGCTCAAGCCAACGCCGACTGCTCAAAACCGTGCACGACCTTGGTGTTCCTGGCGTTGTCTTCCTCAGTGGCGATGTTCACATGGGCGAAATGCTGTGCACGGACGACACGGAGGACTACTTGCTCGGGTTGAGTTACCAATCAGCGCACAGCACGCCCGTTCCAGCCCAGCGACCGCATCACCTGCCCGATGACAGCCCTATTACAGTCAACACCGTCCCGCGCCTGGGCTATCCGCTTTTTGAGTTTACGTCGTCCGGCATGACGCACAGCTGCAAAACTCAGATTCCCATCGTCTCTTGTCTCTTTGCCGTCAACTGGCTTGCCCCCGGAACCTTCCGAGTTGGGCCTACCATCTTTGATGACTTGAACTTTGGCTTTATCGAAATCGATTGGGATAATGAGGTCGTCGAAGCCTCTATCCGGGGCAAAGATGGCGCGGCTGGACTTGTCACAAAGATTCCGTTCTCTCGGCTGCGCCCATTCCAACAAAGCGACAAGGAGACTGCGTCGGCATCGGAGCTCCAGTACGAAGCGCATCTGTGTCCCCATCGTCATCCTGTCGACGATGTGCACTTGTGGGCGCGATTCGGCGTGCGCGTTGTCCTGATTTCGGCCCTTTTGGTGCTCGTGCTTGGCGTCCCCTTGTTGTGTTTGAGCCTGCCTTTCCTGCTTCTCCGCTGTGTTTGGCGATGGCGCTTTCGCGCAGCCAGCACCTCTGCCTCATCGCAACCGCGTCATGCCAAATCGGAGTAGCATCCACTGTTGTTTGGTGCAAACGTAGAATTGAACATTGAACATCGCTCTCTCAGATCTGTTGCTTCATCCAACCTTCGTTCTCCTTGTGTGATGCGTTGTCCAACATTTCACGTTGCCTATTTAAAAAAATCTGAAAATCGCCACTCTTTTTTTTCTTTCTTTCTGATTTTTTTTTTTCTGATTTTCGCATCGTTTTCTGTATGTTTTTTTGCATTGCCGTTGTTTTTTTTAGCTTTATCGCAAGAAGGAGTGTGTTTTTCTTCCATGTTTGGTGTTTTCCATCGCGTTGGCATGAAACACGAGTGTGTTTGTGTGTGTGTTCGTGTGTGCGTGGCAGTGACGGTGCACGAGTGAGCTGACATTGGGGAGCGGCACTCAACCAAGCACATGTGGCGGGCTCCCGCTTTAGCCACAACAGCGCTCTTCCCATCGCTCCAGTCCACTCCACCACTCCACTGCCCATCTTTCACTCACAATTGTATAGTCACCACACTCCAAACGCTCAACGTTAACACTCACAGAAACAAAAAAAAAACACTCACTCCCTTTCACTAGAGCCGGAAAAGCAACCATGACGAACGACGATGTGTGGCTACCACCGAGCGTGTCGCCGCTGGAGAGCGTGCTGGACCGCGAGCTGCGTGAGCGCATCCTCGTGCTTGACGGCGCAATGGGCACCATGATCCAGCGCCACAGACTGTCCGAGGAGGACTTCCGCGACCACCCCGAGCTCAAGGACCACCACAAGCCGCTCAAAGGGAACAATGACATTCTCGTGCTCACCCGGCCAGAAATCATCTACGACATCCACCGCAAGTACCTCGAGGCAGGCGCGGATTTCATCGAGACAAACACGTTCAGCGCGACAGTCATCGCGCAGGAGGACTATGGTCTCCAGTCGTGGGCCTACAAGATCAATGTCGAGGCGGCAAAGCTCGCCAAGCGCGCTTGCGTCGATGTGATGGCTGCAGAAGGGCCGTCGGGCCATCCGCGATTCGTGTGTGGTGCCATCGGCCCGACCAACCGCACGTGCTCGATTGCGTCGGTCGACAAGCCCGAAGAGCGCAGCACCAACTTTGACACGCTCGTCCCGGCGTACAAGGAGCAGGCCCAGGGTCTGTTGGACGGCGGTGCTGACGTGCTGCTCATCGAAACCATCTTTGATACGCTCAACTGCAAGGCCGCGCTCTTTGCGATTGAGACGCTGTTCGACGAGATTGGCCGCCGCGTCCCCATTTTCATCAGCGGCACCATTGTCGACCGAAGCGGTCGCACGCTTTCCGGCCAGACTGGCGAGGCTTTTGTCGTCAGTATTACCCATGGTGAGGCAATTTGTGTCGGTCTCAACTGCGCGCTCGGTGCTTCTGAGATGCGCCCGTTCGTGGAATCCCTCGCGAAAGCCACTCCAGCCTACACGATTTGCTACCCGAATGCCGGTCTCCCCAACACGTTCGGCGGTTACGACGAGACGCCCGAGATGATGGCCGAGAAACTGCAAGAGTTTGCCAAGTCTGGTCTCGTCAACCTGGTCGGTGGATGCTGCGGCACGACTCCCGACCACATTCGCGCGATTGCGAACGCAGTTCGTGGTATTGCTCCTCGCGTGCCAAACAAGACCCAGTGGAACGACACGCTGTTGTTGAGTGGTACGAGGAAGAGTCTGGCAGCCAGTCTCTTTGCGTCGTTTGTGGGGTTGGAGGGGTTTTGTCGCCGGTTTTTCTTTTCTTCTTTTTTTGACTGATTGCTCAATCGTGTGTCTGGATTTTGGACCATCAGGTTTGGAGCCCACCCGAATCAACAAGCTCACCAACTTTGTAAACATTGGAGAGCGCTGCAACGTTGCTGGTTCTCGTCGTTTCGCCAAACTGATTGCAAACGGCAACTATGAGGTAGGCACGAATTTTTGAATTTTTTTGGTCGACATTGCTGCATCCTTGTTCGCTTCCTATTCTAACTCGCTCCGTTTGGGTTTATTTGGTTTGACGCTACCCTTTGGGGACACACGCACTCATCAGGAAGCATTGGCGATTGCCAAGTCGCAGGTTGAGATGGGCGCACAAGTGCTCGATATCAACATGGACGAGGGCATGCTCGACTCCAAGTTTGCCATCACCAAGTTTGTCAACTTTATTGCCTCCGAGCCCGAAATTGCGCGAGTGCCGCTTTGCGTCGATTCGTCCAACTTTGCCGTGGTGGAGGCTGGTCTCAAGTGCGCGCAGGGCAAGTGCATTGTCAACAGTATCTCGCTCAAGGAAGGCGAGGCTGAATTCATTCGCAAGGCTCGCATTGTCAAGCGATTCGGTGCTGCCTGTGTTGTGATGGCATTCGACGAAACTGGCCAAGCGGCTGAGGCGGATCGCAAGCTCGAAATTTGCGCGCGCTCGTATGACCTGCTTGTCGGTCCCAAGGTTCGATTCAACCCCAACGACATTATCTTCGACCCCAACATTCTCACCATTGCAACCGGCATAGAGGAGCACAACAACTATGGTGTCGAGTTTATCGAAGCCACTCGCCGCATCAAGCAGCGCTGCCCGGGCGCCCGCATCAGCGGCGGTGTGTCCAACCTTTCCTTCTCCTTCCGAGGGCAGGACGTCATTCGCGAGTCCATGCACTCGGTCTTCCTGTTCCACGCCATCCGTGCGGGCATGGACATGGGCATTGTCAATGCTGGCATGCTCCCGCTGTACGACGACATTCCCAAAGACCTGCTCGAGTTGTGCGAGGCTGCTGTGCTCAACACCGACCCCAACTGCACGGAAAAGCTGCTTGCGTACGCGCAGGCCAAGGTGAGGTTTTAGAGAGAGAGAGAGAGAGAGAAATTGGGGGAGGGGAGTCTATTGAATGTGAGCAAGGCTGGAAAGCTGCGACAGGGTGAGCTCACTTGAAAGGGAACATCCCCCCAACTAATCCTTGCCGTGCATAGGGCAAAGATGCTGGCAAAAAGGCGGTCGAGGACGAGGCTTGGCGCTTGTTGGATGTCGAGTCGCGTCTCGAACACTCATTGGTCAAAGGCATTGACAAGCATGTCGCGCTGGATGTCGAGGAGGCTCGTCTCAACACGGAAAAGTACCAGCGACCGCTGCATATCATTGAAGGCCCGCTGATGCGTGGTATGAGTGTGGTTGGTGACCTTTTCGGTGCGGGCAAAATGTTCTTGCCTCAAGTCATCAAGTCGGCGCGTGTCATGAAGAAGGCTGTCGCCCACCTCATCCCATTCATGGAGGCCGAGCGCCTGCAGGCCATCAAGGACAATCCCAGCATGACAGAGGCTACCCGCTTTAGTGGGACGATCGTGCTAGCAACCGTCAAGGGCGATGTTCACGACATTGGCAAGAACATTGTCAACGTTGTGCTCGGCTGCAACAACTACCGTGTGATTGATCTCGGCGTTATGACGCCTTGCGACAAGATTTTGGAGACTGCTATTGCCGAGAATGCGGACGTCATTGGTCTGTCGGGTCTGATCACGCCGTCTTTGGATGAGATGATTCACGTCGCCAAGGAAATGGAGCGACGCGGCATGAAGCTGCCTCTGCTGATTGGTGGCGCTACTACATCGCGCACGCACACGGCCGTCAAAATTTCGCCTCGCTACTCGCGTCCCGCCATTCACGTGCTCGATGCTTCCAAGTCGGTCGTCGTCGTCTCGGCTCTGCTTGACCAGCGTTCAAGCCAAGATTACATCAACGACATTTCTGATGAGTATGATGAGATTCGTCACGAGCACTACCAGACATTGAAGGATCGCCAGTACCTGTCTCTTGAAAAGGCCCGCGCGCGTCACGGCGGCCTGCACGACTGGTCCAAAGCGACCATCACCGTCCCCAAGCTCATGGGCACGACTGTCTTCCGTGAGGTTGACCTCAATCGCGTGGTCAAGTATATTGATTGGAAGGTAACGGTGGAATAGATTGTGTTTTTTTCGTTTTTGTTTTTGTTTTTGTGTTTGTTTGTTTGTTTGGCGGTTTGTTTGTCGCGCGACGCATTGCTCACTCTCGCTCTTTTGCCGCGCTACCAACTAGCCCTTCTTTGAGGTGTGGCAACTCCGTGGCAAGTACCCCAACCGTGGCTATCCCAAAATTTTCAACGATGCGACCGTTGGCGCTGAGGCGCGCAAGACCTTCAACGACGCCCAGACCATGTTGTCAAACATCATTCGGTAATTCTGTGGTGCATTCGTTTTCGTGTTTCCAAGCGCTCCTGCCTTAACTCTTCATCGCTTTACCCCACATGAACAGCAACAAGACCATGCATTGCGTTGGTATCATTGGCATGTATCGTGCCAACTCTGTGGGCGATGACATTGAGGTGCTTTCTCAGGACGGCGCAACCAAGCTTGCCACTTTCCACGGCCTGCGTCAGCAAGCAGAGAAGGAGGCGGAAGACGAAGAGCCGTACTACTGCCTTTCCGATTTTATCGCCCCAAAGGCGTCAGGCGTGGACGACTACCTTGGCGCGTTTGCGGTCGCTACTTTCGGAGCGGACGAAATGTGCCAGCAGTTGGCGGTAAGGGGCGATCTTGCTGCGCTTGCTGCTTGGTTTGGCAAGGTCCTTCGGCTTTGCTGATGGTTTTTTTTTTTGTGTGTGTGTGTGTGTGTGCTTGTTTGTTTGTTCGTTTTCTATTTTCATGCTTTAGGCCCAGCACGACGACTATGGCGTCATCATGGTGAAGGCGATTGCCGATCGCTTGGCCGAGGCGTACGCGGAAATGCTGCATGAGGACGTTCGTCGTGACCATTGGGGCTATTCCAAGGAGGAAAAGCTCACCACCGATGACTTGCTGAGCATTCAGTACCAGGTACAGAATGTTTTCCCTGTGTTTCAGTCATGCGCGTTGAAGCTTTGGTTTTTGTTTTGTTGTTTTGGGTTTTTTAACGTTGAGCATCCGCTTGCTTTCTCAGGGTATTCGCCCAGCTCCTGGCTACCCCAGCCAGCCTGACCACACTGAAAAGCGCATCATGTGGGACTTGCTCAAGGTGGAGGAGCAGTCCGGCATCGGGCTGACGGAATCGCTGGCCATGACACCTGCGGCCGCTGTTTCCGGCCTGTACTTTGCCAATGCCCACTCCAAGTACTTTGCGGTGGGCAAGATCACCAAAGATCAAGTGCAAGAGTATGCAACTCGCTCTGGCCAGCCGCTTGAGACCGTTGAGCGCTGGCTTATGCCGATTTTGTCTTACGATGCAGACTAAGCATTACATTTATCGAATTGTGTTTTTCGTTTGTTGTGGTCGGTTTGCATGCACCAATCCTACTGGTATCGTTTCTTCGTGGAGGTCAATGAAAGAGTTCAAAAATTTCCTGATACAATGTGCAGCAAAGGACAAAGGCGCAACGTTTATTTCATGTATTGGGTCATCAGAAATACTCAGTTGCTGATAGACAGAGGGGAGGGCAACCCTCGTCAAAAGGTTTCCAAAGTGGGGGGTTGGCAAACAAAGGCAAACCAAAGCTAAGCTGCGATGCAACTGACGGCAATGTTGATTACTTGTCTGCAAGAACAGCCGACGAGTGAACAGTCTGGAACCGACCTGACGGATCAGCGTTGCAGCCCCATTCGCCCTTGGGAATCCAGCGCATGACTGTGCTGGCGACGGTTGCAGGGAATTGCTCGTCAAACATCTCGCGATACCAGTACGCCTCCTTGGTTTGAGGCGTGTCGTGCGGGAATCTGACGGCAGCGCTCGCCAGCTGGGCATCCGTCACGGCCTGTTCTGCAGCATCCTTGAGCGAATCAATCCAGCTGTAGCCGACACCGTCGGAAAACTGCTCCTTTTGCCGCCAGAGCACAGATGCCGGCAAATAGGGCTTGTCCGCAGTGTCAAACGCCTTTCGTAGCACGTGCTTTTCGATGTGCGTGGGCTGACGGTGCAGCTTTTCCGCTGGATCAAAGCTCATGGCCACATCCAAAAAGGCCTTGTCGAGGAAAGGAACACGCGCCTCCACGCCCCACGCCATGGTGGACTTGTTCGCGCGCAGGCAGTCTGACAAGTGCAGGTTGCCGACGCGCTGGATGGTTTCCTTGTGCAGGTCGGCCGCAGACGGTGCCTTGTGGAAGTACAGGTAGCCTCCAAAGATCTCATCGGAACCTTCGCCAGAAAGGACCATTTTGACGCCTGTCGCCTTGATGCGGCGCGAGAGCAGGTACATGGGTGTGCTGGCGCGGATGGTGGTCACGTCGTAGGTCTCCAAGTGGTTGACAACATCCCTGAGCGCGTCGTGGCCATCCTGGATGGTAAAGTGGAACTCGTGATGCACAGTGTTCAGGTGCTTGGCCACGACTCGCGCTGCTTCGAGGTCTGGAGCATTCTTCAGCCCGATGGCAAAGGAGTGCAGTCGCGGCCACCAGTTGACGTGGCTTTCGTCGTTCGCCGGGGGGTTGTTCGCGAGCTGTTCGAGGTGGCGCGAGGCGATTGCAGCAACGAGCGAAGAGTCGAGTCCTCCAGAGAGCAGCACGCCAAACGGCACGTCGCACATGAGTCGCTTGATGACGGCGGCTTCGAATGTCTCCCGCAATAGTTTGAGATCGCACGGCTGAGTCGGAATGGCAGTGCTGGTCATCCATTCAGGCTGGTAGTAGCGCACGAGGCCGGTTTTGCTTGAAAAGAGGTGACCCTGTCAAGAACGTGTTGCATTGTGAGTTGTCGTTGTGTTGAAATTCTCATTGAAGGGGAAGCATAGATTGAAAAAAGTTGCGTGAGATGAAACTCACCGGTGGAAACACTTCAATGCGTGAGCAGTTGTCCTTGAGCGATTTGGCCTCCGATGCGTACCAAAGCGAACCATCGTCGCCCCATCCACGGTACAGGGGAGTGATGCCAATAGGATCACGGGCAACAATGTGCGTGTCGTTCTCGACGTCGTACAGCACGAACGAGAACATGCCATCGAGGTGCTCGGCGAGTTGGGTGCCGTGTTTGATGTACTATCGAGGATGATCAAAGAGTAAGTAACGAGAGACGGCGAGGTTGGTCTCCACACGCACTCGTCTAACAAATTCGCAACAACTCTGGCTACGGCTCCTTACCAGCGGGATGATCACTTCGCAGTCCGAGCCGGTTTGGAACTGGTAAGATTCTCCAAGTTGCTTCCGATGGTGTTGGTGGTTGTAGATTTCACCATTGACAGACAAGATGAACTTGTTGTTGGCATCGGTGAGCGGTTGGGCACCGTTGTCTAAAGAGGTACCAAAAGCTGGTGAATAAGCGGTGCGCGTTCGTGTGTCAAATTGACGATGTATCGCCATCACTTACCGAGATCAACGATAGCTTGGCGCTCGTGAGCCAACGCGTTGTTGCCAACAATCTTGAGACCGTTCCAATCAGGACCGCGGTGGCGCAAGCTGTACCTCAGCAAAACATGCCAAGATGAGTGCTTCATGGAAGGCAGTGCGTTGTTATTTTGTCAACGTTCGATGCCATCGTACCGAGCAGAAAGCTTGAGTGCTGTTTGGCGCAGATCGGCTGGTTGAGCATACTTGAAGACGGCGAATATTCCACACATTTTGGTGTAGCTTCTGTGAGATCCAAGATATGATATAGTTCTGGTGAGTTTCAATGCAAACGAGTAGTTTGGATGGATTGTGATCAAAAATATGTTACTCAGAAAGTTGCAAGTTAGAACAATGAGGACTGATCGCGCTTGGGCAATAATCCTTGATGTTTTTCAACCAAATGATGGCAAAAATGATCTGAAACCTCAACAAGTCAATCTTATGGCAATGTCGATTGGATGATTTGTTTTTTGATCTGCCAACATCGCGCTATGATTTTGATCTATTTTGATCTGACACGACACACCACGCGGCTGGTGGCAGTGACGCAATCCCCTTCTGAGTCGTCTCCTTGCTAAGCCCTGTCCTATTTCCACAATGTTTTCCTGAACTTTTCTCATGTATGTCCCTCATGTTGGTGTGCTGAACAGACGACACTCGCTGTCGCAAATCCAGCGTCCGTTTGCTTTTGTGTTTGTTTGACCAAACAAACAAAAGGATGTTGTTTTGATATGTTATGTGTTGCCATGACACAATCAACCCGTCTCTGGCCATTCCGATCGAATGATTTTGATCTATGTTGAGCTATGACATGATCGCCATGCGGCGACGGCGGCGGCGGCGGCGGCGGCGGCAGGCCATGACTCAATCAACCAGATGCAGCGATGACTCCACAGTGCCAATTCGCGGCAAATTTCAGCAATCCGAGTTACCAGTCCCACCCCACCCCCAATCTGGTCGCAGCAGGACGACCCGATCAGACCACATTCACCAATGATAATTCACCGTCGATCCAGCTGTCGTTGATCTGCCTGTCACCAGAAACAGTCACGAATGACCCGATTGTGGATTATTGGGGTCGGGATTTGGTTTTCTTCGGGTATTTGAGCCCGTTTTTGTTTGTGGTATTTTCACATGTCTTTTTGAAGCCTCGTTGTGTGCAGTCCCATCCCACTGGAATGAATGCAACGGCGCAGACAGAGCGGACGTTGGCAGCCGTCGGCGTTGTTGCTCCACAGTTGATGTGAATGGTATGCACTGTGGTTTCGTTTCGAGGTTTTGAAATTGGTGACCGCCCCCCTCTCCTGCTCGACTCGCCCTTCTCCTTCTGCTCCTTCACTGTGCCTCGACTGGGATCCGTCTTGGGCTGTGTGTACGTCGTTGATGATAAACTCGTGAAGGGTGTGCGAGCTAGTGAGACTGCTCCAAATCTCGTGATTACTAGTCCAATTTGAAGGAAGCAGCGAGTTTGGTGGTAGAACGGGTTTGGGAGCGAAACGAGTTGAGTCTGTGTCGGAGTTCGGCTTACAAATCGAAGGGGAATTAAAACAAGGAGTGAAAGTTAAATGTTTGTCGCAAACCGCCCAAAGTCAAAAAGGGTCGAAACTCAAGCGGCAATGTCAGAACGAAACAAAACCGACACAATCAATGGTGCTCCACTGAGAGCTACCACTGCTCTTACAGTTGGAAATTGTGTACGTCTTTCAACGTGTTCGCGTTAGAACAGATGAAAACCTATGATTGATATTGCTCGGTCGGCTCATTGGACCGGAGGGTCAAACAATCGAACGTCACTGCAGTGCCACAAATGCTCATCCTTTAACTCGAAGAACAACTACAACAGCTCGAGTCTTTCCCGTTCGTTCAGATGGTTACCTGAGGAAATATGTTTCTCAACTGGTTTTTGAGATTGGATGATGGGACAAGTCTGCAAATCAGGTCGTTGGCGGTGAACCAATTTCGGTCGGATTTCCGTAACGGCAATGGCCCACTTGCAGAAGCATTTGTGATGTCAAATTTGTGAGACTCCGATTCCCACGGGTTGGGGCTTAGAGCTATTGGCCAGGTAACGTCGATTGATTGATACAAAATGCGCAATGACAGCTATCCAAAAGCATCCAAATACACCAGAATATGCTAAATCCTCATTAACTACCACCGGCTAACCTCGCCGGCTGGACGGACGCAAACTCGGGTCCTGACACTCTACTCCATCTCCGACAGACCTCCGCTGTGCTGGATACGGTATTGCGGCTACACCGCACAGAACCAAAAACACACTTCCTACAACTTCCCCATCGTTACACCAGCCTGACAAAACACACACAAATAATATGAACCAACAAGCTTGTTCCTTGACCCAAGAGGTAGAGACCGCCTAACTTGTTCATGCGAAGAGCACCTTGCGTCTCGACAGCCAAACGCACGTATCCATGTTCACAGCCTTCTTCAATCCCAGCTCTGGCTCTCCAGCACCTTTCCGTTGGACCTTCTTGTCCCAGTGTTATGGAGACCAACCAGGCATGGCGATTCCTTCGACCGACTTGTCCTTCCATGACCGACCGCGTTGGTGGAAAACCCACATGGCTTCTTCCAATCTTGCAACTTGACGATCGCCTCCACCCGAGGCGCGTCGACGTCTTCACGCGTCTACGCTCTTGGGCGACTTGACTACACTTGTTCATCTCGCGGCTGGCGGCGCGCGCGAGGCCTGCTACTTGGAACACGGCTCGGACCAAGCAGCACGAGACCGCGTGGACCTGCACTTCCTTCGACCGCCACAGCTTCAGCGGCCGAGTGCCAGAGTCCACCTCACCATCACCGATCACATCCAACCGACGTCAGGTGGCCCTCATTGATTGCGCATTATGTGAGACTCCGATTCCCACGGGTTGGGGCTTAGAGCTATTGGCCAGGTAACGTCGATTGATTGATACAAAATGCGCAATGACAGCTATCCAAAAGCATCCAAATACACCAGAATATGCTAAATCCTCATTAACTACCACCGGCTAACCTCGCCGGCTGGACGGACGCAAACATTTGTGATGTCAAATTGACTTGATGCGTAGATATATTGCGTGATGTATGTATGCAGTGAGTAGTGTCGTGATGGTGTTCGTGGGTATCACCACATCGTTTGTGTGAAACAATGCAGCGCTCTTCCAGGTAACAATGTTGCGGACGGGATCACATCGGAAAGTTTCACTTTACTCAAACTTGCACCCAAGCGTACTAGTCGGCTCTTCTACACTAGCATCATAAACTAGACACTCTTGCACACTCAGAATGGCCAGAGGGAGGCCACAGAGTACGAAATCAAGCACTACAGGGCCGTGCAAAGGTGCCAAATTGCTGAACTGAGCCGCAATTTCGACGTGCAGCGAATCCCTTCACCCACAACCGACACCCAACATTGCCATATCAATAACAACACAATGCTTCATCCACCATGCTTTCAAAAAGCTTTCATGCGGCCTTTGCTACGTAAGTTTCGCCCACCAATCGCTCCGCTCAACAAAACCCCACACATTTTACCCTTCGTTCCTTTCCAGATCCAGCGATTTCCACCCCACATTTTCCAATCAATCATCTCAAACGAATACACCCATCTTTCACACACCCTCACATCTGAAACTGTGCTCCAATCGATGACCACTTTTTTTTTTTTCTTCTTTCTTTTTGTATTTCTTGTTTTCCATTGAAATTGAATGGCAGCAAAGGCGACCACCCAGCCGCTGCCGCTGCAGCAACAGCAGTACCCGCCGCTGCCGCTGCTCAAGCTGGACAGTCCCGAGTATTCCAAGCTGACGGAAGCGCAGCAGAGCGTGGCCCAGCTCAAGTACCTGACGTCGCTGCTGAGCACCATCGCTCAAACACAACCGGTAAGCTGAGATCTCGTCGGCCCGTTCCCCCTCAACTCCCAGCGCCAGAACTGCGAGTGCGCTCACGGTAGAGTGGCATTTGCCATACATCTGGTGTCTGTCTACAACTTCCAGGCGGCCATCAAGCAGTCACAAGAGCCGGTTGAGGAGCTCCTCGCTCGAATGCTCGGCAACCCGAGCCCAGTGCATCGCCGACTCGTCGCAGAGTGCTGGGTCGCGCTGTATGCAATAGGAGGGTCGCCCAAGCTGAATGCGACCGCAAACCGGCTGCTCGACTGGGTCAAGGTGGCCATGGACCGCAAAGACGCAGTGACACCGCAGCGAATGTAAAAATGCCGTCGTTTTGCTTCAGAGTCACGTCACCAGCAGCAGCTTGCCGAACAAAAAGGGGGTTAGGGGTCGGGTTTGTATTGTGACTCACGAAATTGCCAATCTGTTATTCGATGCATACTCAGTGGTGCCGTTACCGTTATTGGTGCGATTTACAACTCGAATATTGGCCGGCAGGTCAGTCGTCCGCGCACTCTGCAAATTCTCTGATTCGCACACACACGCACACTCATGCTCGATCTTGCATGCTGTTGTCCAATTAGATTGGAGCATTGTTCCAAGACGTGGCACATGTCTTCCTCAAAGTGTTCAAGAACGCAGATGTAACAGCATCAACCAAACATCAATTTTTGCTGCTTGCCGCATTCTGCAATACTGACCAGCTGCACTTGTCTCTTGATGCACACCGATGCACTGATACACAGGGCGCGATGCGCAGCGAGTTGCTAATCGCTCTTGAACGAATGGTCGAAGGTCTAGGTGTCTCTGCTGGCTCGGCGCACAAGGAGATTTTCAAAACCATCAAGGAAGGATTCAAAGACAAGTCGCTTTTAGTTCGAGTGCTAACAGCCAAGGTACGTCATCCTGCGTGCATTCACAAACCACCCTTTCATCTACACCTCACTTTTTCTTTTTCTCTCTCCTGTGTCTTTGTGTCTTTGGCTCGAATCGACTCGTGTCCTCGTCTTCTTTCAGTGCTGCGCTGCCATGGCACGACATGCACCTCACCTTGCTACAACAGAGCTGGATGCGGTCATGTCTTTCAGTGGCAAGGCGCTTGAAGGCGCCGACACTGCAGTGCGTGAAAGCGTCGCGGATTTGGTGTCGTATTTGCTTGCCCCTGCGCTCGAAACCATCACCCCGTCTGCTTCTGGCAGTGCGCCGACAAGCAGCGGCGGTGGTGCATCTGCACGCGTTGCTGCAGTGCTTGGACGAGGCGGTGCTGGTCTTGGAGGCGATTCCTCGTCCACCCGCGATGCAGCCAGCTCGGCCTTGTTTGGTGCCAACTCGAGCGGCGGTGGCCAATGGCTCGGATTGCATGACATTCTCGCCAACTTGTCCGGTCTCTTTATTAAAGGCGCAGGCACGAACTCGGCCATTCGCGATGTTCGCGTGGGCATTTCCATGGCCTACCTCGCCTTGTTCCGACGCCTTGGTCCCGCATGGGCTGAGAAGAATCTGCCTGGTGTCATGCGCCATCTGCTCGATCTGCTCTCACATCCCAAGGTGGCTGGTGCAAGCACATCGACCGCGGATGCCTCGCAATCGCGAAATTGCATTTCGTTCATTCTCAATTCTGCTTTAGCCACCATTGTTGGCGAGACTGGGCGACTAAACGCTGTCAAGGAGTTCTCGCTCATACTGGCTGCATATCGCGCATCGACTGCCGCGCCAGAAGTGCATCAGCATGGCGTGGCTTGCTCCCTGTCCGAACTTGCCCACCTCCTGCCTGGCGTTGGCACGTCTGTGCTCGCCCTGTTCGAGTCTCTGATCGAGTCTGTGTTTTGGTTTTTGTCTCTTGGGCTCATTCCTGTCTCGCTGGCTGCGAGCACTTGCTTGCGCTCAATGGCTGTCAACGCTCCTTCGCAACTGGCCGTGTACATTCAGCGGTGCACTGAAATTGTCGTTCAACCGCCCAAGAATGTCGGCGTCGGTGGCAGTGCTGCCCTTCCATTCACATCGGCCGCACCTGCGACAGATGGCCATGCTCGTGCACTTTGCGCCCTACTCACTGCGACGCCCCTGTGCCCGTTGGGTCTGCCAAGCGGAATCCCCACTTCTGTCCTCGACGCAGCCGAAGCCCTCATTCGCGCCAGCGTATCTGGCACCGGCATTGCCGAGCCGACCGACGTGCCGCCGACCACCGAGCTGGCAATGCGTGGCGAGCTCGGCTGGACCATGATTGCGGCGCTCATGTGTGTTGGGCCAACCACCACCCGAGCGTTGATGCCGCGAGTGGTTCCTCTTTGGCAAGAGCTCTTCCCGAAGCCGCCCAAGGAGGAAATCGAAACGCTGAGCAACGCCAACCCAACGCGCAAGTCCATTGCGCTGCTCAACCTGCGCAGCGCCGCGCTCTTGTCTCTGACAACGTTTTGCCGCCAGTGCTCCGAGTTGCTGACTCCGGATGTGCTCAAGCGCATCGTTGCTGTTCTCACCTACGCACGAGTGTACATTTCCATCACCAAGCCAAACAACGACTCCATCGGCCCTCTGCTTGAAGCTCGACTTCGGCTGTACACGGCGTTTGCCTCACTTCCCCTCGCCGCCCTGCAGTCCAACCACACACACATCATCCGCATGGTTGCCATGGACATGGCATTCGATCACGCAACCCCGACGTCGCTCTTGCCATCTCTGTGCCCTTCCGAAGATGGCATCATTGCTGAATGGGTCGCAGACTCGGACAACCGCGGAATCGAACTTCATCTCCAGGCCTGCAGCTCGGCGGCCGAGTGCTCGCTTGATCGTGATACGCTCGGCGTTCTCGTCCTTGGCACAGACGCAGTCTGTCTTCGACCCGCGCTCCCGCTCGAAGTTTCCCTCCAGAACGCGGCAGTCACGCTGTTTTCAGACATTTTCCCGTGTCTTGCTGCCAAGTATCGCGAGGAGAGTATCATGTTCTTTTCGACGGCTGTGACCAAGGCCAAGCCTGCGCATTTACTCGGATTGTTTTATAATGCCGTCTCGGCTTTCATTCGCGCGTTCACGGGGTTGCACGAAGCCAAAGAATCTCTTCCGGCCCCCATGATGCTCAAAGCCAAAGAGATTTTACATGTGCGACAGTTGCTGTGCTCGAGCGTTGCTGGTTGGTGCTTGTGGAATGGTTGTGTTGTTTTTCGCGGTGCTCACCTGGACGATTGTGTGTGTGTGTGTGTTTTTTTTGTTGGCGTACTCGTTGCTCGTTGGTTGACTGGAGTAGATGGCACTGCGCAGCGACGATACCATTCTGCGATGTGGCGCTGGCGAGGCCATCGGCCGGTTGGCCTTGATTTCAGACGACCAACAGCTGGATGAGCTGCTTCGAGAAGTGCTCGAGAAACTCAAGACTGAGCGAGATGGACTGTACCGGGCGGGATTGTGCCATGCGCTCGGTAGCATTCACCGACACTGCGGCAGTCTGCGAACTGGCAAGCACATCAAGGCCAGCATGGCCATGCTCCAAGCGCTGGTGACGGATGCTGTGCCTGCAGTGCAATCCTGGGCATTGCACTCGCTTTGGCTGACTTTTGACGCCGCAGGTGTGACTTTTGCAACGCAAGTCGGAGGTGTGCTCGCGCTGGTGCTGTCACTGCTCCAGTCGGATGTGCACGCAGTGTCATCCGCCTTCCCAATCCATCGCTGCATCTCCCATCTGCTGAACAGTCTTATTACCACAATCGGTCCTGAACTCCAAGTGGACGAAGCTGCCGCATCCGCTTGCTTGATGATTTGCGCCGAGCTGCGCAACCATCCGTCACCGTTTGTTCGGCGCGGCTACGTTGACTGCATGCAACAGCTGCTCTTGTTTGCGCCACGGCACGTCGATGTGCCTGCGCTGGTGCCCTACCTGCAAACCTGGCTGGCAAGTGAGCACCTGGTGCTTCGACGCTCCGCGCTGACGTGCATGCGCCTGGTGGCCCAACGCGAGCCCCAGCTCGTGTCGCACCAGGCCAAACCCATGGAAGAGCAGCTATTTGCCATGCTGGACTCGGAGACAAATGCAGAGATGCTCGAAATGACCAAGAACCTGCTGCTGCTCTTGCTCTACTCTGGCGCCGAGCAAGCACCCTCGCGATGGGTGGCCCTGTGTAAAAACGTGCTGTCCACCTCGTTGAACGAGGCTGCGGACGGCGAGGCAGCCGAGGCATCCGCAACCCCTGCTTCCCAGGCGACGGCACCCAAGCCGTCGTCGGCTGCAAGTGCAAGCAAAGCCCGGAGCGCGCCGTCGCGGAAGCGAGACGACGACGACGATAGTGATGACGATGGCGCCGGTGGAGATGCCGGAGAAGGTGAACAGGATGACGATGAAGCCGATGCTCAAGGGCTCGGTGTTGTCGAAGACTCTTCCTTCATGTCCATCCCCAAATGGACTTCGAAGGTGTTTGCGATGGAATGCCTGCAGCAAGTCATCTCCGCTTGCGTGGGCGACCGTGTCTCTGCGGCTACCTCTGGTGCCACCAAAGCACATTCGGGCCACAACGCATCCGCCGAGAGCGGGCAACGCGGCTCTGCCAGTGCCAGAGATCGTCGCCACGTTGATCTCGCACTTGCGCGGCAGCTTCAGCGGTCTCAGCAAGTCGATTCACTCGCACTCCGTCTGTCCGACCTGATTCGAACATCGTTCAATGCTTCCACGTCAACGCTCGATTCCCTGCGAGACGCCGGCCTGACAATTCTTGACTTGGTCATCCAAGCATTTGCGAATGAAATGGATCCCGACGCCGAGGGCGCCCGACTTCTCGAGCAATACCAAGCGCAGATTAGTGCTGCACTGCGACCGGCATTTGCTGCCGACACTTCTCCTGACGTTACCGCGTCTGCATGTGGCGTATGCGCTGCTTGGATTAGCAGCGGCGTGAGCGAAAATGTTGCCGATCTTCGACGTGTGCTGCAACTGCTCGTGTCGTCGCTGGAGGAGAAAATGTCTGGTAAAGCCACGGCCACCTTCAACGAGAGCACAACCACCATGATCCAGCTGGCCATCGTCACGGCGTGGGCCAAGCTCTATGTGGCTGGCCAGGAGGCCATGGGCAAGAAGCGCTACTTGACCGACATTGTCACCCCTTACTTGCCAACTCTGGCAAAGTACTGGGCATCCGTCCTCCACGACCAGGCCTTGCTCACCTTCCCGGAACCTATCGCCCAACAAGCCCCAACTGCGCCAACCTTCTTTACCCGGTCTTCTCGCAACACTGTGTACGTGCACTTTGAGCATGCCTGGGCGCCCATCGCGCTCGCGTTTGCCTCGCTTGCAGTGTCCGAGCACAGAGATGCCTTCTTTGCGGATGGTGAAATGCCTGGTGTTGCTGACATGCTGGAGTCGGTCAAAAAGCACCACCATCACGAGGAGCGAGCCACCGAAACGCCAGCTCTGCCTGTGTCTGTAGTTGTGCCCGCACCTGTGCCTGCGCCGGCTGTGGTCGCTTCACCATCTGCCACCACTTCCCTGCCCACAGTAGCAGCAACACATCCTGCAGCAGATGCCCATGTTGACGATGATGATGATGATGATTTTGGCTCGTTCGCAAGCAATTCCGCATCGTCTCCTGCAGAATCTGCGACAAACACTGCCGGCTCGGCATTGACAACCACTGCCCAACCAGTCACTCCATCTGTCGCGCCCAGCGTGATCAACGCCGATGCTGACGCGGACGACGACTTTGGTTCATTTGGCAGCTTTGCATCAGGAGCGTCTGGCGTGTCTGCAGCTGCACCGCTCGACGCCGTTACTGACGCGACTTCCAACCCAACGCAAGCTGAGACCGGCCACGATGACGACGATTTTGGTAGTTTCAGCACTCCTGCTCCAGCTCCAGCTCCAGCTCCAGCTCCTGCTTTCGCTGCGACAGAAAGCGACAGTGATGATGGGTTTGGGGCTTTCAGCACACCATCGGCCAGCATTGCTAATGACGTTCCATCCGAGTCGGACGACTTTGCTGCCTTTTCTAATGCACAAGTGTCTTCACCGCTCGCTCTCAATGCTACTGAAAAGAAGGATGACGATGATGATGGCGACTTTGGTGCGTTCGGGGCCTTTGAAAATCAGACGCCCGTCGAAACGCCAGTCCCCGAAACGCCAGTCCCCCAAACTGCTGCTGCTGACGAGGACGACGACTTTGGGGTGTTTGCCACCCCAAGTGCTAGTTCAGCGGCAGTCGAGTTGCAGCCATCGACTGAAACTTCGACCCCAACAACCTCCATTCCTCCTCCAGGCGATTCCAAAGCCTTTGGAACGGCCGACGTCTTCTCGTCCAACCAACAACCGACCACGACCCAGCCTCTTGACAACGAAAGCGACGATTTCGGCGCGTTCGGCGCGTTCGGATCACCCACCCAACCAACCGAGGCCAAACCTGTCGGAAACAGCAACGACGACGGTTTCGGGGCATTCTCCTCAACCCAGCCTGGCGACAATGCTGACGACGATTTTACCGCCTTTGGAGCGTTCGGAGCGTCTGGAGCGTCTGGAGCAACTACGCAACTGACTGACAAGCAGATCGACGAGGACGATGATTTTGGCGCGTTTGGAGCAGTTCCGGCATCCACCGCCGTCCCCCACGGCGCTCCTTCCGACAAGCCTAGTGGTGACGATGAGGAAGATTTTGGAGCGTTCGGGTCTTCGCCGTTCGTCTCTGCAGAGTCTAGCTCGACGCCTGCAGGCGATGGCGCCAATCACACCAACCAAGCAGCTGAAAACCCATCGTTGGAAACGGCCTCTGCACAGAATGTGGCTAGCGCACAAGAGAAGAACGACGACTTTGGTGCGTTTGGAGCATCCCCGTTTGCACCTTCTTCAGCTCATAAGGTGCACGACGAAGACGACGGATTTGGTGCTTTTGCATCCAGTTCCGCGAACGACGATAACGACTTTGGAGCGTTTGGTGCTTCGCCCGCGCCCCTGCCTGCTACCCGCGCTATTGTTGGTGACAATGATGATGACGACGATTTTGGCGCATTCGGTTCTGGCAGCGTCTCTGCCACGAACAAGAAGAACGACGACTTTGCAAGCGCCTTCGGGTCGAATGACAACTCCAAGAGCAAACCATCGAGTTCAGAGGAATTCGGGGTCTTTGATACTCCAACTTTGGCAGCCTCAGGTCCCAATGCAGACGACGAGGACGACTTTGGTGCGTTTGCAGGAACCGCTGCCTCATCTTCGACAGTTGCGAAGCCTGCTGCCGAACAGAGCGATCCTTTCGCTTCCCAGGCAAAGCAGGACGATAATGATGATGATTTTGCAGACTTTGGCTCATTCTCAGCACCCGCCGCTGTGCTCAAGGAGGTCGCAGCACCAGCTCCCCTTGCACCACCAGCAGCTGTTCATCCCATTTCGATTCCCGCCCAGCCTGCCGCATCTGCACCAGTCGTTGCCGCTGTCGCCCATCCTGCTGCCGTCGTCCCTCCTGCGGCCTCTGCAGTCCCTGCCGCTCCTGTGACACACACCGCTCCACCAACCACTGCAGCTTCCACAACCGCTCCAGCGGTCCTTCAGCCTGCCGTTCCCAAGGCTCTCCCTCCTGTGGAGCACTCTGGCTCTGCCGTCGAAACGAGCCGCACTTTCCACCTCGTTTTTACCAGTTGCTTGCATGCGCTCTCAAGCGCGCGTCACGCCTCAACTCTGCTGCCATGCCTCAAGGCGGTGCGCTTGCTGCTCTCTGCCGCGTACCGTCCGACAGGCAGCGCTGATCTCGCAGGTCCTTTCTACGTGGCCGGACTCTCGCCCGACCTGCTTGTAGATTTGATCGAAGCGCTTCACCGTCTCCTTCAAACGCAAGAGCAGGAGGTCCAACTCGCCGTGATGGTTGTGGTTGATCAGCTCACAGCTGGCGCCTTCCAGCTGGAGCCGTCGACGTCCACGGAACTGGTGGCGGGACAGTCGCCCTTGCTTGCATTGATTGACGTTTGCATGTGTGCCGTGCTTCGTCAATTGCCCAGCATCGACCCTTCCTTTGTAGATCCGCAAGGGTCGGCGGCACACGCGCATCTCGGTGCCACACAGCTGTCGTTGCTGCTGCTTGCGCTGAACAGCCTCTGTCGCCTTCCTTTGCTCTGTGGCCCCGCGCTCACCCTGCACACCACGCCTCTGGTCTTGTATGTGCTAGTGTCCGTACTAAGCAAGGCGGAGGAGGCAGTCCTCCAAGAGACCATTCTTCGCAACATGCGAGAACTGCTTGCCTTGCCAGTGTCGGCATCTCTCGGCTGGACTGATGCGCAGTTGGAGCAATGGCATGGTGTTCGTTTGTCCTGCTGGAGCTCGCTTGTCGAGCAGCTGGCATTGCACAGTGGGCGTTCGGTTGCCATTTCACGCTCGTTGGTGCTGGCCCTGACGCTCACCCTGATTGCGTGCTCGGAGATTCCTCGTGCTCGTTCTCAAGCAGGCAAAGTTGGTCACCTCTTTGCCGAGCTGATGAATCCCACTGTGCCTGTCGAAGTAAGGCGTGGTCTTTTGATTGTTGCTGTTTGATGTTGATTCCTTTTTGTCGCTTACGTCGCTCGTCACTTTTGTTTGCCACCCCTTTAGCTGACCAAAGCAGCCCTGCATGCCATCAGCACAATCATCAAGCAGACCGAGGTGCATCTGATGGCCGAAGTGTGCTCCACCAGTGTCCAAGCTGTGATTGCGCGTATCCAGGCCGGGTCGGAGCTTCGCACGCGACCCAAGTCTGAGATTGAAGTCAGCACTGTCCTCGAAAGTGTTGGGGTTATTGAACTTTTGCTATCTCGCGTCGATGCCAGTGAGTAGCTTTTGCGTATTTTGTGTTCCGTGTTCTGTTTGAGTGGTTTTTTGTTCGGCGCTGACTCACCTTGTCCATGTGCCGCAGAGACGGAAATTCTTGGAGCACTCGTTCATTGCTGCGTGCCTCTGTTGCAGCTCTCAACGGATCCCGAGCCTGCCCCGCCGATGCTGGCGCCGTTGCACACCGTTGCTTTCGGTTTGCTGACACGGGTTGGACCGCAGTACCCGGACGCCTTCCGCCAGGTGATGAGCCAAGTGTCGCCGGCATTCAAGGCTCGTCTGGAGGCTGCTGTGCGCGCCAACCTTGCTGCTGCCCAAGAGCAGCAAGCCAAGCAAGCTCAACTGGAGCAACAGCGTCAAGAGCTTGCGGCCAAGCGCGCCGCTACAGTCGCAGCTCTCACTGCCGCGCCCACCATTCAACTCAAGATGAACTTTTAACTCGCGCTTGTCTCGTTTGGTGGACAGGGCGCTATTTGGTGTTCTTGTCTTTGTTTTGTTGTATTTTTTGTGAACAGGAGCTTTTTTTTGGAAAACCATTTTTTTTCATCTCAAAATCGTATGACAACAATGACTACAGCAATTTGCAACTATCTAGAAAACACACACAGCCTCAGGCGTTTGGGGGGGAGGGCGCGAGGCACTTTGATGTTTGGCTGTTTTAAGCAAACTTGAGACCGAGCGCCAGACCAGTGGCAAAACCAGTGCTTGAGGGAAGTGCATAGCGAGCAACCTCCATGGCGTGCTCGTAGAGGTGCTTGATGTCGGCTTCGTCGACCTTGCCATCCCGGTTGACATCGAGAACGGACTTGACGTCCTTCTCAATCTTACCCCAGTTGACGTGAATGTAACCGGCGTACTGGGCAGCCTGCAGACCGACAAAACCCATTGCCAGCACCATTGCGACGGCCTTGCCAACCTTCTTGGCAGCATAGCCGGCCGCAAAGCCCGACACGGTGCCCATCGAGAGCTGCTGGGCGAGCGGGGCAAGCAGTGCCTTGACATCGTCCGGCTTGATGTGCTTTTGCGCAGCAACTGTTGTGTTTTCCATTCCAATCAAAAGATGCAAGCGAGACGTGAGCTGAGCGTGAACAAGGTCACAAGTCACAAGTCACAGTCCAGGGAGGGGGTGGCGGAGGAGAAGAGGGAAATGGGAAATGAGGGCAGAATAGGAATGAGCTTGGCTGTGGAAACGCGAGGCCACGTCAAGAGGAGCTCTCGGATACGAAGCACAAAGGACGTAGGTACTGAAGCTCAGTGGACCATTGCACCAGTCGAAGAGGTAGTAGTCGTAGCAGCAGCAGGTAGCACTCTTGAATCGAGCGACCAAGACATTTGGTATTCACACATGTTTCGCCGTCGTTGTTCGCGCTTACGAATCAGAGCCGCGGCTTCGTCGGAAGGGACGCTCGAGGCAGCTGCGTCCGTCTTGTTGGACTTGTCGGAAGTAGTAGTCATGTTTGGGGAACCTTGATGGAGTTGGTGAAAATAAGCGAGATCAAAGACTGAGGGGTGAGTTCTTTTTTGGTAGCGAGGTAAAAGTGCATTTTCGTATGAAATGCCAAACCACAATGCGAACGGCGGGAAATTCGAGAACGGGTGGTCAACCTTCGCCTGCAAGTTTGGTTTTGGCGTGTTGTTGCTGCTGTGTTGCGATCTGCCCAGTTTGCTGCATGTGTGGAGTGCGTGAATGCGAGAACAAGGGTACGGAGGCGACTGCGCGGGCTTGCAGAAACGAGCGGGCGCCATGCGCTGCTGCGTCACACAATCAAACTCTGGTCGCCAAGAATCAAAGCACTCGCTGGCTGTTCTATATGCGGACGGATGCCACTTCTATGCGTCCGGAAACACCGCGCACAGCCCGATCCTTGGCGATTAGAGCAACCTAAGGACTTCCTCCACAAATTTGGCTTTCAACAAATCTCCGAGCCAGGTTTACTAAGTGAAGACCACATTTTTTTTTCTTGTCTTTGTCTTCGATTCTCGCGACCCTTTTCCGACCTTACCGACCTCTCTATGACAATTCCTAACCTCGCTCAATCTTTCTCGAGATCTGGTTTGTTGAGATCTGGTGTGTTGTGTGAGTTTTCGATTCTTATTTTTTATTATTTCTGAAAACCTGAAAACTGGAAATCGCAAGCTAAAACGCGCCGCTGGCACGTACAATACAACACAAAAACTAACAGACAACAACACTAATCACTTATTCATCTACAGTGCAGTTTGCAGACCATTCAGTCCGGCCGGCTCTCAGTTTCAACGAGATGCTGGCGGGTCATTGCGGGAATGTCACTGGAAGGAAGCAGCTCGATGCCTGCCTTGGATTGCACAACTCCAGGGTCCAATGGTTTGACAACATTGGCTAGAGGATCGTCCACATGACTAGGGTAACCGGTCGCACTGGAACTGGACGAAGTGGAGCCAGAATCAGACGAACACTGTCGGAGTTGCTCCAACAGCTGAGCAAAGTTGATGGGCTTGCTGATGTATCCAGTCATTCCGCACTCAAAGCACCGAGCTCGGTCTTGCGGTAACGCCTCGGCGGTCATGGCGATAATGGGAAGTTGGCGCACTCTGCGTGTTGGAGGGCAAGTAATGAGATGACAATACCAACCGAATACAACACGATAGAAACAAACATCACACTTACCCCTTCGTCCTGTACTTGGTTTCAAGCTTGCGAAGCGCCATCGTAGCCTCGTACCCGTCGAGCACTGGCATTTGGCAATCCATGAGAATCAGATCGTAGGGACACCAGTGCTGGGCTGAGGAGGGCGTTTCGGCAGAATCAAGCAACTCGAGTACGTGTTCGCCCGCTTGAGCCAGTCCTTCCAGATGAGCAGAGGCCGCCACAACCAAGTCCACCGCTTCCTGTCCGTTGACTGCAACATCAAATCGATAGCCTGCCTTGCGCAACATGGTGCACACAACCTTTTGGTTGATGAGGTTATCTTCCACAACTAACAGTTTGAGGGAACGACCGCTTGCGGGCGTGCCCACGAACGATTGCTCCGAGGCAGCGCGCAGTCGGGTTCGCCGAAGGTCGGGGGAAGGGAGAAGGTTGGTGATCTTCTCTCCAGCAGCTTCGTGCTGTGGTGGTGGCCGTTCAGCAGCAACATCAGCGGCAGAAGCGACCGGTACATCGAGCTCGTCCACGTTACGTTCACCTACTGCCTTCCATGGATCGTCCGCCGGGGCAGGAAACTCGGGCGCCACAACCCCGCTGGGTGGGGTAATGCTGTAGTCGAGAGAGACGGGGGCCAAGTGTTCGTGCATGTCCGAGGGCAAGCGTTGACCAGTTGGAAGCGCCATGACTGTCAGAGCACTGGAATAGGCGGAGTTGCGAGAAGGCAGCGAAGCCTGGCCGGGCGGAGGGTCTGGGTGCATCAGATTGACCACATCCTTGCCGCATGTGGAGCAGCGAAGCTGCTTCAAGGCGGCAAACAGGGAGGACTGACGAATCGGGCCAATCATGACATGTGAAGCGGGCCATCGCGTCAACACCACCGCGTGAGTCTCGACGCGCCTATCCGGGAAGAAGAAGATGGGCTGTGCACCCTGCATCAGCAGAGCTTGCCAGTCAATGTTGGTCACCACTTCCCTGTCCGGACTCGAAATCGGTTCATTCGGCTCGACGAGCACGTAGGGATGGTCAATCAACGCGACAATGTGTGAGCGTGTGCCAGGAGCAGTTTCGCGAGCAATCGCCTGCACCACTTGCTGCGCCGCCGCCCACGATCGAGCCGCTTGCGAGGTCACATTCCAGCCATCGAGGAAGCCTTTCAACGCAGCAGTGAAGCTGGGTCGAGGACTGACGATCACGGCTTGAAGATGGCTCATGCAGGAGGCTGTTGTGTGGCTTTGAAGTTCCAGAGTCGACGGGATGGTTTGTTCGGTTGCAGGCTTGTACGGCTCGGCAGTTGCGGCCCAATCGACCGATGTCTGCACAGCCGATCTTTCCGTTGAATGCCGTTCCTGTGGAGCGACCGCTTGGCTTGCAAACTGGGGCGGTGGTTTGACTCGCACCCTGCTGGTCGCAATGGCATCGGTGTCGGTCTCGGTGGGCTTTCGGAACTTGATGGTAAACCAAAACCGGCTTCCCTCACCGCGCGTGCTGTCCACGCCGATGGTTCCGCCCATCAAGGTGACCAGGGACTTGCAAATGACCAAGCCAAGACCCGTGCCGCCGTAGCTTCGAGTGATTGAGCTATCGACCTGAGAGAAGCGTTGGAACAGCCGATCGAGTGCATCCGCCTCGATGCCGATGCCCGTGTCCACAACCTCAAAGCGCGCGAGCAAGTGGTCGTCGTCCACTTCGCTGTCGAGCAAGCAGCGCAACGAGACGCTGCCCGAGGTGGTAAACTTGATGCCGTTCGAAACGAGGTTGACCAAGATTTGCTGGAAGCGGTTTGGGTCGCCGACCAGAACGCGAGGAAGTTGAGGGTCGATGAAGCACGAGAGCAGTAGGTTTTTGGTGGCTGCGCTGGGGAACAAGAGATCGACAATGTTCTCGGTGATTTGCACAAAGTTGAACGGGATGGCGTCGATGCTGAGTTGGCCAGCCTGGAAAGCAGGTACATACGACAAACAAACACACACGTGAGCCAGCCTTCAAACTACAATCCCAAGCATTCCACACAAACATTACCTCGATCTTGCTAAAGTCAAGAATGTCGTTAATGACCGTCAACAGGATTTGCGCCGACACCTTGATCGTGTCCAAGTAGTCGCTCTGCTCGTTGTTGAGCGAGGTGGTCATCATGATCTGGGTCATGCCGAGAATGCAGTTGAGTGGTGTGCGAACTTCGTGGCTCTGTCGATGATGCGAGTTGAGATGAAACAAGCAGTGAGCAACTGTTAAAAAAACCACATCCGCAATAAATACTGCAAATACACCCACCATGTTCGCCAAAAAGCGGCTCTTGGCCTCGTTGGCCTGCTTTTCCTTCAATGCCTCGCTTTCTGCAGCATTCACTCGACGCTGGTCGGTGAGATTGATAATCGAGACAAGGCGTGTTGGTTTGCGATACCACCCTGGAGGAACAGGGGTGCCGCGGGGTTGGTATTGGTACAATGGTGAAACTGGATTAGCGTCGTCTTCCTCGTCGGTATAGTCGTGAATGTCAAACATGTCAACCTCGCAGTGGGTGTCCGCAGAAGGAAGGCGACTCGTGAATCCTTCACTTCGAGCCGACGGGTTCGCAGCCTGTGCGTGCGAGATGGTTGATTGATTCGGGCCTTGAAGGAGGGGTTGAGCAGATCGTTCGGATCTCACAGCTTGAGCGTGGGTGGCCGCAGGAGATGCACCTGCAGCATTTCGAGTCCACCGCCTCCAAAAGCGGAATCCAGCACTCTCCCGTGTCGCGTGAGGTTCAGGTGCTGTTGATGCTGCAGGTACAATCCCGGGCGTGGACGATGCGAGAGTCCGCTCGCTGATGGACATGTCATCTTCGGCCGTACGCAGGCTACTGGCCACGAGGCGAATGGGGTAGGCCTGTCCGTCGAGGGCCACCGAGTCGAGCTCACAAGTGCGGGTTTGGGATGTTCCAGCAGTCGATGCAAGAACACGCCGCAGCTCACGTCGCGACTGCTTGTCAAACAGCTCGGCCAAGCGGAAGTGCACCGTCACTTGGCTTCCGCACCGATGATCGCGAGGGATTTTGTAGAGTTCAAAAAAGGTGCGGTTGGCTTCGATGATTTCGTCGTTCTTGTCAATCATCACGATGGCTTCGTGCGAGTTGTCAAAAATGTTGCGGTACTTTTTCTCGTTCTTGGACGATGTCGCCCGCTGTCATGGATGGACGCAACAAACAACAACGATGTTTGGTCAGTGCAACAACTCGATTCGAAGCACAAACAATGCGTTTGACTGTGGTGGTGCAAAACCGCGAGACCGACACACATCTCACCTGTTGCTCGAGTTGATTCAAGTCCCAGTGATGCACGTACGCAGCTAGTAAGATGGAGGTGCCAAAGAGGAGATTGATGAACACCGAGCCGAGCAGGGCCAACGGCACCACGCGAGAATCAAAGATCATCTCCAGGAAGAGGAAGCAGAACGTAAAAACGTAAATGCTGGCCACAAACCAGACGGGACACGAGACGGCAGATATCAACATGGCAATCACAGCGTAACTGGAGACTGCTGCTACGCTGCCCTGAATCGTAGCAAAAACCACAGACATGATGTAGATGGCGAGACTCACAAAGCCAGCCGAGGTCGCGTGCGGTCCGCAACGAGCAGCGAAATAGCCCAGCGAAGCAAGCGCCAAGTATCCGATCGCAAGCCCGTAACCCAGTGTCTGCCATAGCAAAGAGACGCGCCAGAAGCAACAAAAGCCGCGCAATTTAATCCACAATTGAGTGCATGAAGCTCACGATCAACTCGGGCGTTATCGTCAATGCTAAATAAACCGTGATGGTAACTGTTTTTTTTTTTTTTTTTTTTGTTTGTTTGCTGCGTTTGTTGTGTCGAGCACTTGAGCATTGCAGGACTTACATCTGGCTCAGAGATGGACAGGACATAGATGAGGTACGGCAGGTAGGCAAGCAGGAGGAGAGACACGGCGCGTATCCTCACAACCTCAGAGGGAACCGTGGAGGCAAACGGTAGTGGGGCGAGGACAATCTTGTCAATCCAGCGCGCCAGCGTCGAAAGCCACGCAGGAGTATGGCTGTGGATCCACTGCGCTGTTCTCGCTTTCGCACGACGGAATCGACGGCGGATGCGGCGACATCGCGGACCCATGCACAGCCCACACATTTCCGAGGATGTTTTGCTGAGGCTGCTGGAATGGAAGGAGGATTCGACGTCGTGGTTGGCGTTGTTGCCATCTGCGTCGTGGCTGGCGCCGGTATGGAAGCCGTCCGCGTGGCCGTCGGTCTCACGCGTAGGCATCGTGTTGAGTGTCACATGCGGCGGCTGCTGGCGCTGGTCGCGCGCATGGACTGTGGCTTCGGGCAAGCTGGGAGGAAGCAATTTTGACATGTCTTGCATTTCGATCGATTGAGATGGCGCGGGCTTGCCGGCATCTGGACTGCCACCGACATTGTGGGGCGCAGAGGCGTCTCCAGTCACGGTTGTCGAGTGCTCCTGCATGTGTTGCTGTGATTTGGGACTGATGATGAGACTGGGGCTAGGGGGGGGGCACTGGGGCGGCGACGGCTCAACAAGCGGGGGTGTGGAAATCGGATTTGGCGTTGTTAATGACTCAGCCGCGTCAACCGCCGAACTCGCGAAGCGCAAAAGGGGCTTTGCACTGGCCAAGGGTTGAAACAGGTAGCTGTCTGTTGCACTGCTACGATCCCCAACGAACAGCAAAGCGGCGGATGAAACAGTCTGCGAGTGAACGGGCTAAAAATGAGATACAGCAACAAAAAGAAAAACACCAAGCGGGCTTTTCGGGCTGTTTTCTTCAAATGGGAACTGACAGGTAGCTATTTTTAAAGCAAAGCGATATCGACAGAAAAAAACAAAGAAAAAAAAGAAAGGGGGTTGAGAAAAAAAAAGAGTGAGTGCAAGACTATTGAAAAAGAGAAAAGCAAAGCAAGACGCAAAAGAAAAAGAACAAAAGGCAAAACAAACGGACAAAAAAAAAGTGGGTGGGACAAAATATGCGATCGCATGGAATTCCCGATCGTCATGTTTGTCTCGCTGTGCAGCCCCGATCTTGTGCACACGGTCAAAAAACATACAGTACAAAATACAACCTGGACGATGTGGACCTTCCTGAATCATGTTTGTTATGACAAGATGCGACACTTCACGTTGAAACAAGACACACGAGAACGATCGCATGTCAAACAGTTCAATCTCACACCAAGCTCTCCCGATGATGCAGCTGGGACGCGTCATTGTTGGCCAGTTGCGCCTTGGAGGCGTCTCTGATGGTCATGTCGACGACCGTGCTCGCTTTCGGCGCAAACTCCTCCGAACCTAGCGATTTGACGACCTCAGCAATTGGGACGACGGGAATGCTCGCTTTCGACGCGAGTTCCTCTGGGCCCAGCGACTTGACAACCTCAGCAATTTGGACGACGGGAATGATGGGATATCCGGAATCACTTGAGCTGGCCGTACTCGGGGTGGAATCGAGCGAAATGCTCGACAAGAGCTGGTTGAGCAGCTGAGCATAGTTGATGGGTTTGCTTAGGTATCCAGTCATGCCGCACTCAAAGCACCGTGCCCGATCCTGCGGCAGTGCTTCCGCGGTCATGGCAACAATAGGAAGTGTGCGTGCACTGCATCCAAGCAAAGTGTAGAGAAGGGGCCAGAACGGCGTGAGACAACTAGGCCAAGAAGCTGACAAACAAAAGCAAAAACACCACCGCACACTCACCCTCTTGCTGCATATTTGGCCTCGAGCTTGCGAATCTCTATGGTTGCACCGTAGCCATCGAGCACTGGCATTTGACAGTCCATCAGAATGAGATCGTACGGGCACCAGCGGACTGACCTCTCTGGACTCGAGAGAGGCTCGTCTGCGTTTGCCATCGAGCTTGTGGCAGCGGTGATCAAATCCACCGCTTCCTGTCCGTTGACTGCAACATCGAATCGATAGCCCGCCTTGCGCAGCATGGTGCACACGACCTTTTGGTTGATGAGATTGTCTTCCACGACCAACAGCTTGGCAGATCGTTCCAGCAGGGAGACAGCTCTGCCTGCCGGGGGCGTGCCAAGTAGGGATTGATCCGAAACCGAGCGAGGGCGACTTCGCTGAGAGCTGGAAGAAGCAGCTGTCAGAGGGCTAACTACATCAGAAGCCTCTGAGCGCGGTTCAGGTGTTTTGCCAGTGCTTGATGCCAAAGTCCCTTCAACCTTCCGCTCCAAGGACACTTTGGATCTTGAAGGAACTTTCGAACTGGGTGCGGGAAATTCGGGAGCAACAACTCCGCGGCTTGGGGTGACAATGTTGTCAAGAGTAACCGGAGCCAAGTGTTCGTGCATATCCGAGGGCAAACGTTGGCCTGTCGGAAGCGCCATGACTGTCAGAGCGTTGGAATAAGCAGAATTGCGAGAAGGCAGCGAAGCCTGGCCGGGCAGAGGGTCTGGGTGCATCAGATTGACCACATCCTTGCCGCATGTGGAGCAGCGAAGCTGCTTCAAGACGGCAAACAGGGAGGATTGACGAATCGGGCCAATCATGACGTGAGAAGCGGGCCATCGCGTCAACACCACCGCGTGAGTCTCGACGCGCCTATCCGGGAAGAAGAAGATGGGCTGTGCACCTTGCATCAGCAGAGCTTGCCAGTCAATGTTGGTCACCACTTCCCTTTCCGGACTCGAAATGGGTTCATTCGGCTCGACGAGCACGTAGGGATGGTCAATCAACGCGACAATGTGTGAGCGTGTGCCAGGAGCAGTTTCGCGAGCAATCGACTGCACCACTTGCTGCGCCGCCGCCCACGATCGAGCCGCTTGCGAGGTCACATTCCAGCCATCGAGGAAGCCTTTCAACGCAGCCGTGAAGCTGGGTCGAGGACTGACGATGACGGCTTGAAGATGGCTCATGCAGGAGGCTGTTGTGTGGCTTTGAAGTTCCAGAGTTGACGGGATGGTTTGTTCGGTTGCAGGCTTGTACGGCTCGGCAGTTGCGGCCCAATCGACCGATGTCTGCACAGCCGATCTTTCTGTTGAATGCCGTTCCTGTGGAGCGACCGCTTGGCTTGCAAACTGGGGCGGTGGTTTGACTCGCACCCTGCTGGTCGCAATGGCATCCGTGTCGGTCTCGGTGGGCTTTCGGAACTTGATGGTAAACCAAAACCGGCTTCCCTCACCGCGCGTGCTGTCCACGCCGATGGTTCCGCCCATCAAGGTGACCAGGGACTTGCAAATGACCAAGCCAAGACCCGTACCACCGTAGCTTCGAGTGATTGAGCTGTCGACTTGGGAGAAGCGCTGGAACAGCCGATCGAGTGCATCCGCCTCGATGCCGATGCCCGTGTCCACAACCTCAAAGCGCGCGAGCAAGTGGTCGTCGTCCACTTCGCTGTCGAGCAAGCAGCGCAACGAGACGCTGCCCGAGGTGGTAAACTTGATGCCGTTCGAAACGAGGTTGACCAAGATTTGCTGGAAGCGGTTTGGGTCGCCGACCAGAACGCGAGGAAGTTGAGGGTCGATGAAGCACGAGAGCAGTAGGTTTTTGGTGGCTGCGCTGGGGAACAAGAGATCGACAATGTTCTCGGTGATTTGCACAAAGTTGAACGGGATGGCGTCAATGCTGAGTTGGCCAGCCTGGAAAGCAGGTGCGTCCGACAAACACACACACACACGTGAGCCAGCCTTCAAACTACAATCCCAAGCATTCCACACAAACATTACCTCGATCTTGCTAAAGTCAAGAATGTCGTTAATGACCGTCAACAGGATTTGCGCCGACACCTTGATTGTGTCCAAATAGTCGCTCTGCTCGTTGTTGAGTGAGGTGGTCATCATGATCTGGGTCATGCCGAGAATGCAGTTGAGTGGTGTGCGAACTTCGTGGCTCTGTCGATGATGCGAGTTGAGATGAAACAAGCAGTGAGCAACTCTCCAAAAAAAAAAAAACAAAAAAAAAACCACATCCGCAATAAATACTGCAAATACACCCACCATGTTCGCCAAAAAGCGGCTCTTGGCCTCGTTGGCCTGCTTTTCCTTCAATGCCTCGCTTTCTGCAGCATTCACTCGACGCTGGTCGGTGAGATTGATGATCGAGACAAGGCGTGTTGGCTTGCGATACCACCCTGGAGGAACAGGGGTGCCGCGGGGTTGGTATTGGTACAACGGTGAGACTGGATCACAGTCCTCGTCGTCAGTGTAGTCGTGAATGTCAAACTCCACTTCGGTATGTTCTGGTTCGGGGTTGGCATGCACCACAACTGGCTCCCCTGGCCTGACAACCGAGCCGGTTTGAGACGACGTGACTACAGGCGCACTGCTTTCAACAAGAAGGGGTTGGACCGACGATCGCCCAGGTGTAGCAGGCTGGGCAGTGACCGAAGGGGGCGGGTCGCGGGTCCACCGTCTCCAAAACCGGAATCCGTGCCTTTCTTGCGTGGCAGAGGTGGCTTGCGTCGCTGATAGCGATTGTTCGGACTGTGCACCAGCCGGAATGGCTGACACGATCGTTCGCTCGCTGATGGACATGTCGTCTTCGGCTGTGCGCAAGCTACTGGCCACGAGGCGAATGGGATAGGCCTGTCCGTCCAGGGCCACCGAGTTGAGCTCGCAGACACGTGTTTGGGATGTGCCAGCAGTCGATGCAAGAACACGCCGCAGTTCGCGCCGTGACTCTTTGGCGAACAGCTCGGCTAAGCGGAAGTGCACCGTCACTTGGCTCCCGCACCGGTGATCACGAGGGATTTTGTAGAGTTCAAAAAAGGTGCGGTTGGCTTCGATGATTTCGTCGTTCTTGTCAATCATCACGATGGCTTCGTGCGAGTTGTCAAAAATGTTGCGGTACTTTTTCTCGTTCTTGGACGATGTCGCCCGCTGTCATGGATCATCACATGAAAACGCATTGAGTACAAAACCAACAAGAACGCAAAGCCAACCAATTAGCTTCAAGCACGAGTGAGCAGCCTTCTCGTACCTGCTGCTCCAACTGCTTCAAGTCCCAATGATTGACATAGGATGCAAGCAAGATGGAAGTGCCAAACAGGAAGTTTAGCAAGACGCCGTTGATCACGTTGAAGGTGATCACTCTTGGGTCGAATATGCCGGCCGTGATGAGAAAGAGCATCGTAAACAAGAATATGGAGCCAACAAACCACACTGGACAAGACACGGCAGCGACCAGCATTGCAATGACCGCGTAAGTCGATACTCCGACCACGCCTCCGTTGATGGTCAAGTAAATCAAGGACATGATGTAGATGGCACCGGCCACCGCGCCTCCTGCCAAAGCATGCAGTCCGGTTCGGACAAGCAAGTATCCGAGAAACGCAACGCCCAAGTAGCCGCAAGCAAGCCATAATCCGAGCGTCTGAAAAACAAATGGCGTCCAGATTCGCAATAGTCCAAGCAAACGAGAAAATCATGCAAGTGAGATTGAGTTCGTGTTTCACGACATACACACATGGCATCGTGCTATTTTGTGTTTTGCTGCGGTAACACGAGTGCGAGGAATCAGGATCGCCCGATGGTAATCGGCAAGGATCGGGTGACACCCAATCCTCGCCGCATGCGGTGATGCAAAGTGACAGGGCTCGCCTTACATCTTCCGTGCGAGTGGCCAAGACGAAAATGAGATACGGAAAGTAGGCGAGCAGGATGAGGGTCATGGCGCGTATCCGGACAACCTCGCTCGGAATGGTGGGGGCGGTTGGAAACGGGGCGAGCACAAGCATGTCCACGTAGTGCATCAGAACAAACACCCAAGCAGGTGTGTGACTGTGGATCCACTGCGCTGTTCTCTTCTTTGCACGGCGGAATCGACGTCGCAGGCGGCGGCATCGCGGCCCCATGCACAGCCCACACATTTCTGAGGATGTTTTGCTGAGGCTGCTGGAGTGGAACGAGGATTCCACGTCGTTAAAGTTGGTGCGCTCGTCGTCGCTCTCGGTATGGTGGTCGGCGCCGGTCATGCTGAGCGTCACATGCTGGGCTGAATGCGGATCGCTGACACCGACATGCGTCGCAGGAGACATGCGTCGCAGGAGCCCCAGCCCCAGCCCCAGCACCAGCAACCGTTTTGCTGCACGAGAACGCTCTGCCGCCTTCAGAAATTTCAGACATTTCGATGGCCTCGGGCTTTGGCTTGCCGCCACCGCCGCCGCCAGTCACGTTCGAGGCACCAAGAGTCGGTGCATCTGCAGCCATGGTCACGACGTGTCGCTGCTTCTGCGCAGTCGGCGGCTGCGGCTGCGATAGCACTGTTGCGCGGTCCGCCAAAATGGAAACCGCGGGGGCGAGTCCCGATGGTTGCTCGATCGCCTCACCCGAGGTCTCTGCAGCGCTCATCGCTTCGTCGTCTCGAGCCAGTGTCAACTACTGCTACTCTTAGTGGGGCTCCGATCGACGGCAGGTGCGGTGTGCTGGCAGAAGAAGAGCGTCGAGCAGCAAGCAGAATGCACCTCTCGGGCGTTTTTCTAGCTGTCAAATAAATGTCAAATTCGGGAAAAACAAAAAAGAAAGAAAAAAAAAAAAAAAAAGAAAAAAGAAAAAAGAAAAGAAGGTATCGTGTGATACCAGAAAGGAATACGAAAAGAAGAGTAAAATGCTGATGTGCAACAGAAATCCGAGGGAGAACAAAGGACCAAGCGAGCGAAATGCACAGAGCATTGAAGGTTCAATCAGAAAATTGAATAGCATCCGATACGCATGAGAAATGCCAAACAAGCACAAAATGACTCCCAGCGCCGAAACCGCCAAAGCCACAGCCAGCGATCGGGAAGAGCTACCGACAGGGACTCGGCCTTCTACCACATACAGTGCAGAGTACTGACTCTGGGGATGCAATCTGTAGCAGCGATCCGCACGAGGAGGCCGTTACGCGTCAAACGAAGGACTCCAATCTCAGGGCCCGCGGTCCCGCCCCTTTTTTTTTTTTTTTTTTTTTTTCGTCTAAAAGCTTTATTACGAATAACAAAGAAAAAGAACGTAGGAAGGATATGAGACAGTTGGATGTCGCATAATAACACACCAAAAAAGGCATGCTTAGGAGTGCTCAAGAGCTCACAGAGGAACTCGAACAGATGATCAGCCTAGCTGACGGTGGATGGATCAGGCTTTCCCCACCTATACACCACGAAAGACATGTTGCTAGCCATTTCGGTTCACTAACAAGTAGACGGCTGGCAGGCGGTGGGACAGCACACTGTCGTAAGGAGCGACAATTCAGATCGGAACCAACCGCTCACCACACAAGTCGCGGGTACTAGGTGTACGCGAGGGCAACCAGTTGCGTGGCAAGACGTTCATTGGTCCGGATCTCCAAGGTCTGGTGGACCACTTCTTCGGGAGTGAGAGAGACCTTGGTGCATCAGTAGCGGGAACGAAGAGTTGAAGGTGGGCCACTGTGCCTCGGGACCTGGCAGGAAGCAGCACGAGAGGAGAAAAGAAAATGGAGATCGGAACAACGTGACGAGCTGGAGCTCGCCGACGCGAAGACAGGGGCGTGGGGGCCAGCCACTGTGTTCAGCCATGAAGGCAGAGGACGTTTGGTCTGTCTGGAAGACAGGGAGGACGTGCCCGGTGACGGGCGGGGCCTGCCGCGAGGGCAGGACGATGGAGAGTGCCGCGTGGCGGCGAGATGGGTTGAGATGGTAGAGAGAGAAGCCGCGTACCCCGTATTGCCCGAGTTACCAGCTCGGGGCTTGAATGATGGTGACAACCAGTTTCCGAGGCCATCACATCGCCATGCTGATTGGGCGACGGGATGCCGCTGCACCCGAGTCCTGAGGAGCAGCGGTGGTTGACACCCAATTCTATGACGACCCCAAAAATCACCACAAAAAAGAAGACTCGCCCCTTACTCCCGCCCCCTATGCCCAAAAACCCACTATTCCCTCCCTTGGCAATCGCGAAAACTAGGACATTTTGCTGCTTTTGATGGTTTGCTTATACGGCACCAGCGCTTACCGGAAAACAACAACGTCCTCCTGCAGCATTTGACCATGCTTTGCGCCAAAACGACATCCCCGCATGCGCACCAAAAGTGGCTGCTTCTGACAGGTGTGAGCTATATGAGCTCGTTCATATGGTGTGCTCATTGATCCGACCACTGACCGTTTTCTGATCGCTGGACAGAGCAGAGAGCGGAAACGTGACAAATCGAGCACCGGCAAAGTTTCTTTTTGTTCTCGGAACACGGTTTGTCGCTGGAGGTGTTTCAAATCATTCTCTATACCAATACCAAGCCTGCAATTGTCGACCGATGGATTAGCCAATCGGTAGGTGCGTCGTGAGGGTTGTAGAGATTGAACATGCCTTTTTGTGGGAGTTTGCGTTCGTTCGTTTCGCGCAGCAAATAAGTAACGCTTCTACCCCAGGCATCCCTCTCCGATCATGTCATTCGAACATCGTGCTTGACATCACGTGCTACCATTTCAGTAGCACCGATCTGCTTCCAGCTTGTGCATGCGTTCACGAATCGTACACGTATATCGTGTTGCTGGAACATTTTCGCCCTCCAACACATCTGTGGGTTACTCCTGGGCCATAGTGCAAGCTCCATTCCTAGGCCGGACAAAAGGATGAGAACTAAACGTCCTGATAAAGCTTAGTAGTTGTTGGCCGAGGCGCGCTGCCCAACACGATCGGCGTTCGTACGAAACGAAGACTACGCAATCCCTCGACTGCCGTTCCGTTCCTTGATTACGCTTCAACGCTCACAATAAAGTAATACTGAGCACGCCCTGCAATTCTCATGCAACCGAGCGACTCTGCGCGTTGAACCCATTGACCAAAAACCAAAATCTTGACCTGAAATTTCCGGCAATGTCAGGCAGAATTTTCTTTACTCTCTGCTTTCCGAATCTCGTTTCCGTGCACAACGAACACAATAACACTACCTGGACTGAGGATGGACTTTTTTTTTTTATTTCTTTAATAATTATGTTCTATCTTTTCACTCCTTAATCCGTCAACCATCGTCTTCCCCATCCCTCTGGTTGACCGACTTTCTAAGTTTTTTTTTTTTTTTGTTTCTTTTTGTTGAAAATCGATGAGCGATTTCACCCCCGCCGAAGCTGCCCTGATTGACCAGGCGCACACCGTACCGACCAGCTCGCCATGGAGCAAGATCGCCAGTGCATGGACGAGCCAGGAGAAGCTGAACGAGGAGCAGGAGCACATGATTCTGCTTCGGCAGCAGCAGCAGGAGGACGAGGCGGCCGCAGTGGCTGCAGCAACCTCCGAGGTCCCCGCGCCCGGCTCGATCGGGATACTCGGCCACGCCGGCAGCAGCAGCAGCAGTGGCCATGCATCCTCCGCCTCGTCTGCAGCAAACTCTGACGCCGCCGCCGCCGCCGCTGGAGCGGGCAACGAGGAAGTCGTTCCCATCCGCCGCCGCGCCAACAACAGCGACGCTTCCACCAACTCGATCACCACGTCCGCGTACTTTCGCGCAGGCGTCGCTGCCGACAAGAACTCGCGCCACCGCCGCACAATGGAGGTCTGTTGCGCACTTTCTCACAAAGCAAGAGCCAGAGAGACATCAAGAGAAGCGAGACAGAGAAGAACAAGAGAGCTTTGTATTTTTCGAAATTGTCAAGCTGTTTTAGTAGAACGATTGGAAGAGGACGCTGTGGGGAGGCGCACCGCGTGAGTGCGCGACAAAAGGAAAGCGTAAATCAACAGACCGCTCTCAGATAACTCTTGTCGATGCAGGCAGGCCGCTGGCAGGTGGAAAAAGATTGCGCACTTTGGAGGACAGAACAAACAAACAAACCAAAACCAAAACCAAAAAAAAAAAAGAAAAAAAAAAGTTCAAGCTGCTTTTTTTTTTGTTCTGTTGTGAGCTGCCAGCGGGACAGACCGCATCCACAGTCGGCCTTGTACGGCGTGACACTGAGCGCGTTGTGGACGCAGTTGACCGATTGCTTGGTCGTTCCGCCGGGAGCCGGATGGCGTATCCAGCCAAAACCGTTCTCAGCCATGACGCCGTTTGATGACGGTCTTTTTTTTTTTTTTTTTTTTTTTTTTTTTTTTTTTTCCAATTTCCTTCTCCTCCGGCTTCAATCTTTGCTTTTTGGGGGAACTTTGACACACTGGTCGACGAAAGCTGCCGAACAACATCGAATCCGCTTTGTTGCACGAGCGAATGAACTTGACAGTTTGCACAGTTGGAGTTGAATTGACTGTGTGAATGAATGATCGTTTGGTGCACGACCTCAGGACGTCCACGGCGCAGATGTCGCATTCGCAGGCAAGACCGACCAAGGCTTTTTCTTTATTCTCGATGGACACGGTGGTCGTGGCGTTGCCGAGTATTGTGGCACGGCTCTGCCAAAGGTTGGTTTTGGCGTTTTTGAGTTGACACTTTTTGTAGGCTTGCTCAGCTGCTCACTGTTATTATCGTCTCCCTTCCCGCTATTTCCTATTTGCTGCCGCATCCGTCTCACACTGCTCTCCATAGAACATTTCCGAATTGGTCATTTCCAAACCCACTTTGGGTGCAGAGCAGCTGTTCACCCTCGCTTTCCTCTTCACGGACGAGCAGCTTGAGCGAGAGAATCTCGTGCACTCTGGTGCTACTGTGATTTCGTGCTTTGTGCGAACAGAAGACGACTCAAAGGTTTGTGCCCCGTTTGATGACTTGCTTGAGTGATACTGTTTCTCACTTGGACTAACACTCTTTGTTGGTGGTTTTCGTCTGTTCCATGCTCGTTAGCGAGTCTTGCACACTGCCAACGCGGGCGATGCGCGTGCAGTATTAAGGTTAGTATTGCGCGCCTCGCCCAGAGTTTTGGAATGCCTGGTTGTGCTCGGCTTTTGTTCACTCGGGGCTTGTCGTTTTTGTTTCTTCTGTCGTGTAGTCGAGCGGGTTCTGCGATTCGCCTGTCCCACGACCACAAAGCCACTGATGAGGACGAAAAGGAGCGTATTGAGGCATCGGGTGGAATGGTGATGGGATCTCGTGTCAACGGTACGTTTATTTTCATCCGGTGTTGCGTCCAGCAAGTGCCTCCCTTTTGCCTTTGGCTCACTCTCCTTGTTCCGCAACAATGCCGAATAGGTGTTCTGGCTGTCGCTCGAGCCCTCGGCGACATCCACATGAAGGAGCAAATTGTCAGCACGCCGTTCGTGTCTTCCTACACGCTGCAGGCGGATGATCGGTTTTTCGTTCTTGCATGCGATGGTGTATGTTTTTTTTTTGGATTTGTTTGTCGCGCGCGAATGAGCCTGCTTGATGGACCAAGAGGATGCTGACCTCTGTTCCGCTCACAATCCTCCTCTTCTCTCTGCTCAGGTATGGGACGTCATGTCGGATCAGGAAGTCGTCGATTTGGTCGATCAGCACACCGACCCGAAGGAGGCCAGTCTGGCGGTCGTCAAACAAAGTCTCAAACTGGGAAGCACGGATAACATTACCTGCATGGTTGTCTTTTTGGAAGCGGAGCAAAATTTCGGAGCCGAGGCGGCAGCCAAAGCTGCTCATGACCGACAACTACGACAGCAAGCGCAAGGCTCTCGATCGGATCAATCCTCCACGCCTCCCCTGGTTCACTCGCCAGAGCCATAGATTCCCCCTTTTTTGGTTTTTGATTTTCTGTCGCGCATGTTGCTTTCCCCCTTTGTCCCCTTGTTTGATTTGGTCTTGACCTTCTCGTCTCGCAGATGTGTCTTACTATCAATCTTTTGTTTCATTGCTTTTTTTCTTCTGCTGGCGGGCTCCCTGGCGTTTCTGTGTCCGTCGTGTGTTGTTTTGCGAGTTTTCAGAAACATTCTTGTTGCAAATTTGCCAACCGTTCCATTCTCCAGCCTCCGTTCGCTTCCATTCCAACTCGAATACTTCTACTGCTGCCCTGTCAATCACTCTTTCCAACCCTTTTGCTCCCCATTGCATTCATTGCATTTCATTTTTGCACTAAGCTGCATAAGCTGCGCAGTCATTCTTCTTCGCTCCGTTCCCCCGCGCGTTTTTGCTCGTTGCTCGTTGCTCGCTTTTCGGCTCCCCCTTCCCCTCCCCGCCTTTGCAACGCTGTCACCACAAACAACAAAGGCGTTTCGTCACCCAAGTCCGACAACAAGCACTCTGCTCTTTATTCTGAGCGCGTCGTCGTCTTTCCCGGTTGTTTCGCTTTGTGTTTTTGGCCTCTCTCTGTGTTCCTGCCGCTGCGAGAGTCCACTACGACGCCCTCAACACCCGCTCAAGTCTCTCTCCACTGGTACACTGACCAAGAGCGGTTGGCACTGTCACGTCCCGCCCTGAACGCCGCGCTGCTGGCTGCTCACTTTGTTTGTTTGGACGTTTTGGGTCATCAGTTCTCGTTCCCTCGCGTCATTCTGACCTTGCCTGCATAGGACGCTGCGCTATTTGGTGTCCTAGCTCGCTCGCCGTAGCACTCGTATTCTTTCGTTCAGGCGGGTCTGGTTCTTCTGTTCCAGTTGCAAAGCAGAGTCTGCATTGACCAAGAAGACGAAGAAGAAGAAGAACAAGAAAGCGCGTCAGCCCAAGTGTCTCGGTCTGGCTTTTTGGTGTCTGTGTGTCCTTCCGTTCCGCTCGTCGTTCCCGTCCCCCACCATCGCAACCCTGGCCACCCTCGGTAGCAACAGTCTTGGTGGCAACGGCAGTGCGGGTGCCGGTGCTGGTGGAGGTGGTCCCCCGCATCATCCATTGACGCGATCGCGTTCGCCTTCTCCCGAGTTACGCCGCACAAGGGCTCGACGATCGACTTCGGCTGTGGGCTCAGCACCCAGCAACCAGATCGAAGAAGAACACACTGGCAACAGCGAGGACCCCGACACCCAGCCAGCCAGCTCAACTTCACGCCGCACCCGTCGACGCTCCAATAGCAGCGACGACGACAGCGCAGATACGACCGGCGCAAGTACTGTAGCGCCGACTTCTCCAGCTTCCAAGAACACCCGCCGCAGCAAGCGCCGTATTGCCGAACCCGAACCCGACTCGTCAATGCCGCTCACACACCTCCCGAGCAGTAACGGCGATGCTCCCACTTCCGCTGCCGCCGCGAGCAGTTCCGCCAATGGCAACATTGCACCTAGCTCCTCGCATGCCGTTCAGTACCCAGTCGATGGTGAAATGACTGTCATTGATGAGCGAGAAGGCTTCAAGGAGGAGTATGTTCGCCTCATCATTCAGTCGCTCCGACGCTATGGCTACCTTTCCAGTGCCAGCGCACTTGAGAAGGAGAGTGGCTTCTCCATGCAGGCCCCTCACGTCCAGCAGTTCCGCCAAGGCGTCCTTGACGGCGACTGGGCTGTCGTGGAGTCCCTCGTTGGATCCATGGGCGTTGCTTCACCTTCGGAGGTGCACACGGTCAAATTTCTCATTGCCGAGCAAAAGTTCCTCGAGTTGCTCGAGCGTCGGGAGCTTGTGCCCGCCCTACAGGTCTTGCGCAACGAGCTCACTCTGCACGGCCGCGCGTCTCCGCGCTTGCACAAGCTCAGCACGTTCATGATGTGTAGTACCTCTGAAGAGTTGCTGCGCAAAGCCGAGTGGACTGGCGCGGGGCAAGCATCCCGCCAAGCACTCCTTGTGGCACTTCAAGGTGAGTTAAGGTTGCCGCGGGATGTCGAGTTACTGGGTTTGTGGCAGTGATTGTGTCGCAAACTGATGATTTTTCCTTGGCCCCGCCCCGCCCCCCTCTTCTCCCTCTATCCGCGCTTTGATAGACCACATTTCACCCTCTGTCATGATTCCCGAGCGACGCCTCGAAACGCTGGTCGACCAAGCGCTCGAATTTCAAGAGCTCACCTGCGCGTATCACAACTTTGCCACTGAGAGTAGAAAGACTTTGTTGCATGACCATTCATGCGACCGGTACGTTTTTGTTTTACGAGTCAGAGCGGGTATGGTGCCGCGAATCCATCCTTCTTGTTTTTCATTTTGTTTTGTTTCCCGCTTTTGTTTTTTTTTTTGGTTTTTTTGGTTTGCAGCAACCTTATTCCTCGCAAAACGCAGCAAGTGCTCGCTGATCATCTCGACGAGGTGTGGTTTGTCAAGTTTTCCAACGATGGAACGCGCCTTGCTTCCGCTTCCAAAGATTGCCTGATTATCATTTGGGATGTGTCGGTATGAAGAATTTCGTTTTGTTATGTTTTGTGTTTTTGTTTTGTTTGGCAGCTGGTTATTGGACTCGGCTCTTACACCCCTTCCTCCTATCTCATTCCCATCCTCCAGAAACCTGTCATTGAAAAACTCGTCACTCTGACTGGTCACAAGGACGCCGTTTCGTTTGTTTCTTGGAGCCCAGACGACAAGACGCTCGTGAGCTGCAGCAACGACTACACGGTGCGGATGTGGGACGTGAAAACCGGCGTGTGCAAGCGTACCTTGACCAAGCATACGCTCAGCATCACCTGCTGCTCATGGGCTCCAGACGGCAGCAAGTTTGTCACGGGCAGTCTCGACACGACTGCGATTGTTTGGGTGAGAGCGGGTTTTTTGATTTCGGCTTCTGCTGTTGACCTGTCCCAAGTCCTTTTGGTTTCTCACAAATTGATCTTTTGTTGCTGCTGGAATCCAGGATGTTGAGGGCAACCAGCTCGACAAGTTCGACGCACGTTTCACCGACATGGCCTTCCTTTCCGATGGCAAGCGCCTGCTTGGCGTCCACTGCCACGGAACGGTTGTCATGTATCACATTGGCGAACAGCGTCGCGAAGAAGTGTAAGGCTACAGAATTGAGTGGCAACTACCAAACCGAGGATTGGTTCGAGTGCTGACTGGAGTGAACATGACCAGGATTCACGAGACTGGCGCGATCACGAGCATTTGTCTTTCAAAAGATGGCAATTACCTGTTGCTCAACTTTGCTGCGTCTCGTGAGGTGCGTGACTGTCTGCGCTTTTGCTGTCGATCAATGTTCGAGTGCTCACTCACCCGAGGCATGTTCACTCACCCGAGGCATGTTGTGCGTTCAGAGTACCACACTGGCTCGAAGCCCACAAGACGGAGCGCGAATTCATCTGTGGGACATTGAAAAGCGCGTTTTGGTCAACAAGTACTATGGCCACAGACAGAGCTCCTATGTCATTCGTTCGTGCTTTGGAGGGCTCAACGAGAGCTTTATTGCCAGTGGCAGTGAAGGTGCGCGCTTTTGTCGTGTTGCCGTTGCTGTTGCGAAGTGTTCCTTCACTCTTTGCTGACCTGAATGTCCCATCGCCTTTTCCCCGCCCCCCTCTCTTTTGCTGTTGTCGGCAGACTCGCTGATTTACATCTGGCACCGTCACCACGGACAGCTGCTGGAGCGATTGGCTGGGCATTCTAACACCATCAACTGTGTCACATGGAATTCGCAAAACCCCTTCATGTTTGCCTCTGCTAGTGATGACTTTACCGTCCGCGTTTGGAGCACGCCGGCACCAGCACCGACCGCATGTAACGAACCGAATTGTTTTTGGGACGAAAGAGTTTGGTATGACGTTGTGCCTCACTTTTTGCCTTTGTTTTTTTTTTTCAAAATTGCGCAGATCCACACTATCCTGCCCACATGCTCGAGACGGACGATATGGGCGTTCCAGTTTCCGAGGGTGGTCCCGGCACGAACGTGTAGCTTCTTCGGTCTTTGATTTTTTTTTTTTTTTTCTTTTTTTGCTTTGATTTCATTGCAGTTTTTGCAAATTGTACGCTCTAAATCATCACACCCCTTCCATCTCTTGCTTTTGATTATTCTCTCAGTCGTTTGTAGACGTTTGACTTGTCAAATCCATATCTCGATCACTCCTTCTTTGTCTTCGTTTTTCCCCATTGATCCTCTTCCCCAGTTTCGTTGGTCGCCTCTCCGTTCCCCCCCCCCCCCAGCTGGACTCTGCCGTCAATCCAGTTCCGCAGCACTTGCACACCAGAGCACTCTTGCGTGCTGGTACTCGTGTCCTCGCTCACGCCAGAGCTCACACAGCCATGAGATGAATGGAGATCTCTCTCAACTCTCACACACACGCTCTTCTTGCCTTGGACCCCCGCTTCGACGCACGCTGGCCAAACGCCATTCATTCGCGCCATTATGGGGTCATGCATACTCACTCCATTGTTGTTGTGTGGCCCGTTCGTCGCTGGGTTTATGCGTGTTGTGTGTGTGTGTGTGCGCAGGCCTCATCCCGCTCTGCTGTGGCCACCGTGTTGCCCCGTCTCGCTGTCGCGCGCACTGCCGCTGCCGCCACCGCCATTGCCGCCGCTGCTGCCATCCGGTAAGAGGGCGATCTGCCAAACGCTTGGCTGCTGGGCATGCATGTGGGAGGGTGGGAGTGGAGGTGAATGCACGCCTTTATGTTTCGAAAACCCCCCGCTATCACCCCCTCTAAGCTCTTTATCTCTCTCGCATTGATCTCTGCTCCACCTATCGCTCGCTGGGTCTGGACGCTTGCGTTGAACAATTCTGCCTTCTTTCAACCTGACCTCGGTCTGTTCTGCAAACCACCGAACGACCCAAAATCAATTGGCGCAGTCCCGCTCGCTCCCTGCACTCGACCACGACGCGCGCCCGGACACCTGCCGCTGCCGTGTCTGTTACCACCCGCACTGCAGTCCGCTCGTTCAACTCGCTCTCATCTGCTCAATGTGAGACCTATCGAGCTCCTGGGTCTTTTTTTTTTTTTTTTTTTTTTTTTTTTTTTTTCGTTTTCTTTCTTCGCTGATGGTTTGATGATGGTTGATTTGGATCCTTTCTGCAGTTGGCGAGATCAAGGTTATCAATGTGCCACCAATGGCCGATTCCGTCGTCACTGGCGAGCTTGCTCGCTGGGAGAAGGGTGAGACACACGATTCTTTCCGTGTGCTGCAAAACACCACCGAATAATTCTTACTTCCTCTGCGTCTGGCTCTCTCCAAAACACAGCTGTCGGCGATTATGTCAAGCGCGATGATTTGATTGCTGTTATTGAGACCGACAAGGTCAACATTGACATTGCTGCCCCCGAAAACGGCATTGTTCGTGAGCACCTTGCCGCTGCCGCTTCCGTCGTCACCGTTGGCCAGCCCTTGTTCAAGCTCGAAGTCGGAGGTAAAGGGGATGTTTTACCGAGCTATTTTGCGACAATGGTCTTTGTTGCTTGGAAGCTCAGCTCTCATTTTCTCATTTCCCTTCCCAAATGATGTGGCTGTGCAGTTCCTGCTCCTGCTGGCGCCGCCAAGCCTGCCCCTGCCGCTGCCCCTGCCGCTGCCGCAGCACCAAAGAAGGCCGAGCCTGCCAAGCCCGCCCCCGCCCCCGCGGCCCCTGCTGCCGAGGTTAAGAAGCCCGCTGCCCCTGCGTCGGCTCCTGCTGCTTCCGCTGCTCCCGCCACTTCGTCGTCGGCTGCCGCTGGCACTCGCACCGAGCACCGCGAGAAGATGAACCGCATGCGTCTCCGCATTGCCGAGCGCCTGAAGGACTCGCAAAACACTGCTGCCATGCTCACCACTTTCAACGAGATTGACATGACGTACGTCGCGCAGCAGCTTGTTTCGTCCTTGCATGTGTTCGGGGCAGGGGAGATGAGCGGAATTGTGTGTGTTCGCACTCGGGGGGGGGGTGGAGCCCATGAAATTGATCACCGACTTTTTCGACTCATCGTCTTGTTCATGTCTGCAGCAACATTATTCAGCTTCGCAACGACCTCAAGGACGATTTCCAAAAGAAGCACGGCGTCAAGCTCGGTTTCATGTCCGCGTTCATCCGTGGCGCAACTGTTGCTCTTCAAGACCAACCCGCCGTCAACGCCGGTGAGTAGCAGACCTGCGCATTGCGAGGCGCTTTTTGTGTTTGCTTGTTCCGGGAGGGGGCGGGGGTGTCGACCCGCTTTTGCGTTCACATGGGCTCAACCGACCCCCCTTTTTTTGTTCCGTTGCAGTTATCGATGGCACCGACATTCTCCACCGCGATTATATCGACATTTCTGTCGCCGTTGCTACCCCGAAAGGCCTTGTCGTCCCCGTCCTGCGAAACTGCGAGAAGATGGGCTTTGCCGACATTGAGAAGGCTGTTGCCGCTCTCGGCGAGAAGGCTCGCACTGGTGGTATTGCGATCGAGGACATGGCTGGCGGCACGTTTACCATCTCGAACGGTGGCGTTTACGGCTCGCTCATGGGCACTCCCATCATCAACCCCCCACAATCTGCCATTCTTGGCATGCACGGCATTTTCGACCGACCTGTCGCTGTCAAGGGCAAGGTATGTGGTGTGAATCGATGATATCGTGTTTTTTTTTTTTTTGTTTTTTTTTTTGTTTTTTTTGGTCTTGCGATTCTCGAGAACGAGGCGTCTCACCTCATGGACTACATGAACTTTGGATTTCGCCTCTCCCATCTTCCGCCGATTCATTGCAGGTTGAAATCCGCCCCATGATGTACGTTGCTTTGACGTACGACCATCGCCTGATCGATGGCAGGGAAGCCGTCACCTTCCTCCGAAAGGTCAAGTCCGCTGTCGAGGATCCCCGCACTCTGCTTCTTGACCTCTAAGCAGCAAAATTCGCAACGCTATAGTGCAGTCTGATGCGTCTAATGTCTGTCATAGCACGTTGGGCCACTCCCATAGGTGGTTTTCTTGTTTTCGCTTTCTTTGTCGTTTTGTTTGACGCCTGGGCTGCCTCTTTTAATCGTCGCTGCTGTAGAACTCGTTCTGTCTTGCCGATTACATATCTTCGATAGTATCGTGTTTTGTGCATCCGAGAATTCTGACAAGTCAACAAAGAAGAACGATGCATCATTGCATCAGCCACGCAACAGAAGCCGTCAGTTGAATCCGAGCGACTTGACAATCGTTTTCGGATTGGTTGACATGGTCGTGTAGATGATTCCGAAATCCTTGTCGCCGGATGACCGATGATTCCGAAATCCCTTGTCGCCGGATGACCAAAAACCCCAACCCCAACAAAAAAAAAAAAAGGGTCAACAAAAACGAAAAAGGGAAAACGAGCAGACCAATGACACGACATGGAGTCCCGACTCGCTTCGCTGTCACACATTGCTCAGGATACAGGAGGGGATTGTCTTGAAGCGTCCTATCGACCAGCGAGCCAGTGTGCCAATATAGATGAGTGGAGGGACAAGCGACTCTGCTCCAGACGGACAGTTTTGAATCTTCAAAAGCAAACAGTTGTGACGTTGTCGCGATCGAGGGCTGCGGTCTCTCGTCCGCTCTGCTCGCTGTCCGACTCTCCAGCTCTCATATCATGAAGCCTCCACCCTTCCAATGTTCCCCGCTTGCATGTAGATCGCCCTTTGGAAGCCGCACGTCGCAACAGCGCCAGCGTCAATCGTTTTTGTGTTTTGTAGTGTTGACATGTTCTTGGATCGTCCGTTAACGCGCTTGGTAAGGAACGGTCTTAGAATGGGGTCTGAGAAAAAGTTTGATGAGTGTTATTAGAATGTATAAATGTCAATGGGGGAGGTGGCTACCCAGTGAACCAGCGAACTGGAGTCCATTCGAGTCTTCCATTGGGTTTTCCATTGAATTCCCATTACGAAGGCCCTGCTGCGCGTTGCTTCGAATTCATTGAGCCTCGCGCTTCTATACTCGTGTACTTGGATCTGTTTGATCTTTGGCTCCTCATCGCTAAACCTCGTTCTACTGCTTTCAATGCAACTTTCCATTCAAGTTCAGTCTTTTTGACCTTTCAATCTCATCTGCATCAAAAGCTTTCCACCTCATTTTTTTTTTTTCTTTTTCGATTCTCAATATCACTAACGCACCCAACAACAACCACAGATGCAGATTGAGGTTGGATCGCGATTGCCGGTGCGCAAAGCAGAGCCAACCGGCTTTGTATGGCGTAAGATTGAAAACCCCTCGACCACACTCGTCTGTCTCTGCTCTCTCCAATGCACTCACGCCATTGTCCTTGCTATTGCTGCTTTGGTAGAGAAAGCAGAGATCATCAGCACGCGGACGGCTGCAGACGGGTCGCAGAGCTACTATGTGCACTTTGTCGATTGTAAGGGAAACTTGCTGCCGTCCATTGTGAGCGAGATCTGCTTTGAGTACTGACCCACCCCCGCCACCCCACCACCCTATTCCATGCTTGGCCTTTGTTTGCAATCGTCGATGTGGATTCTGGCTGCGTGGCGCAGTCAACAAGCGACTGGACGAGTGGGTTGGCTTTGATCGTCTGGACACGAGCAAGATTGAGCCGCCCAAGCCGCCCGCAACGCTCGACAAGAGCAAGACAGGGCCTGGAAGTGGCCGCGGAAGTGCAAGTGCTGCTCAGCGCAAGCGCAGGGTCGAGGAAGATCCGGTCCAGCTCACCCCAAACAAGCTCACCGCACTGCAACACGCAAACAGTGTCGGTCCCGACCTCGCTGCGTCGCGTGCCGACACTCCACTTGGGACTGATGGAGAGGTAACGTGGCAGAGAGTTTTCAGGTGGTCGTTTGCTGTCAGTCACACGCTAATGGTGCGTTTTTGGCCGTTTGTGTTTTCGCGCTCGCCGTGTCTCATCTGTAGCTCCGATCTTCCGAGATTGATCCCGCAACTCCACTTCCAATCTCGTTTGGCGCAGCTGGCCTTGCAGAGGCTGGGACGGCCTCCAGTACTGCGCCAGGCACGCCAGGCGTTGAGGGAGCCAACAATCTGTCGGCCGGCGGATCGATGCGGCGCGGTCCGCCAATGACGGGGAGCATCTGGTCGTCCGACGATGTTGTTACCCGCATGAAAAACATTGATCTCATCGAGATGGGTCGCTTTCAAGTGCGCCCCTGGTACTTTTCGCCCTATCCAGAAGAGCTCACCAAAGGCCCCATTCTGTACATTTGCGAGTTCTGCCTCAAGTATCAGCCGACCAAGACTGCGTTTTTGAGGCACAAGGACAAGTGTGGGTTGCGTCACCCGCCCGGCAACGAGATTTATCGCAAGGACACGCTTTCTGTCTTTGAAATTGACGGCCGCAAACATCGGGTATGGTTTTTCTTTTCGTTTTCTTCCTTTATTCTCTTACAAGGGGCTTTCGTGGTTGCTTGCTTTGTCTGTTTGTTTTGTTGTGCAATTGTTTTGGAAACCATGCGAAGCTAACCGTTTGATCGGTCTCGTCGACAGAATTACGCACAAAACCTGTGCTTGTTGGCAAAGCTCTTCCTCGATCACAAAACCCTGTATTACGACACAGATCCGTTTCTGTTCTACATCATGTGTGAAATTGACGATCGAGGGTCTCATCTCGTTGGCTACTTTTCCAAGGTTTGCGCTCAAACATCCGCTGATTGTTTGTTTCAATTTGTTTCAGAACCCAGCTCCAACCTTTCTCTCTCACTTGTTCCAATCCCCTCTGCAGGAAAAGAGTCCTCCGAAGACTATAATGTTGCCTGTATTCTAACATTGCCGCAGTATCAAAGGAAGGGCTATGGCCGCCTTTTAATCGAATTTAGTAAGTTTGCCCAAAAACAAACAAATAAAGAAAAACATGTTTTGAAGCAAAATGCTACAGAACCACTCACGGCAGCTGTCTGTCTCTTCTCCACCTCCCCCCCTTGTTTTTTCTTTCTGCTGTATTGCTCAACCCTCAGGCTACGAACTCTCCAAGATTGAAGCCAAGGTTGGAAGCCCAGAAAAGCCATTGTCTGACTTGGGTTTGCTCAGTTATCGGAGCTACTGGTCGTTCGCCATTCTCGAAACGCTGCGCAACTATCAGGGCAGCATGGCCATTGCTGATTTGAGTGCGTACACGTGCATCAAGCGGGAGGACGTGCTGAGCACCCTCCAGCATTTGAATCTCATCAAGTACTACAAGGGCCAATACGTGATTGTCATTCCCGTGGAAATGGCGGAAGCCCACGACAAGCAAGCGGCCAAACTCAAAGTCCGCATTGACGACCAGTGTATCATCTGGCAACCAATCGACTGGGTCAAACGTGGCAAGTGGTAGTCCATGGATGAATATGTTGTTATTGTTATTGTTTTTTTCTCTTTACAATAGATTATACAATGGCTTGTCAACTAAAATGAAACAATGAAACACGCAAGCGGCTTGCTGCTTTTGAATGGTAAAAAAAAAAATGAATCAACAGATGGAAAAGAATAAAATCGTTCCAACCCCTCTCAAAAAGTACTTGTCGTCTTCTTGAAAAAAAAAAAAAAAAAAAAGCTCCTCATTCCGCCAAAGTCATGCCGGTGGGGAGCCCAGCGTCGTCAAACGCAGAGTGAAGATTCACAGCCGCGCGTTGGCTGGCCTTAAACATGCCTCCGAGAAGGCTCATTAATACCGCGTGAGTCGCGCCTGGATTGCTTCGCTTGACATGAGCAAAGTTTTGCTTTACAAATGCAGCAAACGCGTTCGGCTCGCGCCGCTTGGCCGGTGTGCCGTCCGCTCGTTGAGGAGGCAATAGCTCGAGGCGGCCATAGCATCGTCCACAGCGCTTGGCATTGGTGTCGATCGATTTGGAGTGTCGCCCGACTTCCAATCCGCAACCCTCATTGACGCATCGATAAGTGAACTTGTATGCAATCGCGTAGCTGTGGCACGTGGTGATGTTGAGATGCGGGAAGCACTTGCTCGCCTGGTGGGCGTAGTGACGAAAGTGCGGTCCGTGCGGCGGCTTGCTCACATGGTCGATCAGCCATGCTGCTACGTGGCACATTTCGTGGCAAAGTGTCGACTCGAGTCGCTCATCGCGGTCCACCACCTTGGTTGAAAGCTCAATCACCGCAGAGTACACGCCCAGGGAGAGTGTCACACGAGCACGGCCAGCGGTCGTGGCTAGATTTGGGCTCCAGACGATCGGGAGGTCGTGGGGCAACTTGTTGCCAAAGATGGTGCTGTTGAACTTTCGGAAGAGTTCGCGCGCCCGCTGCTCCCGTCGCTGGGCAAACATGCGCATTTCGCTCTTCACGGAGCCCTTGGTGCTGCCTGGAGGCTGGCGTCCCTTGCCTCCTGGTGTGGAGCTCGCAACAGCCTGAGGTGTGTTGGGTGAAAGGACTTGCAGGACTGGACGATGGAGAGGTGTGACTGGTGACATTGACCGTAGCCGCGATGGCGATTGGCTCACGGGTGCAGACCAGGAATCTGAATCTGATTGATCGTTGCCATCCTCACTCTCCTCGGCATCCTCGGCAGCCTCGGCATCTTCTGCATCCTCAAAAATGATGTCATTGTCATTTTCATGGTCGTCTTCGCTCTCGTCGTCAGACACGACGAACGCAGTCGCGTGCGATCTGTTGAAAGCAGTTGTAGGCAAGATTAGAAATGAGCACGAGAATGCAAACAATGTCACACCGAGACAGAAGCTTCAGAGTCAATGACACGACGCGTACTTGCGTGCTTGCGGGTTGTTGTTTGCTCCTCGGAAACTGGTGCACACTGTCCAAGTGTCAAGCACGATGAGGAAAAGAAAGGAAAACCAACACAATCGAAAAAAAAAAAAAACGAGTACAAAAAGAATCGACTTACTCGCCCTCAGCTCATCATCTGCTTCATCATCATCATCAACGGTGTCGCCGTGGTCGCCGAGAATGTGGCTCGTTTGAATGGAGTGTGATCTCACAAGTGTTTTGTCTGCCAACCACAGATCGTTTCGCAATCACGGTGAGAAATCTGTCAATCCACACAATCTCAAAACACACCCCATTTTGTCGGTTGCTGTTTTTTCTCCGCTGCTGGATCTCTGCCTCCCCCAAACATAAATCTCACCTGATTTGAGTGGAGGGGAGAACGCGGTCACTGTGCCTGTGGTTGGCGTGGGTGCGCTCAACGACCGAGCCAACGTTGCATGGGCGGAACTGGACGCGCGGTGAGGAATTTCGGCGAGCGAATGGGAATTCGGCAGGATTGGTGACAGAACTGGGGAAGCCGCGCAGCTCGACGCGACCGGACGCACCACGGGCGACACGGACACGGGCGAGTCGGCTGGTGTTGCGAATCTGGGGCTGACCGTGACGGCTTGGGAGGGCGGCGACGCGGCCGTGGCGGGAGATCTGAGGGTCGGGCAGACCCAATCTGTGGCAGGATGGGCGGCAGGTGTGCCGCTCAGATTCAGCCGCTCCAGCTGCAGATCTAGCATATTTTCGTGCATCCTCTGCTCGTCCTCGGGGCTCCGGAGAGGCGAGAACAGCACGGTGACTGCTGCGTTCAACGCGGCGTCGCTCTCGCGGTGGTGCTGCGAACTGCGGCGCTGGAGGGAGAGATGGGGCGGCGTGACCAGAGCGCATGTCTGCGAATTTTCGTCGTCATCCTCCTCCTCCTCCACTTCATCCGCCAGATCTAGCATGTGCTGTTGGTTTTCCTCCGACCAAGCGGACTCGTCGAGGTGGTCGTAGTCTTTGCAGTTGAGCATGTCTTCCTCGAATTTCTCAAACTCCATGATGACTGCGGCTGTTGCTGCCGCGTGGTGGTGCGCGCGACGGCGATAACGTGTGGTAATGTTTGGCGTGCAGAACAGGAGATCCTGCTGTTGCTGCTGTTGCTGCTGCTGTTGCTGTTGCTGCTGTTGCTCCTGATGTTGTTGTTGTTGTTGTTGGTTTTGGGGTGTGGATGGCTGCGATGGTAAATGGTGTTCGTCCAGCAGTGAAGCAGACGACCCAGTGTCGAAATTCTGCGGCGACTAGAAAACGAAAACCAACCAGGTAATGAGGATTGGATCGCGAAGAAGATTGTGAGATCCGAACACAATGGATGAAGCAAATCAATCAACAATGTCACAGATACTGCAAAGTGCAACAAAACCAAAATGGTGTGCAGACGACAGTGACCTCCACAGCGCGCCAGCATGAACGTGTGGTCAGCCCGTGGTGGGGCTTTTTTCTTCTTTGTTCTTTTCTCTTTTTTTGCGTCTTGCTAGTTTGCTTGATTTCTCTCTCAACTCAAAACCTCATTCTCTTTGAATCGTGTCTTCCATCCCGCAATGATCCGATATTGCAATATTGCAGAGCGATTACGCAAATCTCAAACAAGAAAACATGCTGCTTTGAAACCGTTTCAAAGCCGCGCTTTTTTTTTTCTTGTTTTTTTTTTTTTTTGTTTTTGACGTGATTTCAAAGCGCTTTGCTTGGATTTGTCACAGTGGGGTGTTGCAATGCAAGCAAAGCGACGTGTGGCCCGCTCTTGCTCTCTGATGACGTGTGGAACAGCGCGAGTGACTCAGCAAAATGCCGTGATTTCAAACCCCCGCTCTGCTTCAAAATGCATTTTGATTTGCTCCGAAAATAATACAATAAAAGATAAAACAAAATACGCACTTGTTGGAGAGGTGACAAGTGGAAAGAGCAGTCCAGGTGAAGAGCACTTGACGCGATCGGCGAGTGGGGGATGCGGTGCTGCCCAGGTCAAAAAGCAAAAGCGATGGAGAAGAGGAAGAGGAGGAGGAGAAACAACAGCGGTTTCAGTCCACCACAATCCGCGGTCATTTGTTCATCTTGCACTCCACTCATCGAAGAGGCAACCACCACGGCGAGCGAGTACAGATTGGCATGTGCGTATGTGCATGTGTGTGTGTGCGTGTGTGGGTGTGGTGTTGGACGTACCGAAAGCTGGGCAAAGTGACGCTGGCGGGCGGGATGGTCCCAGCCGTACTGCTGCCGAAGCGAGGCAATGCGAGCGATGAGCTGCTGGTGCTCCATTCTCGTGTTGCGTTGACGGGGACTGACTGAAAGACTGGGGTTTAGATTTTTGCATGGCGAGGTCTCCTCGATTAAGATTAAGCTTGCATTGAAGGCAAAAAGTCGAGATGCGTTGACTGGCGAAATTGCAGCATTGAAAATCGAAACAAATTTACTCAGAAATCATAGCACCATACAATGAGATGAGCACATGGACGCCCTCACACCTATGCATTGTGACTCGATTTGGTGGCTTTGGAGACGACCGGCGTCAGGGTGCTTGGCTCTGGCCAGAAAATCAGACTGAAAAGCAGCACTTGGTGGGCAACCAACAACAGTCCACTGCTTAGATCCGTTGATGGATAGACATTCCAGGAATACTCGATGGCAGCCAGCACAGCAAACCTACGCAAAAGCAACCGCGTGGAATGAAGCAAATTGCAGATTGAGAGATGGGCAAGACAAAACCACAAAAACACAAAAAAATACTACATCCATGAAATACCCACTTGGCAATTGTTGGCAACCGTGTGCTCCAAAGGAGGAAAGGAAGGGTATGGTAGTACCACACATAGAATTGGTAGTGCAGAGAGCGGGCAAAGACAATACCCGCGAAATTGGACACGAAAAGCGCCAGGGCAATTTCTGCATCAACCGCAAAACACAACAAGATGCTGTCAGTAAATCGTGCCAGCAGCACTGGACAACAGTGAATACGATCTCCTCGGCAAACAAATACACGACGTCATACGCGATGGGAACGACTGTGGTCGTGCAACGTCGGCAAATGCTCGTCGAAGGAAAGCACTCAAACTAGCGTCTGGACGAATCCACCGACGGGTTGCAAACACTGCCAGCACAAAGAGATGCAGCCCAAGCAAAGCCAGGTGGAACCGCCGGTCGAGAAACAAGTCCTCGCCCACAAACCGCCAGTTGACCGTCCACTTGAAGAAGAATTGTCTCGTCAGCTCGAAAGACCGACTCAAGTAGCTAACAGGATGCGCCATCAAGAACGGCAGACCGAGTAGCACCTGCAGAACAGCACAGATGCACAACGCTGGCACCGTGCCGCGGACACCGAGGTTGGACAGCAGGAGCAACAAGAGCGCTGGCGCCGAAAGCAGAATGTTCATTTTGATGGAAACTGCGAGACTATTGCAAGAAGCGAGGGATGTCCACAGAATGGTCCAGCGCGAAGAACATGGAAGAAATCGAAAAATGGATGAGTAAATGGAATCTTCCCATCAGTCAGTTAAAAGTGAGTTTGATGCGCAGACTTGCCTGTAGAATACGCAGCCAATGTACCAGCGATGATGCATGAACAGTAGAACAGCCACGTAGAACAAGAGCATTGCGATCGGATCGTTGAATAATCGCAGCACAAAGATGGAATGGATTCGATACGAGGTAAAGGTCAACCAGAGCAGAGCATAAGGGGGAACCTGTGATGTGATTCAATGTCGGCATGAACGCAAGCATGGAGAATCATAGGGTGTAAGTTCCAAGAAACGAGGAGAGATGAACAAAAAAAGTCGGTGATGAGCTAGTGGGTTTTGGCAGCGTACCGTTCGCGCGCGCTGGTAGATGGCAAGCACGACAGTCAAGGTCAGCATGTACAGCACGGCATAGATGAGCTGGGCCTTGAAAATGTTGGTTCCGTTCTCAGTCATGTAGTAGAATGCGCCAAACAGGTAGACAAATCCGGCCGGATACCTGCCACACCAAAAAGGTCATTCATTCGCGTACATCAGATCGCCAGTGTGACTTTGAGTGCCAACATCAAAACAAGCGCAATAATTCACATCACCATCTTACACGAGCGGTCCGGTGTCGCCCTTGAGCAGGGTGTAATCTCGCTCGCCGTCGATCGCGCCCTTGACCTCGTCCATGTACGCCTTCCAGTCAATCTCCGTATCTGGCACCAATGTTCAATGTTTTTTTTCCCCCAGTTGTTTGCTCGTTTGAGAGTGAGGCTTTCGGTGTGATGTACAATCGAGCTCAATCCGCTTTCTCACAGGGAACGCGCCAGATGATCAGCGCATTGATGGCGATCTCTGCCAGCAGCAGCAGGCCCGCGACAGCCCAGGTGAGCTCAGGGCGTGTGAGGCATCGCTGCACCGTGGCAATCCAGTCCGCTGGGTCGATCAGCGACTTGTTGTCTGCACGCGTCGATGCTCGAGTTGCAGGCGGCATGACTTTTGATTAGGGAGCTGTTGCGATCTCAGCAGCTGAACTTGGACTGAGAGTGTGATATTGAGCAAAATAGGATACAGTACTATGAGGGTTTTTGATACAATGCATTGTCTATTTGAGAGTTTGATGGTTGCGGGAGATTGAACGCAATGCAACAATGCTGAAAATCCGCTCGACGCAAAGACCGCACTACCTCCTCCTTTTCAACATTCAACCCTGATTTTCAATGGTTGGATGTAGAAATCTAGCATCTCTAGAATATAGAATCTGAACCGACAGCGAGTGCGGCATTTGAGTGCTTTTTGTGTCGCCTTCATCGCATTGTTCTGAGCCAGTTTGACTGTGCGCTGTCCTGTTTCAATCTCCTTCATCTCAACCCCCAATATTCTCCAATGTATTCGATTTTTGCGACATCACTTTGACTGCTCATTCATTTTTTTATTTTTCTCAAACCAAATAAATGGCAGGCGCAAAGAAGGGCGGCAAAGGCTCCAAGAAGAGCTCTGGCTCGTCGACACCGGCGTCTGGCAGCGCGTCGACCAACAACCTGCTCGACGAGAACGGCCTCGACGAAGCCGCGCGCATCAAGCAGCTTGAAGAGGAGGTCCGCAACAACCCTCGCACCGTGACGTGCGTGCTGGCCTCCCACGCCATGAGCCGCGATGTCCAGCTCGACACGTTCTCCCTCTCCAACTACGGCCACGAGCTCATTGTCGACTCGCGCGTCGAGCTCAACTACGGCCGTCGCTACGGTCTCATTGGTAAAGCAACCTCCTCTCTCCGCTCACACCTTGTCCAACAGAGCGAGGCGAGACCACCCCCCTCCCCGCGCACCCCTCGCAAAACGAAACACACTCGTGGAACGAACGACAAAGAAAAAAAAAAAAAAAAAAAAAAAAAAAAAAAAAAAAAAAAAAAAAAAAAAAAAAAAAAAAAAAAAACGAACACATGGGGAACGCATCTTTTTTTTTTTTCTCTTTTTTTTTTTTCAATGCTTTTTCCTTTGACTCTCCGACTCTTTTTCCTTTGACTTTTGAGTTTCACATCAACATTTGAGGGTTGTTTGGGTGGGGTTTGTTGAATGATTGACTTTTGTTTTGTTGCTTACTTGTTTCACCCCCTTTTTGTTGCTGTGTTCAAAACAGGCCAGAACGGCAGCGGCAAGTCCACGCTGATGGCTGCGCTCGGTCGCCGCGAGGCTCCCATTCCCGAGCACATTGACATTTTCTACCTTGACAAGGAAATTGGCGCAACCGACCTCACTCCCCTCGAGGCCGTCATCGAGGACACTGAGAAGGAGCGCGTGCGCCTTGAGGCCCGCGCCGAGCGTGTGCTCGAGGAAGATGGCCCCGAAAGCACCCTTCTTCAAGACAGTAAGGCAGTTTGTTTGAAGGGATTGTTGTTGTGGTTGTGTCACCGTTTGGTTTGATTTGATTTGCATGGCATCTTTGGTCGCAACTCCAAAACCTCATCCACTCGTTTGCTCCTCTCCATTTTTTCATTCGTCCAGTCTACGATCGCCTCGATCTCCTCGACGCCGACACCGCCAAGAAGCGCGCTGGTGAAATTCTCTTTGGTCTTGGCTTTGACGCCGACATGCAGGCCCGCCCGTGCAAGTCCTTCTCTGGTGGCTGGCGCATGCGCATCTCCCTGTCCAAGGCCCTGTTTGAGGAACCCGCGCTGCTGCTGCTCGACGAGCCCACCAACCACCTCGATCTTGAGGCGTGCGTGTGGCTTGAGGAGTACCTCTCCAACTACCCCCGCTGCCTCGTCATGGTTTCGCACTCGCAGGACTTTTTGAACGCGGTCTGCACGAACATTATCTCGCTCTCCCAAAAGAAGCTCTTGTACTACACTGGCAACTACGACCAGTATGTCACCACCCGCGCCGCGCTCGAGGAGAACCAGACCAAGCGCTACAACTGGGAGCAAGAGCAAATCGCTCACATGAAGGACTACATTGCCCGATTCGGTCACGGCTCTGCCAAGCTCGCCCGTCAAGCCCAAAGCAAGGAGAAGGTTCTTGCCAAGATGGTTGCCGGCGGTCTGACCGAGCAGGTCAAGGAAGAGCACGGCTTTAGCTTCCGCTTCAACAATGTCGACAAGCTCACCTCGCCCGTCCTCCAATTCCTCAACGTTAGCTTCACCTATCCCGGCACCACCCGCGAGCTGTACTCCAAGCTGGACATTGCCATCGACCTCGACTCGCGCATTGCCTTGGTCGGCAAGAACGGCGCAGGCAAGAGCACCCTGCTCAAGCTCATGGTCGGCGAAAACACTCCGACGGACGGCATGGTCCGCACGCACTCGCACTTGCGCATGGCCCGCTACCACCAACACCTTGCCGACCAGCTCGACATGACCCTGACTCCTCTCGAGTTCATGATGAAGGAATTCCCCGAGGACGTTGAAATCCAGACACATCGCCAGGCACTCGGCAAGTTTGGCGTCCGTGGCGAGCAGCAGCTGATGCAAATCAAAAACCTGTCCGACGGTCTCCGAAGCCGCGTCGTCTTCTCGTGGCTCGCTCGGCAAAGCCCTTCGCTCCTCCTTCTCGATGAGCCTACGAATCACCTCGATATTGAGAGCATTGACACGCTTGCCGACGCCATCAAGAACTGGAATGGCGGTCTTGTGCTTGTTTCGCACGATTTCCGACTCATCAACCAGGTGGCAAACGAGATTTGGCTGTGCGAGAACAAGGGCATCCAAAAATGGACTGGCGACATTCAACAGTACAAGCGTCAACTCAAGAAGGACATGGATGCCGAGATTGCCAAGCGCAAGTAAACGCAGACCACTGCGGCAGTAGTGATGATGATGTTTTTGTTGTTGCTTGAAGTCTCTCTGTTTTTGTTTGTTGTGCGTATAACCTGCATGGTACTTGTCATTTTTTCAGTGTAATAATGCAAAAATGAGAAACACACACACTCCGTCCGATTTGTTTGATTTCTATTTCCAAGGTCCTGAATGTGAATGTGAATAGCATTTGTTGTCGTAGTCCTTGTTTGTTATTTTTGACACACACTTCCTTCCAATAGCGATGGGTCTGTGCAAGTGCAGAGAAGCGACGACGCTGTTCTGCTACGAGCATCGCAAGAACGTTTGTGAAAAGTGCCTCGTTTCCGACCATCCCAGGGTAAGCGCGCGCCACAATTTGCACCAGCATGGCGCTTGATCGTCACGTCAGCAATCCGGATGCGTGGAACGCGTCCCAGCAAGCGACGGGGGGGGGGTTGGATTTGAGGCGAGGACGTGGCTTTTTGAATTGGGGAAAGGCGATTTGTGGCGACCCAGGTCTGACAAAGAGACTGCCGTTTGGACAGTGAGACTATGTGGGGGGCAAACTGGTCTTGTCTGCTCAAAGCTCACTTACGCGTTGGCGTTTTTGTGGCCCTCTGGTTGAGCAGTGCGTTGTACGATCGTACGTCAAGTGGCTCCAGGACAGCGAGTTCAGCGCCGACTGCGTACTCTGCAACCAGTCGCTCGAGAACGGTGGTGTCGTTCGTCTAACATGCTATGGTAACATACAGCGAGGCAAAATCGCAAGGAGGGGGGGGGGCCCAATGACGTCGTATTCCGACTTGACAAGTCGAGGCGCCCAACATTGTTTGTGTTAGGGCTTTGTGCTGACTTTGCTTGCTGGCTTAGATGTGTTGCATTGGGAATGCCTCGACAAGTATGCCAAGTCACTCCCTGCGCACACAGCACCTGCTGGATACACGTGCCCCCAATGCCAGGTTCGTTCACTTGTTTTGATTTGGCGATGGGGTGGTTGGGGGTTTTTTGATGGCGATCGATTCTGAGACCCTTTTATTGTTTGTTGTGATTGTTTTTGTTTTTGCGCTTCAGGCACCCATCATCCCGCCGGATAATGCGGGGTCATTAGTTGCACAGCAGCTTCGACAGCAACTCATTGGCTCATCGTGGGCGCGTGTCACTTCGATTGCTCCAATCCCGCCAACTCGCCATGACACTTCGAAATCTGTCAGCTCGCCGCTACAAACATCCTCCCTGCCAGGGTTACTCCCGGCCACTACTGTATGTTCCGCCAGTCGTGATTGTGATTGCAAGACGGTTGGTTGATCTTGTTGTTGTTGTTGTTGTTGTTGTTGTTGTTCGGTTTCGTTTTCACTGTTGCGCGCAAACATGTCAGAATGGCACTGTGGCCTCGCCTGCTCATGCAAATGGTACCTCTGGAGGTCCAATGGCATCGTCGTCCTCTACATCGCGTAAGTGGCTTTTTTTTTTTGCGGGGGGGGGGCGCTCCATTGGGATGATTCGTTTGTCCTGGACGCGCTGGTCACTCACGCCTGCCATCGCAGTCACTCTGTCCTCAGCTCGTCGTCCCGGTGGTGGTCAAGATACTGCTCTTCTGCTTCACGATCATGATGATGACAAGTACGGGCAACGACGAGGACTGGCGCACTTGCTCAGGCAATGTCTCGGGTAAGGATTTGTGACTTGTTGGAGTTTGCTGAGCTTTTTTTTTGTTTCTTTGGGTTTGTATTCTAGCTGTCGGGTCCGATGAGCTGTCTTGCCTTCGTTCGCTGCGCTTTTGCTTGCTTTGTTTTTTTTTTCTTCTTCTTTGGTTTATTGTTTGTTGTTGTTTGGTTTTTTTATTTCCTCACACGTCTTGGCTTTGTTCTCGTTCTAGGTTGCGGTCTTTGCGGCGAACGTTTGTCATTGCGCTGGCCATTGCGTTGGTTTTATTTGTAGTGTTGGGCATTGGCTCTCGCGTCTTAACTGGGCCCCCTGTCTAGCCCAAATCTGTGATTTTAAACAAAGAATAACAAGTAACGCGTCGATTTCCATTTGAAGACCTCAATGCAAATGTATTGGGAAAAGGAGGAGGAGGTTGGAGGCCGCAACATTAGATAAACCCGACATAACGCGACTTGAACATCAATTTTCGGTCGTCATTCTCGCAGAATCGAACTTGAACGTCCGAATTCTCGCGCATTTGTCGGATGACGGGATGATCCGCGCAGGCCAGAACGCCACGGATTGGAAATTCGAAATTGACAAAAGTCGGGCGAACAGCTCCTTCCTCTTCTTCGTTTGTAATACTACAATACTATGCATCGAGGCAACAATCAAAACATACACGATTGGACATCATCGTTGTCTCAACAATTTGGGGGGGGGGGAAATCGCCACTCTCTTTTGTCATTCATTTTTTTTTTTTTTTTTTGGTTCAAAAACTCATCCTTTTCATACTCAACTCCAGCACTCTCGAATGGGCAACTCTGGCTCGCAGCAGCAACCACAGCAGCAGTCGTCATCATCATCATCGTCGTCGCGCTATGGCCAGCCGGCTCAGCACGCACCCACATCGCGCAAGACGAGCGACCCGTCTGCAATGTCCCCGCGAATGGGGCGACCGATGACGGCCGCGTCTCCAATGCAGACGAGCAGCAACAGCAGCAACAACAACAACGGCAACCGCGTTGGGAGCAGCAGCAGCGGCGGGAGCGGCGGTGGCGGCAGCTCAGTCCCGCTCCATCCGGGCAGCACGGGCAGCAACGGCAGCGTCGGCAGCAGAGGCCAGGACGGCGGGGCGGTGGTGAGCGGAGGACGGCAGCTCGTCAACAACCAGCGCCTGGGCTACTTTGAGGCGCCGTCCCCGCCGGCGTTCGGATCTCCGCTCGACACGCCGTCCTTCTTGGACTTTCCGTACGGACCGGCTGGCAGCGGGATGAGCGGCTCGCACGACGGACGCGGCGGCAGCAACAATGGCAACGGCGGCGCCATTCCCGACCCGGTCTCAGTCGCAATGCTCATGGAAGACGATCTCGCCAACGCTGGCACGCCGCTCCGAGGCAGCAGTACGGCTCCTTTCGAGACAACAGAGTTTGATGCACCCCCTTTGAAAATGCTTGTTTTTCTTTTGTTTTTGTGTTTTATTTCGCACTTTTTGCTTCAAGTGGGCGGCGGATTGGAAGAACGAAAATCTCCTCAGTTCGCACTTACCCTTCAATCGTGTGGCTGTCTGTCCAAACTCACTTTTGTTGTGCTCCGATTGTAGGTGCAAATGCTCGGAGGGAAGGCGTCCCGACAGTCTTTCGATGGCATCGCGGTGGCAAGAACGTGTACGTGACGGGCACTTTTAACGGGTGGAAGGGGCGAATTCCCCTCAACAAGAGCCACGACGAGTTTACAACCATCGTCGAGCTCCCGCCAGGCACACACCAGTACAAGTTTATTGTCGACGACGAGTGGATGTTCAATCCAGACCAACCAACAGTGCCGGATCCGTACGGTGCAATGAATAACATGGTGGACGTTTTGCCACCCGATTCCATGTACGAGATTGAGTCGGATCCCACGGCGCTTTCGTCGTCGCCGCCTGGGGATTACGGCCAAGAGATGCCGCCGATGGAATACGGCGCCAAGCCGCCACCAGTCCTTCCTCCCCATCTGCTGCAAGTCATCCTCAACGCCGACCCGGTGTCGGAAGACGATCCTACGCGCCTCCCCGTCCCCAACCACGTCATGCTCAACCACTTATACGCGCTATCTATCAAGGATGGTGTGATGGTCCTTGGCGTCACGCACCGATTCCGGAAAAAGTACATTACCACCGTTCTTTATCGATGCGTCTAAATTGTCCCTTCCCCCTTCCCCCTCCCCTCACAGTGTGCTGCGAACGCTAGAGCTCAATTTGCTCGAGAAGAATGAGATGGCTTCCGAGCGACCCGCTCTGTTAATAACTGCTCCGATGCAAATACACATAAGCACAACCATAATAGAATGCTTGACACAAAATCCAACCATCTCAGAATCGAATACAGATACCTGCGGTGAACAATTGCTCGAGGATCTGACTTGTCGACTGAGCGATCGATCCATCCATCAGAGTGTAAACGCAAGACGATGACAGAAAGGGAAGGCATGACAACGACAGACAAAACAAACCAAAACCCAATCTAGGAGGCAGTCGAACAACACAAAACCAACAACGCTGGGTTGCTAGCTCGCAATCGACGCATAGTCGGTATTCCCATTGACTGTTTTTGCTGCGTAGCGGATGGAATAACGCCGAAAGGCAACAACCACACAATCCACTCATTTTTCCCTCAATGGCTTCGCTGTCAGCTTTCCGCTCGGTCGATCGTTGCGCGGATCCGTCCACCCCAAGGACGGCGCACACGGCTACTACAAGGGTAAGCGAGGAACGGGTTGATGGCGATGGTTGCAACGGATGGGGGTAACAGTCAATGCACAGTGAGAGAGAGAGAGAGAGAGAGAGAGAGAGGCACTGAAGGCCATGCGCTCTGCTTTGGCTTTGACTGCTGCTTCGCTGTGGCTGGCTTTGGGGAACCCGCTTCCCCTCCCAATCACCAAGTGCCCAGCGGGGTGCTCGCATTACAAACTCATTGCACGGTTGCGCTGATGGTACTGCCGCGATGTTGCTCACTTTGCTGGTCCTTTTTGACGTGGAAACAACTACAATCGACAGGCAACGGCGCTGTGACGCCTGGTCGACTCTCTCGGAAAGGTCAGTCATGTGTCAAGTTGGAACATTTGGATGGGAGCTTCAATGGCAAGTAGAGTTCGATCCGAATCGCGCGTCTCACTGTTTGTGCTGGTTGGTGGAAAAACAGGTCGCTTTGTTGTGAATCCAGACAAAATCCCGCAGTTTGTCGTGCCAGACCTCAAGGACTTTAAGGTGAGGATGTTGCTGATCATGGATGGCGATATGGTCGAAAGCGAGCGTCGGAGAGGTCCTGGGGGCGGGGGGCGCAGTCTCGAGGTCTTCACTGTAACATTTCGCTGTTGTTACGTTCGGTTTTGCGCAGCTCCAACCATACGTGTACAACCGAGTGCCTCAACGTGTCAAAACTCCCATGACAACATATGAGACTTATCTGACTGCAATTCACGAAGCCGAGGCCCGAAACGTTGCTCGCAAAGCAGCAGCATCAGCAGCATCAGCGACTTCTACAGACGCCCCATCAAGTCCTTCAACATCAGCATAATGTGAACGTGTATATGTTACCAACTACTGCAAGTGGGGTCTCAACAGGCCGTGGTACATGTGATTCAATAGACAGTATTAACTAGGGAAGCAACAACAAAAAAACAAGGCACATTTTTTTGAGGTTTTGTTTTTTTATTTTGGTTGCGGATTGCAGGTTCAAGGGGCATGCTATCCAATAGTCACTCGATTGACGGAGGCGCGACACACACACTCTCTCATCATTGAAACCAACAGCATATTCGGCCACAGCGAGTGAGCGGTTTTTGCTCTGCGGCATCCAAGACTTGTCGAATTCGATTCATCGGAAAGTCACGAACATACTCGTAGAAAATGAGGGACGGCAGGATGTGGTGCACCTCGACATAGTGTGCCAGACCCTCTGGCCATGTAATTTGGGCAGTGGCATCGTCGTATTCCTGACGTACTCCCGAACGCCGAGCTGCACCTCACTCTGCACACACAGCCGGCACACTGACGCAGCATGGTACGTGAAAACGGAGCAGGTCGGCAGGCCTGCTTGTTCCATCGGTCGAGCGTGTCGAGTCGAGCTGATTTGTGAGAATGCTTCTGGGGGAGATGGAGACAATCTTGGCGCAGCCGGACTTGTCGTTCCATCCGATGGCATGAGTGATACTGGCTGAGGACTTCCTCCAGCGTTATCGTTTCTTGTATGATTGGTTCTTGTATTATCGGTTCTTGGATTATCGGTTCTTGTTTTACTGGTTCTTGTTGTCTGAGCAGCCTCGAACGCGTCTTGGATGAGCCTGAGCTTGCCAACCCAGTCGGTTCGGCGCGGCCACGGCTGTGTGGACGGCGTTGGCCATGGATATGCGCCATGGTACCCGTCGTCCTCGATGCGGGGACTGCTTGCCCAGAAGCCCTCCAAGCGCGTCGGATGCGACGTGTTTCCAGCAACGGGACTGTGGCGTTCAAACTGAATCCCATCCGCCACCATCGCCACCGCAGTATCGACGTTGGCAGGATTAGCGTTGGCAGCAGCAGCAGCAGCAGCAGCGTCGGCGGCAGGTCGGAGTGATGACGGCTCAGTCGTCTCAGATTGAAGCCCTTCCATTCACAACCTGAGACATGTAATGAAATCGGAACGGCCTGACTTTGAATACAAAAAACATGGAGTGATACGTTGACACGAGATTGACAAGTAGGATGTTTTCCGTCTCAGTCTGAGTAACGCTGAACCTCAGTCATTGTTTCCTCGCTCTGTTCTAAAAAGCAATGGTTTTCTACTTTACAAGCAACGGTGAGCACTTTTTTGCGCTCAGCAAGCAGTCGACAATGAATCTCTGCATTTTGCTGATCTCTCACTTTTGAAGCTTGAGACAAGCGTGGCGATGCTCGTTGTGTGCAGCCGCATGGATGGATGGAAACTGACCTCTTTGACTTTGTGCAGTGACGACGCCGCCAGCCAAGCTGTACATGGGCCGCGACAAGTACGAAAGTGAGTATTGCAAAACCAACGGGACAAGCACTTGTGTGCGCGTTTGGGGGTCGGGTTGTGGTTGGATTGTGGTTCTAACGCGCAGGTGAAACTGAACTTTCGTTCTTATGCAATGTAATCCTCATACGATGACTCAGATGAGGACTTGATCAAGCACGGATGGCCAGAAGACATTTGGTAGACATCACTTCGAGTGTTGTTTGAGTATTGCAGAGCCCCGTTCATGCTCACTATTGGATTTCTCGCACGGGTCTTCTTCAGGTTTCACGTCGATAAGCTCTCATCCGCACACGTCTACGTTCGCATGGCTCCGGGTCAGAGCATGGACGACATTTCCGACGCTTTGGTCCAGGACTGCGCGCAGCTGACCAAGGCCAATAGCATTGAAGGTAGAGCGACATTTTGGTTGAGCATACCATCGAGCAAACCAATATGCTTTTTGAGCTCACAATGCATGAATTCCTTGTCACATCTTGACCATTCCACCAGGATGCAAGCTCAATGATGTGTGGTACGTGACAAAGAGGCATTTCCCGCTCGTTCAGTTGACTACCCACTGACTTTCTTCCCCAAAATTGTGCCTTCTCAACATATTCTCAGGATTGTCTACACTCCCTGGGCCAACCTGAAGAAGACTGGCGACATGGCTGTCGGTCAAGTGAGCTTCCACAATCCTCGCAACGTGAGTTTTACAGTAGTTTAGCGCTGCATTGAATTGCCCAGTTTTGGTTGCCGTTATTTCTCCTCCGCAACACTAACAAAACCACCCCTCTGTTTGAAGGTTCGTAAATTCCTGGTTGAAAAGAAGGCAAACGAGATTATCAACCGATTGGAAAAGACCAAGGTGGAGCGCAACGACGTCGATTTCAAGGCCGAGCGCGACGAGCGCGACCGTGCGGAGCGTGAACAGCAACGAGTGGTGTTGAAAGAGCAGGCGAGTTTGCTTTCAAGCTTGTTTTTCAAAGAGTTTTTGGATGAATACCCGACCTCACCTCTTCATCTTCACCCTACAACAGAAACGCGTGGAAAAGGAACAGGAGGACGCTCGCAAGAAGAAGGCCGAGCTGCAAAGCTTTTCTGCCATCATGAAGCCAGAAAAGATGAAGAGCAATCAGGACGTCAAGAAGAGTGTTCGTGAAGCAGAGGATGATTTTATGTAACACATTGAAATGTTAAAAAGAGAGAGAGAGAGAGAGAGAGAGAAAAAAAAATGATAACACTACAAATCTACCATCTCAAATCCAAGTAGATACCAGAATTTTTGTTGTTTCCTGGGTCAAAGATACAAAAAAAGATACAGCGAACTGGGACAGACCGAACAAACAAAGAGCAAATCCCCTTTTGCGTTCGGCAAACAAAAAAAGGAAAAAAAAGCAAAAGCATAGAAACTAAAACCGAAACTGAAAAAAAAACCAAATCGTCTACTGCGATTCCACCTTGGCGATATACGCTGCGTACTCTTGCGGGTGGCAGAGTTCGCCTGCGCAGTAATCGCACACCCACTGAGCCCGCTTTTCGCGCATCAGAAGCTTGTAGGCTTGGACGGTGAGCCGGCTGCACTGTCGATGGTACCACCGGTGACATGGCCCTTCGCAGTAAATCCCATCGTGGTCGTCTGTCACAAGCTCATTGCACTGACCACACGGGAAGAGACCGTCCGAGTCGTCCGAGTCCTGGCTGCCGTCGCTGTCCTCGTCGCCGTCCTCGTCCTCCTCGTCGTCCTCGTTGTCGGTATTCGACTCGCTGTCTAGCTCTTGCATACGCCGTGATGCCGCCCGTCGCGTGTTGTGTCGCGGAAGGACGTCCATAGCCAATGCGCCGTTGCTGGTGTGACCTCGAGGCCCAGTTGAGTGTCTGCTTGAGCCGTTGGTGCCTCGCGTGCCGTTTGCCGCCCGCGCGTGTTTCAATCCACTGCGCTTGTTGCCGCCACGAGCGTGGGTGTTGTCGCCTTCAGCACCACCCTCTTCGTCCTCATCGTCGCCATTATCGTCACTAGCCTCATCATCCTCGTCATCCTCGTCGTCATCGTCGTCGTCGACGTAATTGTTGTTGTTGTTGTTGTTGTTGTTGTTGTGGTGGTGGTGGTTGTTGTTGCTGTCGCTGTCGGCGTGGTTGTGAAAGCCACCGTGTGGACGGCGGCCCCGAGCGCTGGGCAAAGTCGAATCGTCGTCCCCGTCTCCGTCGTCGTCCTCGTCGTCTTCGAGAGGTTCGGCATCGCTGTCCTCTTCATACTGATAGCGTCGACCCGCGTTGCGGCTTTTGCCGTGTCCGCCAGCACGCTTCTCGCGGTGGATTGCGCCAAACGGCGTGGCGGCGTCCAGTGGAGCCTTTGGGCGCGGAGGCCGACTTGATTTGCGAACGCTGCCGTTGCCATGCTGTGCTTGCTGCTGGCGGAAGTGTGTGCCGTCATCCCCGGCCATGGCGCGGCGATTCGAGGGCGATTTTCCGAGCAAATGGCGGCTGTCTGGACTGGCACCCTGGGCCAGCCGCATCTCCTCCTCCTGCTGCACCTGCGAGTTGATGGCTTGCTTTTGGACCTGGTACCGTCGCTTGTCATCGTCGGCGAGCCGGTTGTACTTTGCCTTGTCCTCGTCCGTCAACTGCTTCCAGCTGGCAGACAGGAGCTTGCCAATCTCTGCAAACGTCGCAGTTGGGTGCGCTGTAATCACAGCTCGTCGGTGGTCGCTGGCGTAAAAGAGAAACGCCGAGCGTGATTTCTTGGGCAGATTTCGACGAATCTTCCGTTTGCGCTCCCGTCTTCCGCCTGGCGTGACTGGCGTCCACGGCGACGCAGCCGGACCAACAGGCATGTGTTGCTGCTGCTGCTGCTGTTGCTGTTGCTGCTGTTGAGGAGATGCGACCGCCATCGGCATGGATGGGTGATGGTGACTGTGCGACGACATCACGGGCAGATTGCTGCCTTCTTGATATGGAGCGACCCGAGCAATCTGTTGCTGCTGCTGCTGCTGCCCCGCGCCCGCGTACAGCGCAGGCCCAGAAGGAGGCGACGTATGCATGTGCATTGGAACAGCAGATGACCCCGGGAACGTAAACCCGGGTGGCGACGGCGCGGCCTTGGACGCAGAAGACGAACCGCCCGCAGAAGAGGAAGGAAGCATTGCCCGTTTGGCCGCGCCCGGCGGAGTGTAGAAGGACGCAGGCATCACTGGGCCGGCAGGGCCGCTCGAGGACTGACTGGCACTACTGCTGACAGCGCCCGAGCTGGGCCCTCGCGAGGACGAGCGATCCGCGCTGCTGCTGGCGCTCAGATTGTTGGCGGTTGCTGCTGTCGGAGAAGAAGCTCCCTGACTCTGCATGAATGGATTGTATTGCTGTGGTGCTGCTGTCTTTGTCCATGCAGGTCCACTGCTGGTGCTGCTGGTGCTGCTGCTGCTGTCGTGCGGGGCGGGCGACGACTGCGAGTGTGACTGCGACGGCGACTGCGACGACGACGTCTCTGGTGACGCGAATGAGTTGGCGACTGTCTGAGTGAGCAACCCGCGATCGCTCATGCCGCTCTCCCCGCCTTCGCTGAGCAAAAACGTGCTGCACACTGGGAGCGAGAACGGGACCAATCGGGGGTGAAGTTGTGACTTGATGTGGGAGAGCGAGGTGCGGATCGATTAGACTGTGACGAAAGTGCTGCAACTGTGTGAAAAAAAAAGAAAAAAAAAAGTTGGTTCTTGGCTTGGAAGAGAGAGCGAGAGAGAGAAGAACAGTCAGCAGAAAGGAAAGGAAGAAACTAGAAGAGACACACTCAGTTGGATGAGGTGACCGGGAGAAGGGGAGAGATGAGAGAAGCGCGGTCGAAAAAAAAGAGAAAAAAAAAAAGGAAAAAAAAAAAAAAGTCTAGTGTTGGGTAAAAAAAGACTGAGAAAACAAGATCAATGCGATTGGAGAGTGACAACAATTGGACATGAAGAAAGCCACGGCGTTTGTGAATTGTTGCGATTGTTGGGATTTTTGGTTTGTTCTTTTGGTTACAGAAACAATCACAGACAGAAAATGCAAAAAAAAAAACGATTGGCGTGGAACGACTGATGTTTTGTTGTTGTTTTAGTTGTTGGTCAGCATATCGTTGACTAAAAAGGAGGCAAAGGGGAGAGGAAGTGGTAACACAAGAAGGAGACAGAGCACAGTGAGTCAACAAAAAACAACAACAAAAACAACAACAAAAACAACACAGCTGAATAATCGCCCGCTTACCATTCATTGGCATTTCCTCGATTTGGGTTGCATAATACTGCTCAATGTCGCGGAGGGTTCGGACGTCGTCGTTGGTGACAAAGTTGATGGCAACACCAGATCGGCCAAAGCGGCCCGAGCGACCAATTCTGCACGTCACAAGGATTGCAGGATCAGCGAGAAAAATCAGGCCCAAGGGTGAGACAAGGCCATACACAACAGAAGAATGCAAAAACCACCGCTGAACGAACGACCTACCGGTGAATGTAGTTTTCACGGTTGATTGGCAAATCATAGTTGATGACAAGCGAGACTTGCTGCACATCAATACCACGAGCCCACAGGTCGGTGGTAATGAGCACACGGGTGGCACCAGAGCGGAATTGCTTCATGATTGTGTCACGCTCCTTCTGGTCCATTTCACCGTGCATGTGCGACACGGTAAAGTTGGCCTTGGCCATCTCCTCTGCAAGGAATTCGACCTGCAATTCAAGCATACGGAAGTGAGAAGAGTGAGATGCATGCGAGACGGCGTAACTGATATCACAACAGCAACAACAGCAACAACAGCAACAACAGCAACAAAACAACAAAACAAGAACAACAAAAACTTTCAGTCTCCAAGCCGCGACATACCTTGCGACGCGTGTTGCAGAAAATGACCGCTTGGGTAATAATGAGTGTGTCGTACAAGTCGCAGAGCGTGTCAAACTTCCACTCTTCCCGCTCGACCGAAATGAAGAACTGCTTGATGCCTTCGAGGGTCAACTCATCGCGCTTGACGAGGATGCGGATGGGGTCGGTCATGAACTTGGTGGTAATCTCGAGCACTTCGTGCGGGAGGGTGGCACTGACAATGACCACTTGGGTGGTCGGGGGCAAGTATCGGTAAATGTCGTAGATTTGCTCCTTGAAGCCGCGCGACAGCATCTCGTCCGCCTCATCGAGAATGAGCATCTTGATGTTGCGTGTGCGCAAGTGGCGGCGCTTGATCATGTCAAACACACGGCCGGGGGTGCCCGAGACAACGTGTTGGCCATAGTCGAGCTTCTTGATGTCTTCTGCAACACTGACGCCACCGATGCAAGCGTGGCACTGCACGCCCATATAGTCGCCCAGCGCAAGCACAACCTTTTGGATTTGCTGTGCCAATTCGCGCGTTGGCGAGAGCACCAGTGCCTGCGTTTCGCGGGTGGCAGGCTCGACACAGTTCAAGGCCGAGATGGAGAAGGTGGCCGTTTTACCGGTGCCGGACTGAGCTCTGTTGGCAGGAAAAAAAAAATAAAGTGAGAATGTTGTTCGCAAAATGAGTGAATAGAGTCGCAATGGGAATTGTGTGTGGGAGGTGTGTTTTGGTGGTGGTGGATCACGACACGATGTCGTTGCGACTGAGAAGCATTGAAGAGCGAATGCCGCTTCCATCTCTGAATCTGCTGCGGCCGCCAAACGTGGCGCTCTGCCACAACGACCACAGCAGCAGCATCCGATCATCCATGCTAGTGCCGCCGCACGGCCACAGGCGAGGGCGGCCAAAAATCCGCCACAAACGCAGAGATCACAGCATTCAAAACAGCGAAACTCCTTGTCTGACTGGTCCCCCGCTCCCTACTGGTTGTGTGATGACACTACGCTTCAAGAGGCCAACGTACTGAGCAATGACGTCGCGGCCCTTGAGAATGGGGCGGATGGCGCGCTGCTGGATGGCGGACGGTTGCTCGAAGCCTAAAGCAAAGACACAATGCAGAAGCAGCAACCCAAAAAAAAAAAAAAAAAAAAAAAATCAAGAGCAAAGTGAGATGATGCACAACGAACGTAGTGATGAGCCAGAGACAGAAGGAGCAAGATCAAGCACAACGAAGGAGTGGGACAAACCACGCAGGCAGGCAGGGCGAAGGAAGCGAAAGGACAGGGGGAAAAGCGGAGAGCGAGGGAGGCTATACCATATGCATAGATGCCCTGGAGCAGCTCGGGCTTGAGGTTCATCTGGGCAAAGTCAGTCACAATGTCGACGCCAGACGAGGTCTCGAAGACCATGGCGGCATCGTCGGGGTTGAGCCGAGCGTTGCTGCTGCCGGAAGCGCGGTTGTTGTTGCGACGATCGCTCATGGCTACACAAAAAGCAGAAAAAGAGTGGCTGCTTCACAGTTCGAATGACTATTATGATGTGCATTCTGGCAACGAAAATGGCTCTGCAGGTGGGTTGTAGAGGTGGCTCAGTATTTTGCTCTCTGAGCAGTGGCTGAATGGGTGGATGCGTGACGTTTGATCTGAGCCATTTCGACCCACAGCCAGCACTTTTTTTTGTGTTTTTGTAGCACTTGCACTTGCTCTGGATCTCCCATGGACCCGATTCCACAAATATCACTGCACATTGTACAATTGGGTTTCCCCGACCGCAACGGGACGCTGTCCATTTGCGAATTTTTGGTAACGCGACTGTTTGAGTGTGCGGTCAGCAAAAGATCCCAGCAGCAGTGTCTTCACTTTGCTGACAGCGAGGCGCCCGCAGGACTCGACGGCCGCGCTGGCTCGTGCTCCATGTTGATTCAGCCATCTATGGATGGCGCCGCACGCAGGGAAGGTTGGGGAGGACGCGTGGGAGGGAGAACGGGCGCGCCTGAGCCAGCCAGCTGAGCAGAGGAGGGCGCCTGGCTGTTTGGTTTGTGGTTTGGACGCAAACAAAAGTCGCTTGCCTCGCTCGACGCCACCGTCCGCCCGTGCACAGAGCAGCGGCGACACGTTGACACGAGACACGTTGGCTCAATGCACCTGGGTTGGTGGAATGGGGGGACGAGGCGGGCGGCAGAGGGGCAGGGGTTTCCCGCCATGCAGGCGTGGGGCTGTTTTGCATTGCATTTTGGCGCGCATGCGGCTTTTGGACGAACGGGAATTCCCCTCCCGCGCCTCGTCCATCGGGTCCGAGCTGGAGGCTGCAGGTGCTTCATTTGCTTGACGAGTGGGCAACAGCGGGGAAGGCAGAGCAAAAGGGGCGACGAGTGGGGGGACACGGGAGAGACAGGGTACCGTGATACGATGATGCGAACGTCCGCAAGAGATTCAAAGGGCAGTTTAGTGAGCTTTCGTAAGAGTAAAATGCCGCCAAGCGATTCTTTTTTCCATATCCATGGCTGCGTACAATCACGAGATCGCGCGTTTCGGCTGCTTGTCGCACGGCAAGGTCGGCCGCTGCCTCACAATGCCGACACCTGGCTGCAAGTATCTCTGCCGGGTGGCGATCGCGAGCGGAAGGGGGCTCAGCTTGGGGGCAGACAAGGGGGAAGCAGGGTCTACCAGCCGAAAAACCAAAAAAAGGCGCCAAACTGATCCTTCTCGGTTACTGCGCGACTCTTGTCAGTCTGGCCCGACCACATCGATGGATCGCGTTGGCTTGGCATTGCTCGGGTGGCTGGCACTTCGCGACGGGCAGCGAAGGCGGGCGAGGGTCGGATCTTTGGTCTCAATCCAGCTGGCTGGTAGATCTCATTCCGTTGCCGGCAACACGCGATTTGTCATCAATAATCTCTGCCTTCTTTCCCCTTTCACCTATCTCCATCTCGTCATCAATCCACGCCCACTTTTGCTCGCTGACCCCTCTCGTCGTCGTCGTCGTGTTGATGCATCGGGATGTTGCGTTCTGCCGTGCCTTGAAGTCTCGCCTTTGTGTTGTCTCGGTCTTTTGACTCACCTTCTCGTCTTCCATTCCACCTTGATCGTCGTGTCACTTTCTGTCTACTTCTTCTTCTTCTTCCTTCTCTTCTTCTTTCCTCGTTCTTCTTCTTCTTCTTCTTCTTCTTTCATTGTTCATTTTGGCAATCATCCGCAGTTTCCTTTCAAACCTTTTTCGTTTCACGCGCCAATACTTTGCTTGGACGTCTCTTTTTTTTTTGTGTTTTTTTGTTTTTGCAGACCAACCGTTTTCCCCCCGTCTCAACCTCTCTTGCTCTTTGTGTTCGTCGCTTGGCTGGTGAGCAGCGGGCATCGAATCTGGGTCGCGCAGAGATGGACGCAGAGACGCCTGTCGACGACGAGCAGGGCCGGTCGTCGTCTCCGTCATCAACTCGCTTGCGCTCCACAGCTCCTCGCCATGATGATCGGCCAGTCGTGAGCGAGCCGGCGGCCGACCCCTACGACATGTTCTCATCAGACCCGGCATCCGACACGCCAGTCGCTGCACCGCAGCCACACCCGCAGCCAATACCAAGGACGACGGACGAGCGAGCAACTGGCACGCTGCATTCCTCCTCCTCTTCTGCTGCTGCAGAGGCTGCTCCTCCGACGTCGCCTCGATCGTCGTCATCATCTGCTTCCGGCGCCTCTTCAGATCCATCACTGTCTCGGATGCTCCACGAGTCCAATCCAGAGCAGCTGGACACACTCGAGCCCGCAGCCAGCCGCACCTCGCCAATCTCGGTCGGCATCAGCTTTGATGGCGGCCATCGGTCCTCCGACGCGTCACCCTCGAGCAATCGACGGTCTGAGTTTGCTCGAAGGCGCAACTATGACGATTTCATTTCCAACGGCGTCGACCCGGCCGACCGAAGGCACGCACCAGCACGCCATGCCAACAACGACGACGACGACAACAACATGAACAACCACCATGACGGCGACGAAGACGACAGCAGCAACCACAGCAACAACAACAACAACGACGACGACGACGACGACCATCCAGCATTGCGCACCAGCGCGACAGACCAGGCTGAGACCGAGTCTGGCGCAGAGACTGACGCACAAGCAGCAGGCTCCTCCGACGCCGAGCGATCGACACGAACACGCGTCAAAGTGTACACGCTGAGCGATGACAGCGTGTGGGTGGATCAAGGCACCGGGCACGTCACTTGCGAGCGACAAGAAGCCAACCTGTGGGACATTATCGTTCGCTCTGAAAACCCGGAGCAATCCGAGTTGTTGCGGAGCAGAGTGACGACAGAGGACATTTACCGACGACAGCAGCAGACGTTGATTGTGTGGAATGATAGTGCAGACAACCAAAACCTCGCTCTCAGCTTCCAAGAGCGGAGCGGGTGCTGGGACATGTGGAATCAACTCTCTTGGCTGCAAGGGCTGGACCCCAACCGCGACCCGACCGACGACGACGCTCAGGACGCCAGCACGCGCGCTGCTACGAACGGCAACCGCAACCACGACGAGGATGGCGATCTTGGCATCAGCACGCTGCGACAAAACGGCGACACTGTCTTTATGCAAGACCATTCCGACGAGGCTGACACGTTCGAGGACGTTGAAAACGCGCACGCCTTTGCCTTTCCCACGATCGCCCTGGACAATCTCGCCGAGGTGGTTCTCTTCTTGTCGCGCCCTCAGCCGATTGTCAAGCGCGATCTCATTGTCACCACCATCCTCAACACCCCAGCTCTGGCCAAGCTGGTGGACTTGTTCAAGCAGTGCGAGGACTTGGAAATGACAGAGTCCTTGCACCAGCTGCATCTAGTGTTCAAGTATCTCATCCAGTTGAATGACAACAACCTGTTTGAGGTCTTGTTTTCAGAGCCGCACGTCATGCACGTCATCGGCGCGCTCGAGTACGAGCCCGACATGGTCGAACGACCACGGCATCGCGACTATCTCAACACCACGTCCGTCTTCAAGCAAATCATCCCCATCACCAAGCCCGGCATTGTTGCCAAAATCCACCAAAGCTTCCGCGTGCAGTACATTCGCGACTTTGCACTCCCGCGCCAGCTTGACGACCCCACCGCCAACTCGCTCAATTCATTTGTCTTTTTCACCAACACGGACATTGCCTCCGCCTTGCACAACGACGAGGAGTTTATGGCCGAGCTCTTCCGTCTCCTCAAAGAGCCAGAGTTGACTGACACCGAGCGCAAGGATTTGGTGCAATTTTTGGAGGAATTTTGCAATCTGTCTCGCTCGTAAGCGGTTTTGGCTTGATTTTTTGTTTGTTGTGACGCTGGCAAATGTTGTCGCTGTTGTTGAGTTGAAGGTGATGGTGTTTCGCTCATGTTTTCTTCGGTTTTGCCCACTTTTTTTTTTGTTATGTGCGCGCACAGATTACAAGTCCACGAGCGGCCACAGGCCTTCCAGTCCTTGGTCGACAAGGGCATTCTCCAGGTCGTCATGACTTCGTTGCAGCACGCAGACCCGAGCATCCGCAAGTGTGCTTCCGAAATCCTCGGATACATTACGCTCGTGGATCCAGACCTGATTCGTCGCTACATTGTCGCCGAGCGCTGGCCTGCACAGTCAGGCCGAGCTCCGCTCACGATGGCCCAGCGTCGTGCACAGCTACCACAGGCGTCACAGCTGCTCAAGCTGCTCGCCGAGCGCGTGCTTCAGGACGACGACATTGGCATTGTCGGCCAGCTCACCGAGGTCCTGCGCAGCCTCTGCGAATCCACCCTGCAATCCGAGCACATGGTCGCCTTCTTTGCTGACTGCGTGCCAGTCCTCACCCAAGCCATCATGTCTGCCATTCCCAACGCAACAGCCATTCTTGCACAACTGATTGCAACCGTCAACGCTGGGAATGCAGCAACAGCTGGCCAGCACGTTGCCACGCCCTTGTTGCGCAACGATTCCATTTCATCCGTCGCAACCATTTCTCTCGGCGCAGGCATGGACAACAACAGCACAGACGGAATTCCAGAGCTGGTTCGCTCCAGCAACAGCTCGTCAGCCACTTCCCAAGATGCATCTTCTGCTGCTGGAGCCGCCTCTCCCATGCGAGGAGGCAGCACGCCTCGAGTCGTCTCTGGCTCTGGTAGTGTCACTCCAGTCCCTCTCGAAGCAACGCAACCCGTGATTGCCAGTTTGCCGACCACCCAGCCCGCGTCGCTCGAATCCTTGGCTCCCGCGTCCCCGGTCTCCATTGCAGCCTTGTCCATCCCTTCCGACATTCCCTTGTTTGATGTGGACAGTGGTAAGGCAAAACCCCAGTTTCAGCCCCTCGTTTTTTTTTTTTTGAAACGCTTTTTTCGGGGTCTTGTCCTTTCCAGTCTCAATGCGTCGTCTCCACTCACTCACTTACTCACCCACACAATGTCCTTGATCACTTGCTCTCTGTAGTGCACCCAGTGACGTCCGTGGCGTTCAATCACATTCTCGAGTTGTTCATTTCGTGCCTGCAGCAAACTTCCGTTTGTCGCCAGCTGTACCCGTCGCTGCAGCAAGACGACTTTTTGGCCCACGTTGCGCTTTTGCTCTATTGCAAGCAAAAGTTTGTGGCATTGGGTATGTGATGCGTTTTCTTCGTTTTTTTTTTTTTTTTTTTGGCTGCTGCTGCTGGGAAAAATTGGCGCTCACCTAGTCCTTTTCTCCTGCGCGCTTGCTTCATTCAGCTGCACTGCGACTGCTGAAAAACGTGTTTGTTTGCCGTCGGGACGAGAACATTCTGCAGTATCTCGCGAGCAATGGCCTCTTCTTCCCTCTCGTCGACATGCTGGTGCGCAACGGCGATCGATACAATTTGATGAATTCCGCATTGATTGACTTTTTCAACCTGATCAAACTGGTACGATTCTTGCGTGTCTTGTTGTTTCTGTCGTTTTGGTTTTTTTCTCGAGTTGTCGACTGATTTTCCATGATTTTTTTTTTTTGGGCTCTTTTGACAGGCAAACGTTCGCTTCCTTCTCTCCCACATTGTACAACACTACGAATCGCACCTGGCAAACATTCACTATGTCCCCACCTTCCGCGAAATGATTGAGCTGTTCCGTTCCTCCAATTCTCCACCTGCTCCACAGGAACAGTACGTCTTCTGCTGTGTTTTTGAATTGTTGTTGGCCTGGCTGTCCACGCTCGAAATTTTCTTCACCAACTGATTGTGCACCCTGATCGTTTGTAACTCCTCTCAGGACACCCCTCCGCAGTCGCTTCCGCGAAGCGGATGATCAGGATGCTTGGTTTGACGAGGATCAGGATGATTTCGTCAAGCAATCTCCACCCGCCCGGGGCACTTCGCCCACCAACGACGATGACAAGGACGATTTTCTGGATCGCCGCGAGTTCCACGCGCGTCACCAACGGCGCTCGTCTTCATGTAAGCGCTGAGATGTTTTTTTTTTCTTTCTTCCCTCCAACTTGTCGATTTCTTCTTGTTGGTCACTTATTTTTGTTCTCATTCCTTTTGTCTCTTTTTACAGCGGCCATCGAATTGATTTCCAATTATCGCGCGGACGACGAAGATGAAGAGGACGAGGAGGACGGATTCGTTCGCCTCAAGCTTCCTGCTGCGTCGCCCGGCACCACGAAAACCGGCTCCTCGCCTGGTGGTACGCCAATTGTGGGCGCGCTTCGTCTGGCCTTCTCCGTTGGCGCGGGTAGCGGACTATCGAATCCGTCGAACGCACCACCCCTTTCACCTCCCATCAAGTCGGGCGGGATTTCGATCGCCACCAGTTTGGACCACCGCCCGCCTGCTCTGCACGAGCCCGAGGGCCACTCTTCTCCAGCAAACGCCGCCACCTCATCCGGCGGTGCCAACGTTCTCGTGCCAGAGCACGACAATCGTCACAATCATCACGGCACCACAAGCAGCAATGCGGTTGATCTCGATGCTGCGCTCGTGCACTTGCCGCATGGCCGTTCTTTGTCCCCGCCAATCACGCGGTTTGGTGCAGGCGCTTCGCCACCGCCATCCGCGGTGCGGTTTTCTCACTCTCCAGGCAACTCCCCGCCGCTTGGTCTTCTGCCCGAGCCGCACATCCCGATCGCGGTCAAGCGCTCCTTCCACGCGTTGACGGCCGATGATCATTTATCCCCACCGTCGGGAGCACTGGCATCACCGCATTCCTCTTCTCACCAACCCAGCGAAACAAGTCCAGGTCGCGGCCGCCCAGCTCCGACTGCCACGTCTCCGCCTGCGGGCGCTCCTGCTGCGTCCTCGACGACTTCACCATCAAGCACATCCTCACCATCCGCCACGTCATCGACGTCGGCAGCCGTGGCCAGCACCCCAGAGGAGTCGTTCTCAGCATCAACAAAGCGGCCTCGTCTTGACACGACTGCTGTCTGAAGCTTGACTGAAGTATACAGCGACCCATCCATCCATCCTTCCACCAAAGATACTCATTTCTTCATATCCACACAAATTGTCATGTAATAACAATACACGTTGCGATTTTTATCCCCCTTGCGACAAGATTTTTTTGTTTGTTTCCAAGTGTATTTTCCAACAGGTGTCAAAGCACGAATGCAAGTAATAGAGCAGGTATGCGGTGAAAAACACCAACTGGTCAAAGGCAGAGGTACAAGGCAAAACAACAGGACCAAAAGACACGACAAAAAAAATCAATGTTACAAGGCATCTTCTGCCGCCATGGCTTTGATTGGCGTGGCTGCAAACTCTCGCGCCAACAAGACTTCGAGCGCCCTCCTCAACGAGGTCGTCCACACGGCGCGTTGCTTTTTGTCTTCACAGGAGAATTCAAACTCGCCACCGCTGGAGAATTTGAGAACAAAAGTATCCGCTCGGTCGCCTGGTGCACGATGTGAATCAAACAAACACCAAGTTTAGCGCCCCAGAACAAACAAGCAGGCATGCATACAGAAAGCGACGACGACATGGCGCTGGTGGCTGTGTCCCACTTACCAGCAGCGTTCGGTTGGCGCCGTACTTGACGCACTTCAACCAAAGCCTCAATCGGCAGGCTCTCCACAATCGCGGACGAGCTCGTGTCAATCGAGCGTTTGCGTGTGTCTGGATCGGTCTTCAATTGGGTTATCACGAGATCTCTGCGTGCAGCACGAGCGTTGTTGAACCAACAGCAGAACAATTCAGCATGAGCTTGTCGAACAAAACTGACGGCTCGGAGACGCGCACGCATCCTTCAATCGTACATACCGTTCTGTACTGCTGAGCTGCAAAAGCACTGGGATGGCCGAGTTGCCTCGATGAAGGTCAAACACGTCTCCTGCAAGGATGCACCCAGCCACAAATTTCCATGAGAACAAATCTGCAGCGCAAACCAGCAGCTCCAGCAAAAAAAGCAAAAAGAGCAGAAACTTCTTACCTTTTTGAATCACCTTGAGGTAGAGCCTAAAGAACTCATTCTCCCGCTCGACCTTGGGCTTGCACGCCTTGCACACGCGGACTGGGTCTTGGTATCCGAGGCGCATGACTTGCAGCTCGTTCTCACAGCAGCTGCTGCAGAACAAGTCGCCGCATCGCCTGCAATGGTGCTATAATTGACCAATCCAGAAAAAGTCGAACAGTCCACCAGTGAGCACTAAAACACAACGCACCTACATATGACCTCAGAGGGTCGTTCAGAGGGTTCGGTTCGTTCAGAGGCACATCTTCCAATGGGTGGCACACAATTACAACAAGTCTTTGTAAATTCTCCATTCCCCCCAGCCAAAAGCCTCCCTCCGTTGCCCCCAAGCCTCCCCGTCTCCTCTGTGGAAGGAGCATGCTGCCTGCTCTACATCCACCACAGACTCAAACAGAGCCCCCCCACCTCCCCTCGAAGGGCACTGGCGTCCAAACGGCCCTCGAAACGAAAGCGACTGAGCGCGACGACGCATTCCATGGGCCTATTGTCTCGATTGCAGTGGACCGCGACTCGGCTCGCTTACCCGGCGCACAAAGAACGAAAACCCCTCGTTGCAGGCCATGCACGCGTTGCAGGTCGTGTCGGCGCGCCAGCCTGGCTCCTCGAGCTGGAATGGCGTCGGCCGCTCGTCCGGGTTCATCCAGCGCTGGCCGCCACGGCCGTACACGAGCACCTTGCCCGTCGCCGCAGCGCTGCCGCCACCAGGGACGTCGTCGTCGTCTGAGTCGTGGCCGTTGTTTCGGGCGCCAAGTCCCCCGTGCGTGTCGTCAAAGTGGGTCAGCGAGTCGCGCGCGTCGAGCTGTGCGTAATTGGTCGTCGCGGTCATCGCTTCCTCTCTCGGTTGGAAAAAAGTTGAATGGGAATTACAAAAGAGTGAGACTGGCGAAGATTACAAAAGAGACTATTGTCGAGCACAAATTTGTAGAGGCAAATTTGTAGAGGCAAATTTGTAGAGGAAGGCGGTGGAGAGAGAGTGAAAGTGAGACTTTGAGCACAGATCTTTAGCGAATGACTTCAAAATTTCCTGCAGACTCTCTCGTGCGAACGCAATGCAGAAACGCTGATTCCGCTTGAGTAGCATGGCATGATATTCTCAGTAGCAACCCTTACACTGTTGCTGAATGAAAGAAGACCCGGGGGGTGGGGGGAAGCCAGCCACCCCAAAAATGGGCGCCAAAATTTGCGCTTTGCTCGTGCCTCGCCTTCCTCCCTCCTTTTCTCAAAACAAGCTCAATGGCGCGCGTCATTGTGCTCTGATTCTGGGTTCTGCTGTCCCATCATTACGCGATGTGCAACTGGAACTCAGAATGACATTCCCGAGCCAGCAACAAAAAGCCAGAAAAGACGTCACCATCGAAAAAAAAGAGCGGGTCTGAAAAGTACGCGTTTTTTTTGACAAAGAATGGCAATCTGTTGATCTTGCGCTTCCACAAACACCATCCTTCGTGTTTACGTGTATTCTTGCCATCCATCAAGCGCACCCAGACACCCGCCACACGGCACCCGACACTCTGGATCTTTGGTTGCAAAACACAAAAGTCCAAGCAAGAAGTGAAGCTCATTCTTTTTTTTTTTCTTTTTTTTTTTTCTTGTGCTTTAGAACCAAATGGTACGAATTGTTATTTTTTATTATTATTTTTCTATTATTTATCCCCACAAAACAAGTTTTTTTTTTTTTTTTAGCTCCTTTTCTATTGCTTCCTCTCTTGCTCGGCTCGACCGCCGCGCCCCCTCTTCAGCAGCAGCAGGAGTGCGACAGATGATTGCAGCGCCATGGCTGTTGGAAAGTGAGCGCGGGGAAGGCGACTGCTGGCAGCAAAGGATAAGAAAAAAAAAAAAAGAAAAAAAAAAGAAGCAAACAACAACAAAAACAACAAAAAAATTATTATCCTTTTTTTTTTTTTGTTGTTGTTGTTATTGTGTGACATTGCCGTTCCGCTTTCATCCGCTCGTTCCCATCCTCCCGACCAGCCCAGCGGCTGCCTCCTGCGTGTGCCACGGCGGTCAGACTCGCGCGTGATGGCCGCTGCGGTGACCGAAGGCGGACTCCCCGGGCAACAACAGCAACTTTGGCTGCGATTCCAGTCAGCGTTTTTGGTTTTTTTTTCATAATATTAAAAAAAAAACACAAAATTTTGTTCGTTCTGTTCGAACGATGCGATGCTGCGTTGACGGCCAGCAGGGTGCTGCCACGCCACCCTACCCTTCTACAGCAGCAGTCAGCGTGGTGTGGCTGGCGGCGGCGAGGCAGCGGGCGCGTTGGAGGGTGCGCGAGCGGGGCGTGCGGTTCGTGAGCGCGGTTGCGATTAAAAAAAAAAATAAATAAAAAAAGCTCTTCTGAGCTCAGCACTGAAGGTTTTTTTTTTTTTTTGTTTTTGCTCCGGCTCTCTTTTGGCATTGTGGCTCAGGATCAGTTTGCTGCTGTTGCACGACTAGATTTGATGAACAGAGGGATATGGGGCGGGGACGGCGAAGACATTGAAGAGGTGAAGAGCGGGGTAGCTTGTCGCTCCTCAACCAACTTTTTTTTTTTTTTTTTTTTTGGTTCTTGTTCTCGCTTTTGTTGCGAAAATGTGTCATTGATTGCTGGGCCCCCGTGCTCCTTGTCCCATGGCTGAATCCGGGCCCATCGCGAGACAAGGGCACGGTCAAAGGTCGGTTGTGGCGGGATGGGGGGAAGGGAAGGGAAGCAAGCAAAACCTGAAGTTTCCAATCGTTTTGTTTTATTTTGTCTGTCTGGCTCCTTTTTTTCGTTTGGGTTTTTGCATTCGTCTTTGCTCGTTGCCTCACTCCCTGGTCGTCTGGTGCGATTGGTGGTCAATGAACACTAACACTGCCTGAGGTTGGGGGCTGCATGGTGTGGATGCCCTGCTCGTTGGAATGCGGCAAAGTGTGCGGTTGTCGACACCCAATGCTGAAATGCTGGACGAACATTTTTTTTTTTTTGAAGCTGCTTTTCCATTCAGTCTGCCGTATGAAACTTTTTTTTTTGTTTGATTCTGTTCTTTCATTCCACACGCGCACACACACACACTATACTACGACCAGCATAGCCACGTTTCCCCTCCCCCCCAAATCATTCTCTGCCAGGGTCACATTTCTCTGTCGCATGTGTCTCGCCAATTTTCATCATTTTTTTCATTTTTTTTTTCATTTTTTTTTTGCTCTCAATGAATTTTTTCGTTTCCTTCATTTTTTTGCCATCTGTCCTTTGCAATGCGTATGAAATGCATTTTTTATTCGTTATTTTATTATTTGATTATTCTTTTTATTTATTATTTTATTTTTTATTTATTTTATTTTTCAATTTGACTACTCTGCGTGAACCGCTTGAAAAGGAAAAGTGGAACTCTTTTCGTGTTCATTATTGTGCCGTTGATTTGTGCCCTTGCTTTTGTCTGGCTGGCTGGCAGGCTGGCTACCTAACTGTCGCTTTGTCCGCACGCCTGCTTGTCGAACGACCGACAACACAGCACAACACAGCACTGCATTGGCGCAGCTGATCTGCTTCAGGTTGACGCTGCAATCTGCCGCTTTTTTTTTTCATTCCACTCTTCGCCCTCGCACATGGACGCCCTCCCCTCACATCATTCCTCGTGTTATCGCCTCTTTCTCTCTCTCTCACTCTTTCTCTCTCTGGCCCTTTCTTGCCTTTTATCTTTTGGTTTTTCATCCCTTTGTTGATCTGCCCCCAACCAATTCCATAAAACTCACTTTTTGTTTTTGTTTTTGTTTTTGTGATGAATTGCGATTCGCTTGCTTCCCCACACAGGCCAACTACGACTTTAGCGCCAACGCCCAGAAATGGGAAAAGTTGTTCATCCAGGCCATCCGGAGCGTCGGCCACCAGGTGCATCCGGGACTGACGATTGAGGAGGAGACGCTGGTCTATGTGGACTCGCTGCTCTACCAAGTGCTGTCCTTCCTGTGCACACCGGCCCCGCGCAAGATCCAGGACGTCGAGGACCGCGTCAAGGCAAACTTCCCCGAAGACCTGACCCAGTGGGCCGTCCGCGAAGCCCAGGATGCCCTCCGCAAGTACAAGGACAACAAGAAGAAGAGCGCCCAAATCCTGTCCTTCCCCGTCGAAAAGGTCTACCAGAAGCTCTTGAAGGAAATTAGCGCAACGGTAAATATCAAGGCCGAGTACGAAGTGTCTGTCTACATTAACGCGGTGCTCGAGTACGTGTCCGCCGACGTGCTCAAGCTCGCCGGTAACTACACGGACAACTGCAAGCGCACCAGCATTACGCCCAAGGACGTGAACGTGGCCATCTCGGCCGACCGCGTCCTCGACCAGCTCTTCAAGTTCAAGTCGGACAAGCCCGTGCCCAAGAAGGTTGTCCACTCAAAGGAGGAGGCTGTGCGCGACATGCTTGCCGTCGAGACCAAGTACATGCGCGATGTGGACATGGTGGTCAAGATTTTCCTCGAGCTCTTTGAGAGCGCCAAAGACTCGGATCCCTCGCTCTTCACCGAGCGCAACATTGTCTACATTTTCTGCAACATTCGCGAAATCCACGATTTCGAGCGCGAGTTTGTGTACGCCCTCGAGGAGGCGCGAGAATTCAACCCCAAGAAGCCGCTGGTTGGCGCCATTTTTGAAGACATGGCACTTGAAGAAAAGTTTGAAGTCTACAGCGAGTATGCCGCCAACTTTGAGAATTCTCGTCGCGAGCTTGAGGCCATTCTGCGCGATCCCCGTGTGATTGCCTTCCTTGAGGTACAGTTGATTTTGTTTCTTTTTTCGAGTGATGATTTGTGTTGCTGTGACTCATCCTATTTCTTTTTTTTTCCCCCCCCCCGTTTTTCTTGTGTGTGTTTTCTTGTGTTCAGGCCCGCAAAATGAAAGAGGCAGTCATGTATGTGCTGCCCAAGCTACTATTCGAGCCCTTGTACCAGGTCTTCCATTATTTCGACTTGTTGAAGATTCTGCTCAAGTGCACGGAGACGTCGGATCCCGACCACAACTCAATTCGCCAGGCACAAATCTCGCTCATGAACCTCGAGGACGAGCTGAAGCGCACTTGCAAGGACTTTTTGGTCAAGCGTAACAACACGTACCTGAAGCACGGCAAAAACTCGGCTGTGAGCGAGGGTATCTTCAAGGACATTCAAATGAAGATTGAGAACTGGGAGGGCTCTGATCTTGCCATCCAGTGCTCTGATCTGTACAAGGAAGGCCTGGTGCAGTCCAAGGACGCCGCTGGCTCCAAGATGCTCACCACTTCCAAGGAGCGCTACCTGATTGTGTTTGACAACTTGATTCTGCTGTGCAAGCCGCGCGGTCAGCCCTCTGCCAACTGCGACTTCCACGTCAAGGAGCGCATCAAGACCTCGTCGCTGACTGTGCGCGAGATCCAAGACACGGATGACATGAAGTTTGCGATCGAGATCACCACGTCGGACGGCAAGCGCTACCCGTTCGGCTGCAAGAGCCCGATTGAGAAGGCCGAGTGGCTCGAGGCCCTTCACACGCTCGCCGTGCGCCCCACGCTCGAAAAGACGCTGGACAAGAAGATTGCCGAAGCCGAGGCGTCCGACGGCCCGCTGCTCGAGCTGCTCAACCCTGGCCAGTACGTGTTTGCCCAACAAGACTCCGTGTCCAACATTCTGCACGAGACGGAAGAGGGCCAGACCAACGGCCCGCCCGTCATCAAGGGTGGCAGCATTTACAAGCTCGTCGAGCGATTGACGTACCCTTCGTACGCCGATCCCAACTATCTGACGCAATTCCTCATCACCTATCGCTCGTTCTGCACCCCGACCGATCTGCTGAACCTCCTCATTGAGCGTTACAACGTGCCCGAGCCCGTCAACGTGCCACAAGAGCAGCTGCTTCGTTTCCGCAAAAACTACATCACCCCGGTTCGCCTGCGTGTCTTTAACGTCTTCCGTCAATGGGTTGACAAGCACTACTACGATTTCGAGAACAACACCGACCTTCTCAAGCGCTTCCTCGAGTTTATCAAGGACTCGATGAGCGGCGACAAGAAGATGGACAAGGCCGTCAAGTCCTTGACGCGCGCCGTGCGCCAGCGCCGTGAAACAATCGAGAATGCAAAGACAATCATCTTCTCAGACCCGCCGCCGCCGACCGAGAAGGGCTCTGCCGCGTTGGACAAGATTGAGGACTTTGATGTTCTCTCGCTCTCTCCGATCGAAATTGCCCGCCAGCTCACGCTCATCGAGAGCGACATTTACCGCACCATCAAGCCCTCCGAGCTTGTTGGCCAGCCATGGGTGAAGAGCGACAAGGAGGAGCGCTCTCCCAACGTGCTCAAGATGATCCATCGCTTCAACGCGGTTTCGCGCTGGGTGGCTACCTGCGTCGTTGATACCGAGAGCCTGAAGGAGCGTGTCGATGTCATTATCAACTTCCTCGAGGTCCTCGCCGAATGTGAACGTCTCAACAACTTTAACGGCATGATGGAGATTCTCTCTGGTCTGCAAGCCACGTCCGTGTACCGTCTCAAGTTCACCTGGGCTGAAGTCCCAGCGAAGAAGCGCGCCATTTTGGACGACGCCGCCAGCCTTCTCTCGCGTGACGGCAACTTTAAAAAGCTGCGCGAGCGTCTGCACACGGTCAACCCGCCCTGCATTCCATTCTTTGGCATGTACCTCACCGATCTCACCTTCATTGAGGATGGCACCACCGACTATCTGCCCACTGCGAACGACGCAATCAAGCTGATCAACTTTACCAAGAGAAGGCGCGTCGCGTCGGTCATTGCCGAAATTGCGCTGCACCAGAACTTGCCATACAACCTGGCGGTTGTGCAGCTGTTGCAAGACTTTTGCTACCATGCCGTGTTTATTGAGGAAGAGGAGGGCTTTGCCAAGTCGCTCGAAATTGAGCCACGCAACGCCGAAAAGGCACCCGACGCTCCTTCAGGCAAGCCGACCCGCCTGCGGCGCTCGGCCTCGACTGCCTCGATGGCCAAGGACGGCAGGATGCAGCGCGCTAGCTCGCAACAGGACTTGAACGGATTCGACAGCAAGCGCCTGTCCCAAACCGGCGGCACGATCGGCAAGCGCACGGGGCGTGCCAACAGCGGCCAAACCGTCCTGGAAGACGAAGAGGAGGCCCCAGCCCCCGCTCCCGCTCTGCCGCCAAAGTCGCGCCCAGTCTCAGTCATGTCCGTGAGCCCTGACAGCCCCGGTGGCGACAGTGGCGCAGCCCCACCGATTCCCGCTCGCAACCGGCGCCAGAGCGAGGTGGGCGGCAGCAGCCCGCCCGTGTTTGGCCACGGCACCCCTCCGTCTCTTCCCCCCAAGGTCGGCATGCCTCTGACAATTGGCAGCCCATCGCTGTCGCACGGCTTTGGCGCGGGCCCCAACAGCCCTGGCCCTAACAGCCCCGGCGGCGGTTTCAACTCGAATTCGTTGAAGAACAAGGCTCCACCGCCATTGCCCCCGAAGGCTGGCGTTCCTGGGCTGAGCACCTCACCCAGCAATTCCAGCCCCGGCGTCCCTCCGATCAAATCGCGTCCTCTGCCCACCCCGCCGTCCTAAACTAATTCTTGGTTTGATGTTGTTGATGTTTTTTTTGCAAGCTCTGGCTTGCTTTTTTTTGTTTGTTTGTTGTTGTTCGGCGTGCTGTTTCTTCTTTTCTTTTCGTTGCAACTCTGCTTGTTTTTTGTACTCGGATCGTATTCCTGCGTTTCCCCGATCTTTTTTTCTGCTCGTACACGTGTCGTGTCAAGATTTTTTTTTTCGTTCCCTTCTGTTGATTTGATTTTTTTTTTCGGTGCTTCTTGTTCTTCCAGTCGTCGCCAGCTGTCTTTTTTGACGATTCCCCCCTCTCTGTGTTGTCTTTCTTCTTTGCGTGCTGCTGTGTTGCGCGATGCCGATTGCTTGTAGTCGTCGTTGTCGGTGTGCGTTATTGTGTTTTCAAAATGAACGATACCTCTTCCCACCTCCGCACTTTGTGAGGCTGTTCTAATTGGTTCTTGAAGCGTACAGTATCGCTTCAGTTACATCTGAGTAAAGGGGGCCCCAAACGGATCATGTTAAATAACAATTGTTTTGTTGTTTTGGTTCTTGGAAACAACAAGTCACAACAAGTCACAGCAAAAAAATACGCATCACTTTTGCGCGTCGTCCAAATCAGCCTTGAGGGACGGCTTTCGCACCGTGGCAATGCCATCCCCTCGGCGGACACACTCCCACTCGACGCGGAAGAAGATCCAGATAAATCTTCGGAACACTTCGAGCATTTCAAACATGAAAATGTACCATTCACCCGTCAGGTGGAGATGCGAGGAGAGCTTGAGTGACCAGGTCACGCGGAGGGCGAGATTGAGCGCCAGGGCGGCATAGTACGCACCAGCAGGGTAGAGCGTGTGTGGCCGTAGCAGCGGGCCGTTGGCTGCACTGCTTTGGAGCAAGCCCCAATCCATGCGAATGTCCCACACAAAGCCATACAGCGAGTTGATGGAGACGGCAAGCAGCCAGAGCATTCGGTAGAATGGCAGCCACTCTGAGCCCGGGTAGTTGCGCTTCATGGCAGACAGCCAAATCACAGGGAGAGCGCTCAAGTACTTTGTCGCGTTGAGCGTTTGGACGGCGGCATCGTGCGGCAAGCTATTGAGCCACGGGCCAAACAGCGGGATGGCATCAAATGCGATGCGATGACTGGCTGCTGCAGCGGCCGGTCCGCTTGGTGCAGCAGTCAGACTCGCAAGCGGCGACACTGACACGAATGCGGACGCTGACAACGGGGTTGCCGGATCGTGACCCTGGACGAGAGGTGTTCCCGCGACGACACCAGGGTTGGAATAGCCCGCGCTGGCGGCAGACGTTGACGACGAAGAGGCGCCGATGGAGAGATAATGCTGGCGAGCGGCAAGACACTGCCGTAGTCGCACCACGAACGGAACACTGATGATGATGGGGATGAAAAACGAGTGAATGCACCCAGGCAGCGCATTGTACGCGTCCTCCTCCAGGTTGTGCGTGTGCACATGGTCTGGATCGCCTCCAGACCACGCCACGGCCACAACGGTCGAAATGATGCAAATGGTGACTTCCATGTCGCCAAAGGCCTTGGCAAGCGAGGTCAAGCCATCCGCCACAAGCACCTCCGTGAAGGCGATGGGGACGCGTGCAGCAAACACGCGCCGGAGAATTCCCCACGCTGCCATCCGCTGTCGGTGGAAGAAGCGATCGAACGGCGACAGCAGTATCAGCAGCGCCGCAGCGTAGAAAATGACGGGATAGGCCTCGGGAATGAACACGGCGTCCGCTCCCGACCACAAATATCCCGTGATACACACGGCAAGCAGCGATCCGAGGACTCCCACTGCCTGAAATATTTGCCGCGGCTCCAGCAAGTCCTCTGTTTGTGAAGTGGGTGGTGATGCACCAAAGAGAATTTTTGCATGAGCGATTCCAATTTTTTTTTTTGGGTACTGCAATCAGAGCATAGAAACCCCGCTCAAAAAATTGAATCCGATTCAACAACCGTCAACAAAAATCTGCCAAAGTGGCCAACAATCACCCTCCAAAATGACGTAGGGCGGGATTCACACTGAGGGCCTTTTTTTTTTTTTTTTTTTTTTTCCCCATTTTTTTTCCTTCCTTTGCTTTCTGTTTTGTTTGCAGCTTCGGGTCGTTCGTTCTCGCTCATCGTTCACTCGACATTCGAAGCGTTTCATTCCTTTGAATCTTGACCTGCACGCTTGGAGCTGGGTGACCCCGCTCCCCAAAATCGGTTGGCAACCGACAGCAGCCACGTCGCTCTTCCCCGCCTTTCGTCCCTCTGACATTTTGCTCGTCCTTCCCACCAGTCGCTTCCACCCGATGTGCTCCGTGACACGACCATTAGTGTGGAACGCTTCAACTCGGACAGCGATGGAAGCGAGGCGAAACCACTCATTGAGAACGACGACGACGACGACGACGACGATGAAGACCAACCTGGGACCATGTTCAGCGCGCCGTGGTAGTTGATGCGGAGGGCCTTGAAGACGGAGAGATTGATGCCCCACAGGAACAGGAACAGGATCATGACGCCAGGCGCGCGGAAGAACACGGGCGTCGACAGCATCACGCTCACAGGCGCAGACGGTGGGTCGGCAATGCCTGACATTGGATCGACCTGCGCAACCAACGAGTGCACAACAAGCATTGACGCATTGCATTGCGGGGTGGTGAGGTTGGTGTTATAGTTTTAATAGCGAGATGCAGGCGCAGGTTAATCGAGGTGTCTGAGCATCACAACAAGCACACAAACTCACAACGAATAAAAGCTACAAAAAAGGCGAAAGTCGGGAGACAGCTCAGACAAGTTGACTGAGCCGTGTTCTCAGTTTGGCCAAAAACTCAGGGAATCGATGAACTGCAAATCAAAGCACACCAGCATCATCATGGTCGCTACATCATGATGCCAAACATCAAAACAGAGATTCCAAAACTCGCCCTTCCACTCGCTCTCCACCCCCACCGCTCACAATAAATTCGAAACAAAAGCAAGTGCAACGGGGTCAAGGCGAATGTCGGTTGTATCGAAAAAACAACAACAAACGCAGCAAGCAGCCGCTAACAGAGCAGAACAAACAAACAAACAAAATGTACAAAGAAGAATGCGCGAGCCCGCACAAACAACTTTTTACAAACGCAGCGAAAACAAAAAACAGAAAAGAAAAACGGAGCAACGAATCACAACAACAGCTTAACAGCGTTTTAGTTGCAGACGTACTGGGCGGCAGCGGAAACCTGGTCAGCAGTGTAGCCAGACTCGCACAGGTTGGCGAGAATGTACATGTACTGCATGCCGAACGAGCCAAAGCGACCGCAGACGCGCTCATAGGCGGCAACAGAGGCCTTGTAGCAGTCAAAGTCGTTGACGGCAAAGCGCGAGGCGACAAGGGCATCCTTGGCCTGCACGCCGGCAACGCGGGCGGTGACGGCGTGGATGGTGGAGGTGATGAACTCACGGCGGGCCTGCTGGGCGGTCAAGTCCATCTCGGCCTGGCGACGCTCGTCGTCGGTGGAGGCAGCAGCAAGGCGGCGGCGGTGGGTCTCGAGGTCGACGTCGCGGGAGCTGACCGAGTCCTTCTTCGAGGCAGGAGCGGGGTGGCCAAAGCCGTGATGCTCAATCTCGGTGTTGGGGAAGGTGAGGAACTGGCGGATCATGAGCGCATCGAGGGAGAGCTGGCCATACTCCATGACGTGCGACAGGTTGGTGAGCTGCTGGACGGCGAGGAATTGGTCCTGGAGGCTCTCGCTCTGGAGGTTGGCGGCAATGTCCGTGTTCTCCATCCAGTTGACCGAGTAGAGATCGCCGAGGTAGGTCTGGTAGGTGTCGTCCCAGTAGGTGGCGTACGACGACTCGTCGGGGTTGGCGGCCGTGGTGGCAAAGACGAACGCGTTGGTGGGCAGGCTGGTGAACATGGAGCCTGACTCGCAGGCCTCAAGGTAGAAGACAAGCTGGGCATACATCTTGCTGTTCTTCATGTCACTGAGGGCAGAAAGCAGGTCGTTGGCGTAGAGGTAGTCGTTGGGGAAGGCGATCAGGCCAGTCGCGCCGTGATCGACAAAGTTGATAAAGACGTTGTCGTTCGGGCCCGATTGGAGCGTCTTGCCAGAGCCAACAGTCGGCTTGATGCCGCGGAGCACCTGCAAGAAGGTCGTGGGGTTGACGTTGTCGCCAGTGTAGTCCTTCGGGACGTTGACATAGACGTTGCGCCGTTCGGGTGGTTGATGACGACGCCAGGAGTGGGGTTCTATCGATGGCCGAGGAAGGAGGAGGAGGTTGGGCAGAGCAAGAGCCGAAAACACACAGTTGGAGTGAGGTACAGGAGTCGGCGACAAAGCAAAAAACAAACAAAGCAAACGAATGCAAATTTGCTTGCTCACTTGGGAGGAAGACGCAATGTCGTCGTAGTGGAAGACGATAATGTTGGAGTCCGGGTAGCCGTTCTTGTGCAGGATTTGGTACCTGCAGCAAAGTCAAAGTCAGTAAAAAACTAGATTGCGAACAAGAACAACAACTAAACAAAGCCACTTACGCGTGATACACATCAGCCTGGCAGCCAAGAGGACAATCAATTGAAGTAGTGGTGGCAGATAGGATTCGCAAAGTGATTTCAAACATGCCAGTCAGTCATCGGTGAAGCATCAGCAGCGAATGAGAACGCGGCGAAAATGCGAGGTTGGGATTTCGTGATTTGGATGTTGTTGTTGTCAGCACTTTTGTGCGGGTTTGACGTTGGGACACATGAAAAAAAAAAAAAAAAGAAGCACTTGAAAGCACATCAAAGTGTGAATGAGTCGATTTGGAGGGAAACGGCGAAAAAAGGGAGCCACGAAGGGGAAAAGGCTGGAAGAAAATAAAAAAAAAATAAAAAATAAAAATAAAAAAAAATAAAAAAAAATGCTCAAGAAGCCGCGTTCAAAACAACCCGAACGCAGAGCGACCGCGGATGGAGAGCGTTGTCCGGAGAGGCGGGGGGGGGGGGCGGGGCGCGAATGAATTGATCACAGGTGTATGTGAGAGTGGCAGGCGGGCTTTACCTGGTGGCGACTGTAGCACGCAGACAGCGAGCAGATTGAACAAACAACAACAACAACAAAAAAAAAAAAAAAAAAAAAAAAAAAAAAAAAGCCATCAGTTGAGGTGGTGCAGATCACAAATAAGCGGGAACAGCATCCCCATTGCACTGACTAGTTGCTGTAGGTGTTGGAGCCAGCGACAAGGACAGCCCAGTTGGTGCCGTTGCCGTCGGCGCCGTCGCGGAACTTGGGGAAGTGGTGGTGGGGGTGGGGCCGCGCAGCAGCCGAAGCAACCAAAAGCGTCAAAGCCAAAGCAACGACCTTGAACATGATGTCGAGTTAAAAAAAAAAGTGAGGACTGGAATACTTTTGGTTGAAAATTAGGCAGAGTAGTAAAATGGGAAGGGGGAAGGGGGGGGGGAAGGAGGATTTGGCGCGAGCCGGTAAGTCTGAGTTGTTTAACGATGGCTTTTGTTTTCAAAGGTCGTTTTGATCAAGCACTGCCTCCCGATCCGAGCTTCAGCAGTGCATGACAACCAACCTCGTAGTGTGATTACAACGATTTTGAGCACGCTCTGTTGAGAGGGTCTGAGAGTTTTGAAAGAACAATGCATTCAAGCAATCATGCTTCATTCTGGCTGAATGTGCGCTTCTACTCTTGTTTGAAAAATGTCCGATTTGGCTGAAATGATGTTTATTCGTGATTGATTTGTACGCAACATGCATCAGCAAGTACTTACCCCGTGTGAGCAGCTGAAAGAAATTGCAAAAGAGGCATTTTCGCTTCTCCAATCTGGAAATCCGAGCATACCACGGGCCGCGGTTCTGGAAAAAGCAGCGACAAGACCTATACAACACAAGCAAGGCTACAAGCCAAACAGGAAATACAGAAATGAGCGACAATCGCCAAGCAGAAAGCAACGGCACAAAGTCAAAAGTGTGTGAAAGAATGATTTTCGACCCAAACTCGACCGACAGAAAAGAAAGAGAGAGCCATTGAAATGTCATCAACGATCCACAGTAAGTTGATCACCAAGATGCAAATCATGCAAAGGAAGAGGAACAAAGAAGAGGGTTGGGCCTCAGGTAAAAATTCTATGGTAAATGTGTTTCTCGATCACGCTTGAGTCGGAACGGCCGGGTGAGGGCTTGGTCCCGTCAGTGTGGTGGTACATTTGTATCATCGTAGGCCGGGAAGATCAGAAAGAGAAGGAGAGAGAGAAAGAGAGAAAAAGGCGCGAAAAGTTTGGGCGATCTCCACATGGTTTTGGAACGAAGACGAGCACGCGGCTGCTTGCGGCTCACAGATGGGCGCGGAGGAGAGTCGTACCGTGAATGCAAAGGTAAGGAGAGAAGATCTTGCATCTTGGAAGCGCGGGACGGCGGGGGCGATGCGCGAATCTGCAATCTACAGATGGAAAGACAAAAACGAAAAAAAAAAAAAAAAAAAAAAAGACAAACGCGAGTCAGTAAACGAAGGCAGTGGCAGCGGCACACACAATGAGACAGTACAGAGAAGAAAGCAAAGCACGAGCATAAAGAAGGAGGGAGGCAGGCAGAGAAGCCAGAGAGAAAGAGCAAGAAAGAGATAGAGAGGCACCGGTTTGTTTGGTTTCAGGTTAAAGGAATTATAAAATAGTATGGTTCAGCATCGCGCTTTGCTCGGTGGCAATAGTCGCCTAATGGATTCTTGGCTGAACTGGTTTTTCATCAGTTGAAACGCGGGCCATCTCTCAAAGGGGGGACGGAGAGCAGGGAAGAAAGAAAGAAGAAAGAAACGAAACGAAAACTTACCAAAAGTGAAAGTAGACTGAGCAACTTTGATCCAAAAAAGTACACTCGTTCCCCCACCCCAACAATGATGGAATCAATGGCCGCGATGCAGAAGATAAAAATCTTTGTCAGCACAACAAAATCACACAAAGCAACGAAGCCGAAAAAAATAGGCCATTTTAAAAGAAGAGCAACAAAAAAGTCAACAGAAAGAGATCAAAAGAGGCAAAAAGGGAGACAATTTGCAGGCACCAAAAAGAGAGAGAGAGAGAGAGGGAGGAAAAAAAGAAAAGAAACAAGCTTTGGCTTAGCAGCCGCAGTCAGAGCCACCCTGGGGCTTGGCAATGGTGGTGGAGCCGCCAATGTTGATCGACTGACCCTTCTCCTTGGCGGGGAAAACGGGGCCCATACGGTTCTTGATCTCGGCAGCCATGGTCATGAAAGCCTGCTCGACGTTGGTGGCGTTCTTGGCAGAGGTTTCGAGGAAGGGAATGCTGAGCTGGTCGGCAAACTCCTTGGCGGTGGTAAAGTCGACAACCTTCTTGGTGGTGAGGTCGCTCTTGTTGCCGACAAGCAGCTTGTTGACAGTCTCCGAGGCATAGCGGTCAATCTCCTGCAGCCACTGCTTGACGTTGTTGAACGAGTCCTGGTCTGTCACGTCATAAACAACAATGATGCCGTGCGCGCCACGGTAGTAGCTGGAGGTGATGGTGCGGAAGCGCTCCTGGCCTGCAGTGTCCCACTACAAGAGATGTTGAAGACGTTGCGAGGTGTTTGTGAGCGTGGTGGCGCGACGATAGAAAACGACAAGGAGAAAAGTTTGAAGAGTGCTTACAATCTGGAGCTTGATGGTCTTGCCGTCGAGCTCGATGGTGCGGATTTTCTGCGGGTCAGGTCGAGACAAAAATGCGGTGAGTGCGACGTGTGGGTGATGAAAGTGGCAGAGGCAGGGGGTTTCAGGGAGAGGCGAAAGCGGCCTCAAAGCGACACGTGAGGTAGAAAAAAAATTAATCATAAATAAATAAAAAAAATAATAAAAAAATAATAATAAGTTGCTTCTCGCGCCGAGCAAAGTGATCTACCGACAGCCACGGCACGGCTGGTGGCGAAAACCAACACAAACTGCTTCGCAAGGACATGAGGCGACGGTCTTGGCAAAACGGAGCAGTGTGGAGGCCAAGGTCGTTGCACAGCATGAACCGAAAAGAAAAGAAAAGAAAGAAAGAAAAAAAAAGGAGCGGGAAAAAAGAAAAAAAAAAAACGAAGAAAAAAAAAAAGCGAGCCAAAAAAGCTGGTGTATTTTGGACAGTGAGTCGCCTCGCTGGGTCGCTTTGTCTGGGCACTTACGAAGTCGACACCAATGGTCGAGATGTAGCTCTCAGTGTACGTGTCATCCTACAACAGCGACAACAGAAGCAGCAGAACAAGTGAGTGCCGGACACAATGCAAAAGAGAAAAAAAAAAAAAAAAAAAAAAGAGATCTTTGAACAACAACCAAAGAGGGGAATGCGAGCACCACTGCCGTTGCCGAGCGAGGCATGCAAGCCAGGTCGAGCACAAAACGGTGGACTCGTTTTGCACGGTGAGCAGTGGCTCCCCAAAGGACAAGACCAAACAGCAATGCAAAACCAAAAGGAATCAAAAAAAAAAAAAAAAAAAAAAAAAAAAGAGAACGATGCGATGATGACCCTTACGGCAAAGCGAAGAAGAAGGCAGGACTTGCCGACGCCAGAGTCGCCGATGAGTAGCAACTTGAACAAGTAGTCGCTGCAACGAGCACAAGCAACACGACGCAGAAGGACACAGGGCGCAGGGCAAGAAAGTGACGTGAGCCAAACGAAACACACAACGAAGGAAGCAGAGACAACGACAACCAGCAAAAAAAAAAAAAAAAAAAAAAAAAAAAAAAAAGCAAAGGCAAAGGAAAAGACAGTGTGTCGCGAGCCACCACAGCGATGGAGGTATGGGGCAGGACGAGCTGAGGAAGGCGGCTGTCTCGGTGTTTCGTGGGAGGGCAGCGCGTGACGCCTCCAAACACGAAAGACGAAAGGCAAAAAAAAAAAAAAAAAAAAAAAAGAACGAGAAAAAAAAAAGCCCATGCCAAAAAACCCAACGTCGTCGTCGCTCGGCAGTGACACGGCAGACGCTGGCCAACGCGGCGTGAGCAAGGCGGTCGTGCTCGCGAAAAGCGACCTTGCTTGCATGCATTTGGGCGGAGGCGGCTGGCTTGGAGGGAAGCGAAACAACCGCGGTCGAACCAGGCCAAAAAAAAAAAAGAAGAAAAAGGCGAAAATTCAAAGTCGTGGGGCGACACTTTGACTGGCTGGCAAAAGGTCTGCGCCCAGGGGAGGGCAAAAGCAGAGAAGACCGGGACGAGAGCACGTTGCTGCAGCCGAAGAAACCAGGGGGGGGGGCAGAGGAACGACGAGAAACTGAAAGAGCAAAGAAGGAAGGAAAGAAGAAATACTCACTACTCGGGGGTCATATTGTATTGGTATTAATAAAAAACAAATATAAAAAAACGAGTGGCTTTTGCATTGTGACATTTGGTTTTGCTGAGAATTAGTAGAAACAGTTAGTCGAAAAAAAAGAGCGACCCGTCTACCAGTTGGTAGATGAGCAATACACTCGACCCATGATGGTGAAGTCACAGTTCGGTCATTTTCAACATCTGTGAACAGGGGCGATCTGCGTTCGTGGCACAACGCACTTTTTTAAGGAGTTGGGTGGTTTTTTGTGCTGACGTCCTTGATCGTCGTCAGCGTATCCGGTCATTGGCTTTGCTAGAGTCACGCGCTTTGTCTCCATGGATGTTTGACATCATTTCAACAACGAGAGGGCGACGAGCTGCTTTGTGTTTGAGCGACTCGTTCATTCACTTGTCATGATTGCTCTCTTCACACACAACCCAGAGGAACCAAACAAAAGTGTTGGATGCGGAGACTTGCATGCCGCGCATTGACTCGTTGTACTCGTCGGCCAATTCTTGCAGCCATCCGCGATTCATTGGAACCAAAGCCGAAACAAAATTGCGGAAGAAGAGGAACTGAGCTTTGATCACATCGAATGTGCACTGCAAGATCAAAAACTACCCAGTCTCAGTCTTGTTTATTTACAAGAGAATAATTAAACCCCAACACTGCCAAATTTGACAATGAATTCTGCCGTTCTCAGCCATCAAGTTGCACTCGCACGTGCTCTGCGATCAGCCGTGCTCGCGTCGCCCGCACGCACCGCCCTCCTGGCGACTTGTGCTGCCGAGTCATCACATGCTGCCAGTACGCTGCCACGGCGGCAGTGGCTGTCGTCATCACACGCTTTGGCAGCAGCAGCGGGCAGTTCCAACACTGGCGCTGGTCGCCAGAGCCCCGCAAGCCCGCCGTCGACCTCCGGATTGGCGAACATGCAACGCAAGGACCTATACATGCCAAGCTCAAGCCTCGAGGGCGATCACTTTTCGGTCGACGTTCGGCCCGCTGCAAAAGGTCCCGGCCAGCCGATCGACGCCGACCTGTCCCAGCTCCCGCCCATTCCGCCCGTGGTGCGCGGCCCCGAGACGCGCCAAGTCAAGATTGCCCGCCTGCTGTACCAGACCCGCAAGCGAGGCATTCTCGAAAACGACCTCCTACTGAGCACCTTCTTTGCCGAGCACGCCAACGCGCTCAGCGACGCGCAGCTGCAGACCTTTGACAAGCTCCTGGACCAGATCGACTGGGATATCTACTACTGGATTACCAAGGCGCGTCCCGTTCCGCCGGAATTCGATACGGACGTGATGGCGTTGATTCAAGCACACACCTTGGCACGGCGCAACGGCCCTTTGCGCCAGCCCTCCACCCCACAAGTCAAGTCACAATGAGAGCCCTTTCAACACAGCTCGAGTCAAAAGCGCGATGGTGTTTTTTTTCTTTGCTTTTCAAGTGTACAATGGAGTGATTGCTTCTGGGACAAACAACGCCAAAATCGCATTTTCTTCTGCCAAGGACGAGCCAATGTTTGATTTCTGGTCGGGGTGTAGCTGCGGTGCGTTATGTGCACATGTACTCTGCGAGTGTGAATACTGTATGTCAGTGAACGCTGTCGAAACACGGAATCTACTCTTGACTTTCAACCAGTTGCTTTTGTGTTGTCATTCGAGTTCTTGAGACTCACTTTCTAGAGATGTATTTAACATCTCTTGTATTCCCATCGCTCATAATCCCATTCCTCATTTTCTCAGATTTCCAAAATGGCTGGAGCAGCAAACTTTTTCAGAGTAACTCACTTTCACACAAACCCACGTCCCATCCGTCGCTCGGTCTCCGCAGACAGCCGATCGAGAGTTCATTTTGTGTTTGAGTTGACCATCCCCGTGTTCGCACAGAGGGCAGACAGAATGAGAAGATCAGCAGTCGGCTCGTCGTCGTCTCTCCATCGCTCCTACTGTCACTCACTGCTGCGACTTTCTCCACACACACACACACACCGCCCCCCCCTTTCTGACTCAAATCGACTTCATTTGACGCAGGGCACGACCATCGATCAGGACAGCCGCTTTGTCAACAAGCAGAACAAGCTGCTCAAGGAGATCAAGTTCCCGCCAGAGTTCAAGGACAAGGTACTGGCTTGCCTTCACTGCGACTTGGGACACCCTTATCACAAAAGCGCGCAGCAGTTCGCCCGTGTCCACGTTGTTGCGACGGAGCGCGCGGCGGTGGATGGCTCGCTGCAGAAGCGCCCAATGCAGGCCCTGACTTGGTTTTCGTATGGGATTTGTATTGGTCCAACTAGGTCGACATGCAAAAGGTCAATATGGAGATTGTCAAGGCATGGATCATTGGGCGGATCAACCAAATCCTGCAGATTGACGCCGACGACGTTGTGCCAAACTTTGTGATTGCCGAGCTCGAAAAGGATAGGGTAAAAAGTACCAAAATCACCCTCGCTTTCCCGTCCCCGAGACGTGTCGGACTCTGACCAGAGAGAGAGAAAAAAAACAACAGACCTTTTATCTTCTTTGAGCTGCTTTTTTTCATGGACGTGGCGAATGGCGGGCGGAGGAGGACGACGAAAAGAAACAACCACCAATTGTGCTCGTCACACTCGCGGGGAGGAGGGTTGCAATGCTCGTGTTGCCCTTGTTTGATGCAACGTGTAACTCATTTGGTGGTTTTGCCTTGCCTGGACGCAGTGACTGCTCTTCGCAACGAGGACACCGTGGATTGCGCCATCGTTGCTCTACGCCATTTTTCTCTCTTTGTTTCATATCTGCCGTGTTGTTATGTGCTGAGATGTGCGATATGAAGTGCGGGACATGCGACGTGTGTGTGTGCGTGTGTGTGAGAGAGTGAGTTGGACCGAGGGAACCCGCTGCTCGATTTTTGTGTTGTTCGATGGCTCACTGTTCGTTTCCCCGTTTGCACGTTGTTCCCACCCCTCCCTCATTTTTTTGGTTTTGCAGTTCCCCGACCCTCGCAAGATGCAGCTCAATCTGACTGGCTTCCTGGAAGGCAACACGCCTGATTTCATGCTGGAATTGTGGAAACTGCTCTTGAGCGCTCAGTCCAGTCCCGGCGGTGTTCCGCAGCAGCTCATCGAGCAAAAGAAGCAAGAGATTCTTCAGCGCAAGGTAGGATTGTGTTTGGTGAGAAGATGCAGAACGCCATCTTTCTGAGTTGTTTTTTTTTTTTCGTTGTTTTTTGCGTTTTCTTTTTAATTCAAAATTGCAGGTCGAGATGCAACGCCTGCAAGAAGCTATCAAAGCCAAAGCTCTAGCAACAGCGGCGAGTACAGTTGAAGAGGTGAGTTTGCGAGCCTGTTGTGACGAGAACCTTGCTTGTTGTGCCAATCTAACGCCTGCACTTGGCCGAACTTTTATTTTCGTTTTTGCACAGAAACCCACACTGGACCTGTCTATAAGAGCACCTGCTTCTGGGACGTCGGAACCTTCGCGCGAGCGCCAGCCGTCACCGTCTCACCGCCGTCGTTCTGCTTCCCCGCGTCGCCATCGCTCCCGATCGCGCTCTCCCAAGCGTCGGTCTCAGCGCTCACGTTCGCGCTCACGCTCCCCCAAGCGTCGTTCTCGTCACTCGCGCTCACGCTCCCGCTCACGTTCCCGTTCCCCGAAGAAGCGCCAGTCTCGTCGTTCACGTTCACGATCGCGCTCGCGATCGCCTCGTCGCCGCAGCCACGTTCACGATCGCGCTCGCGATCGCCTCGTCGCCGCAGCCACCGATCGCGCTCTCGTTCACGATCGCCCTCTCCCCGACGCCACAGTCGTCACTCGGAGTCGCGGCATTCGTCCAGTCGATCACACCGTCACCGCTCTTCGTAAGAATAGGCTTGCAGATGGACAAGTATTGGCCTATATGTGTGTGGTTCTTGTCTGCTAACCATCGCTGAATGATCATGCAACAGACGGCACTCGCGCTCGCGCTCTCGTTCTCCAGCGCGTTCACGCTCGCGGTCGCCCGGCCACGATCGCAAACGCTCTAGCTCCAGCCGGAAGTCCGAGTCCACCGAAACCGCGCCTTCTACAGAGTCTGAACCAGTCGATGCCACCGCTTCTGCAGCGGCAACCGAAGAAACGCCGGCTGCCGCACCCATGGATGCGACCGAGTAGTTTTCGTTTTCGTCTAGGTTGTTGTTGTTGTTGTTGTTGTTGCTGTTGTTGTTGCTGCTGCTGCTGCTGCTGCTGCTGCTGCTGCTGGGCATTTCTATTTTCGTTGTGCACGTTCATTCAGTCAATCTTTTACTGATGAGTTCCACTCCTCCACCTTCGAGCGAGTTTCTTCGCTGCGCACGAGCCTTGTGCGTTCTTTCAGACCAACTGAAGGACGGCTGGACGATGGAATATTCCCCAAGCCGACGCTATGATCATGTTGGTGGTGATTCAGTGAATGAAACGATGACTCGAAATTCGCCGTGTGCAACGTTGCTGAGTGTGATTATTACGGTGTGCAGATCGCTGCAATGACTCAACCAGCGCCACGACCAGGCTCCGTCTACTTGGTCAAGCGAAGCGTGTCCGTCCGAGCTGCTGGGTGTAGTAGGAGCAGCAGCGAGTCAATACAGGCCGCTGAAACTCAGGACCAAGCCCAGCCAGTCTCACCCGCCAATCCTGGCCTCGAGGCTCCGATCGAAGACATCCCTGATATGGACGACGTGTACACCGAGGAAGCATCCGACCCGGGCGAGTTGCGCGGCTCGAGCAATCTGACGTCCGACAGCGCCTCGTTCGATTCTTGGCACACGTACGAGTACCACGTCGTCTACCACAAGACTTACACAGTTCCGGTCTTGTATTTCAATGCCAGTACACTTGGTCAGTATATCCCGGGAGAGAGAAAGAGAGAGGTGGATTGCTGGATTTCGAAAATCAGTCAACTTGTCACAAACTTTTGATGATTTGCCTTCACCGCTCGTTGTCATTCGTAGAAGGCAAGCGGCTAACAGTGGATCAAGTCTGGAATGACATGCATAACTTGCACAAGGATTCTATCGATGTCAGTCGGTCCTCATTCTTGTCGCAAGCGGTAAAACTATCAAGTTCCTTTTTTTTTGTTTCGTCGTTCTTTTGGTATTCTCCTCCCCCGTACTCACCCATTCACCAATGTTGGTGTTCGCATGTGGCTGATAGGAGCATCCCGTGCTTGGGAAACCATTCTTCTTCCTCCATCCGTGCCAGACTTGCGACATGATGGTTGCGCTGTTCGGTCCGAGGCTGGCGGCGCACTGCTCGCCCGACCAGCCTCTGTTTGACTATCTCTTGGCCTTTTTGAGTATCGTTGCGCCAATCGTGCGTCTAAATCTGCCACTGCAGTATCACGCGGCACAGAGCAAGCTTGTGTCATAGCTGTTTTGCTTAAAATGATAATATTTCGCAAAAAACCAAACGAATAAACCACGACACCAACATGAAACGGGGGGGGGGTCTAGCATTGACAAGACCAAGCAAGATAAATGCGACACGAAACATACACAAACCGTAGATTGAAAAAAATCAAAGCACAACTCAGACATTCGAGTCTTCACTCTCTGCCGCCGCTTTCCTGCGGTTTTTGCGCTTGAATTGGCTCAGATCGGAGCCAAAGGCCGATCCTTCTTTCAGAGCAGAAACGAGCTCGTCAAAGTCCTGCAGTATGGGGATTGTGTCGTCAGCGACAAAAAAAAAAAAAAAGTTTCCGTCATGCAGAATCAACCGTCGACAAACACGCAAAACCATCCCGTCGAAACCCACCTGTCCTTCAGCCTTGTACGCTTCGCTGAGCTTCTCGCCACGCTTGCTGGCTTCCTTGCGCGCAGCCGCTTCCTGGCGCTTGCGCTCATCCTCTGCCTGCTTTTTGAACATGGCGTTCTCTTCACGAGCAACCTAGTACAAGCTCAAAACAAATGAACAACAGGCGGAGAACCGAGCTAAAAAAACAAACAAACACCCAAACACAACCCAAATGCTCCTCTTACAAAGAACGCCTTGACAAACGATTCAAAGGCACCAAAGAACTCGGCGGGCGTCATGACCTTGCCATCCTCGCCAAAGAGCGAAACCACGTCTTCAAACTTCTTCTTCATTTCGGTCACATCCGACTCCAAGTCCTTGAGCTCGAGAGTCGCGTGCGAGAAAAAGTCTTCGACCTCCGCCTTGAAGCGATCGTTGGGATTGTGGGCACGCGTCGAGTTGTTAAAGTACTGCAGCTCCTTTTCGATATCCTTGGTGCCCTTGAGCAAGAAGGACAGGTCCTTGTCAATTTCGGCAATGTTGGCGCGCGTTGCGTCCGCAAGGTGGGGCATGTCGTTCATGTCCTTGATGGCAGGGTACTTGGCATCGACAACAATGACGAGATAGTGGAGCAGCGTCTGGCGCTTGTTGGTCGAAGCCTTGGTGTCCATGACTTTGCTCAAACTGGAGAGCTTGAAACCGTAAGCATTGCCGCGCGCGCCACGGTTCATGTAGTTGCCAAATGCCAGCAGGATTTCGAGCACCTTGCGCAGTTGGGGAGACGAGCGCACCTCCTTGCTGGCCAGCAGAACGGCGTCGACCAGCGGCTTGATCTCATGCACGCGTTCTTTGAAACGCAGCTTGAACGACAGCGCGTTGAGGCGCTCGCCGTAGTGGTCCACGGCAGACATCTCGTAGAGGAACCTGTCGGCCTTGGCGAAATTGGCAATGTCGGCCTTGTTGGAGTCGAGCAGTTGGATTTCGTCGGGCGCGGGAACAAACTTGAGCAGCTGCTCGATCAAATCCTTGTTCAGTTTCTCCGTGTCGCACGCGAAAATGGCCTCCTTGAGCTCGTCGTGCGACAGTTTGATGCGCGAGAGCAAGATGGCGCAATTCTGGGCACGGCGACCGTCAATGACGGACAGCTCCTTGGGCTTGGCGGGCGCGGCCGTCGACGAACCATCGTCTGCAGCGTCGCCACCGTCGTCCTTGCCAGTCTTCTGATAGGCCGAGAACATTGTTTCAAACTCGTCCACATCGAGCTGGGCAAACACCTTCGAGTCGTCCAGGTCAATCCACACTGTCTTGTCAATCTTGCTGTCGGGCATCTTTTGCCAGTTGAAGGACTTGACGGGATTGGTCGGTGCAGGGCGCTTGCGTGGAGGCAGCTTGCTGGCAGCGCCCATTCCGGGCATACCGGGCATGCCAGGCGGGGGCGGCGGACCGCCCATCATTGGCGGCGGTGGAGGAGGTGCACCACCTTCGCCCATCATCATCGGCGGCGGAGGCGGAGGCGGGGCTCCCTCACCCATCATTGGTGGCGGAGGCGGCGGCGGGGGCGCACCACCTTCGCTACCGCCTTCAGCAGCAGCAGCAGCAGCAGCATCACCCGACGCCGGAGCACCCTCCGCTACGGCCGCTGCCGCGACGGGCGCCGCGACAACCACTGGCGGGGCCGCCTTCAATTCCGCCACCTGTTCCTCCAGCTTGGTCTTTTCGTCCTTGAGTTCGCGATACTTGGCCTTGAGATCTTCCAACTCCTTGTCTTGGTTGCGAACCTCGCGCTCGGCTTTGTCTTTGGCGCGCTTGAGTTTCGTGATTTCTGTCTCTTGGTCTTTGACTTGCTTCTCGGCCACCTCGACCCGCTGCTTCAATGCATCGCGCTCACGTTGCGACTCATCAAAGCGATCCTGAGCGGCAAACCCAGAGACGAGCTTGTCCACGTCGATTTTAATGACGGAAATGTCCGTGTCGACGCCGTTGCGTTGCAGCACAATCTGCTGGACGAGGCGATCGATGGTTTGGTAGTACTTTGCACGGCGCTGGGCCTCCTTGGGAATGAGCAGCAAGTGATGAAGAATCGACTGCAAGCTGATGAACGCGCCCGTGAGCGACAAGGCTTTGACGACTGTTCCGAATACTTCCACAATGTTTGTTTTCTATCGCGACGAGTCGAGAGGAGTGGGGTCAGGATGACAAGAAGGTGAGTATCAACAAGCTACGATGGCGGGGGACGGACGCGCGTTAAGCGCAGGCAATGCAAAATAAAAACATAAATCTCACATCAATCTTGCTGGAGCTCAGCTTGGTAAAATCAAACTTGTCTGCAAACAACTCTTCATCGCTGCCTTGAATGTTCTCAAAGACGTCGAGTTGGATGTCGAGAAGCCGATCTTCGTACTTGCGCAAGCGCTGCAGAAACACGTTCGAAAACCCAATGGAAGAACAGAAAATCAGGCCACTCATTCACGCAACGATAATAATCAAGCATAAAAACGGCTATACCTCCACCATTTCGTCCAGACCAAGACTGGTAAACTCCATGCGGATGTGCATGCGAAAGTCCAAATCCTCGCGACCAACACCGGACATGACGATCGTGTTGACAAGCACCATGCCTGCTGTTTTGATGGCAATGTCCTGGTCTTGCTTGCCAGATACGCTGGTGATGACATTGACCAGAGTTTGGAAGCGGGTGCGCTCGTAAAAGTAAGCACGGAAGTCTTCAAAGGCGTCCAGCACCTGAGAGAGCAAAGAAATCGTGCGGTTAGTGTTCTGTTGCAGCAGTTCGCCCTCTGGTTCGCAATCGTCCTTCCTCTTTCCTCTTGAAGAGCGTACCTGCTTGTGACCGTCCGAGATGAGACAGCAGACGGCAAGAATTTCGAGCACTGCCTGCTTGGTCTTGTAGTTGCCCACAGCCAGACTGCGACAAATAATGCGAATGCCGTTGTAGTGCTGAATGACGGCCATGCGGCCAACGGTGTTGTTCATCAGGGCCTTGACTGCGCGGAGGAAGAAGGTGTGCAAGTCCGTGTTGCGCTCTTCGTCGTCCAGCTCTTCGAGGCAAGTGAGGAGGGCTGAACCGCCTTCCTTGTCAACAAACTCGCTCACCCATCTTGTGTGGATTGAAGCAGAGGCGAAAAACAAAACAAAACAGTGATTGGAGCAGAATGTGAGCAACAGCAAGAGCAGCGAAAAGGAGAAATGAGAAAAGGCGAGATCCAGCAGCCTGTCTGCCAACATACGTGAGAGCGGTCGTTCGCAGCAAAATCGTGACGGCTTGAGCGAGATCGCACTTCTCCTCCAAGCTGAGTCGCGTTGAGCGTCGTAGCTTGAGGATGGTTTCGGACGGCGGTTCGATATTGCTGGTCTCTGCAGCCTGTCATATCACCATCCCATGCATGCAGATTCCTGTGAGTCTGGGTTTTGTTCAATGCTTTGCGAACCGAGGCGGTACCTGAACTGTCCGGAGTGCGCTTTGCTGCTGATAGAGCTGCCACTTTTTCTCTGGCGAGCAAGCCATCATCTTTGTGCGCTGGTCTGCTGTAAAGTTGAGCTCATCCTACCAATTCAATGACCAGGCGCCAGCACAGTGTGAGTCACACACTTTATTGCTTTGGCCGCCGCCGAACCTTGATTGTTTTTGGTGTTTGTGATGTTCAAAACATCCGCAAGCGGCAGTTCGCTGTCGGACGCTGTCACAAAACAAAGCACTCCAGCCCAAGCACCTGTGCATGCACGTACCATGAGCGATGACAGGAGCTCGTTGAGCCGGTCTTCTGGCGGGATGTCCTCCTGCGCGACAATCACGGCCGGCATCGGCGTCTGGACGACATCGACAATGTTAATCTCGCGCCGCTTGAGCGCTTTGCGTCGCTTGGCGTCCTTGCTGTTCGTCGCGCCCATGGTGATGCCGACGGTGACAACCAAATAAAGCAAAGCAAAGAAGAGAAGAGAAGAGGGTTGATCTGTCAAAGTTTCATCAGAAGCGGGGGGACTCGTCAGTGTGAGTTCACAGGGGAATAAAATAAAAGTTGCTGTAGAGTGAGTGATGGTTGTTGGGGCTTCTCAGTCGGGCCGGCACCAGTCCCGGAGGAGGAGGAGAGGGGGGAGGGGGATGACTTTGAGTCAAAGTGCAGACGGCACAATGCAGGACACGTCGCCAAAGAGCGAAGGACAGCGACAAGGACGAGAGAGGACAATGAGAAAAGCCCTGATCAAGATCTGACGGTGACTGTGGCGAATCTATCGCACATTGAAGGCCCGCTGGCTTCCACGCGAATCCAAAGCGCAAAACGTCAGAAAATCAGTGAATGAACGGACGAATGTGTGCGAAAAGCGTGGCTTCGAGAATGTGGGGGAGATGAGCACCAAGGGAAACAGCAACCCCAATCCCAAAAAAAAAAAAAAAAAAAAAAAAAAAAAAAAAAAAACGGTTGAATTGGCAACCAAATTTAAAATAATAATCATAGGTGCGCCACGAGGCAGGTTGGAAATGGGTCGGAGAGACGCAAGAGAGAGAGAGACCAGATAGGAAGGGGAGAAGGCAAGTTAGAGCAGTGGGGTAAGCGATTTGGGGGCGGTGGAAAGAGAGAGAGAGAGAGAGGGAGAAGGAACTGTGAATAATACAAAAAGGAGGACTGAATGCAGATTGTTTGTGTGTGGATGGTGCAAGGCAGCTCAGAGCGTGCAGCAGCTCGGATCACACAACAAGTCAGTCAGTGCGACTGACTCTGGAAGGACAGAGCGAATGTACGGCGGGCGACGGCTTGAAAATCAGGTACTGTACCTGACGGACTTCAGTTTGCCGAAGCAGGGGTTTGAGTCATAATGTGATTGACGGAGGACTGAGGGTAAATGCATGAGACGACAGACATCGTACTGGGAGAAGTGGACGGAAGCTCGGCTTTGTTCATTTTGTACACTTGTTTGTCATCATTCTGCACGACTTCTCATTCTCTCTCTCTCCCTCTCCAGCCACCATCCCCGCTTCAATTTCCAACACTGGTCTCAGTTGCGCACTTTGCTTGTGGGCAAAGCGGCTCGCCAGAAGCAGCATCATGAACACAGGATAACAAATTTGCTCAATCACTCGAGGGAGTTGCGCTCGCGGAGGACTTGGTCCAGCTTTGCGCCTCGTTCCTGATCTTCGCACGCCTGAGTGATGCGTTTGCTGCGAGAGATGAGGTCTGGAATACTCTGTACCATGCAAAGTTGGCTCAATGTCAGAATTCGAAAAACAAACAGATGAAACAAACCACCTTGCGACGCTCAATACTCACCTGACGGAGATCTGACAAGACTCGAGTGGCTGCGGTAAACTGGGCAAGCGACTCGCCAAACGAGTCATCATCTGCCAGCCACATGGCGCACAGAATGTGAGTCAAAAACGTCATATTCTAACCAAAAGCACGCTCTTTGCACTCCCCACCACCGCCACAACCCCGCCCCGCGTCCAGTTCATTACCTTGTGGATTCATCATCGGTGCAACAATACGGTTTTCAACGTCCTCTGCAAGCAGCAGCTCATCTTGAGCCTTGATGGTAGAAATGTGCGCTTGGGTGCGGTCGCGCAATGCTTCAGGGGCAGATCGGCGAAGACGAGCGACTCGGAGCACGGCATCATTCACGCTAACCACAGCCGCGGAAAGATCCAACTTTAAACTCGGATTCACAGGTTCGAGAGCTGAATTGGTCCGACCAAGGAAAAAACGAGGGCGACCGGAAAAAGCGTGGAAATTGAGCTAAACCACGTCCACTCCGGCGCCCCAATCACGGGCCGGCAATTTCATCAAAGCACCATTACCTTCTTTGCTAGGGTCGTACTCGCTCCAGCTTTGGCCGCCGACCGTGACGCTATTTTGCAGCACGTCAAAGGCCGAGTTGGCAATCTGATTGAATCACAGCCGTTTTCCACCCAACACCCGACAGCGCAACCAGTGACAATCAAAGAATCAAAGGACATGCGTTTCATATTCGGGGTGAGTCATTGTCAATGGGCGAGCACGATTGAGAGAGGAGGCGAGCGGATTCACGAATTTTCAAAAACGAAAAAATCCGTTTCAAACAGTCTGAAACGGTTCTTTTGAAACGCCGACCCCAACTCGCGCTCATTCACAACTGCGCTCTTCGGCCACATTTCCCCCACTCTCGCCAGCAATATACACATGTAGAGTGCATGTGGGCACCTGAGAGTCCCAAAACAATGCCGCCGCGGTGCTTTAGGGGCACGGAAAGCCGTTGCGTTGGATTGCTTTGCATTGACCTCGCCAGCACTCACCTGCTGGAGTCGTCGCTTGAGCAGGACTTGCTTGTGAAAGTCGCGCGTCTTGGAGGCAAAAGGGCCGCTGGTGGCAACGAGGTGTGCTCGGAGCGCGTCGACTGGCTTTTTGCTTGCAATGGTAACCTTCATGCTTTGAAAAAACCAAAAAAGAGTGAATCAACTCACTAGGAAAAATGACCTATACTAACAGATTTGGATAGGATTTTTCCCCAGCCTCGCCGCGTTGGAAATAGAAACTAGAATGTATGTGGAGTATTCTAAAATTGAAACGGAGGCGAACGGACGCCGGGGAGTGGAGATGGGGCGGAGGGAAGGTCAGAGACTGGAATCGCTGGCGGGCTTCGCTCGGGTGCCCTGCCCGACCTGAGCTGTTTCTGGCGGAAATTCCAAAAGGGTATCCTTATAATATCGTGTAAACTCGATTGCGCTTGAAAAAACGGCGCTCCGAGCACTTGGCGTGGCCTGAAGCTCAAACAAGCGATTTGCCCTGACGAGTAGACACGAGCCATCACCTCGCGGATGGTATTTTC